TTGGCCAAATTTTTCAAAATGGACCGATATATGTCGGGCCCGTACGTAAGCTGGGAGATCCTAGATGTCCCGCGCTTCGGCTAGAAGACGGCGAATCCACTCAAGGGTATTTTACTTCTACCCTTGGTCTGTGGGTTCGTAACCGTTCGAAAAACCAGGAAGGATCGAGTTTAGGACTCGATCCGTGGGGAGACGGTGGGTCCACCCAGGGGATTTTCAGTAAGCCCTGGACTGTGGAGCCGTCTAGCCCTTGGAAGCTCGAATAACTCGACGCTTTAATTTTATATTATATTGTGTCGCACTGAGCTAGATCGTTGATCTAGGAACTCGCGACAAAGCAGGCTAATTTTTTGAGAAGCTTCGAAGAACTAGACCGATTCGGAGATTTGTGGAAACTTCTCGATAGCGTGCTTGCTTATCGATATGCTCAGTTCAGTGGCTCGATAGCAAGTGACGGACGAACACGAGCTGCCAAAAGTGTGCGCGTGAGAGGGGGAATCCTTCGTCGCGTGGCGCTGCCGTGGCGTCTCTCGTCCGTCTTTGTTTAATTGATAATTGTCGTACCTTCTTACCCTTCTGCCTGGGCGTTGAACTTGGCTTGTTCGAACTCGAACGTTGCTTTATCGTTCGCGTGACTTTACAGAAAACCTCGAGAACCGTGTTTTTCTGTCCTCTAATGTTTCGAATAGCGGACGTGTCGACCTGGACTCTTCCTGGTCGGTCGCGTAACCGAAAACAAACCGGGTAACGAATTGTTTCGGATTTAAATTAACTATCGCATTTTAATCGATATTTAAACATAATTCAATTAGATGCCCCATTACAATAATTAGGAATTTAATTAATTGGAAAGTTTAAAATACGTAATTGAATTACTATGCAATTGAAATACAATGTAATATATTAGGTTTTATTCAATAGAATATTTATTTTACTTTACAAATATGTGCAAATGTGTGCAAAGGCACACGTGGCCGCGTGAGGTTATCGCGTGAAAATAATCTTATTATAACGCGGTAGCGTCTCGACGCCAAGTACAGGGAGGGTCATCGTTTTATCCTGACTATTCGACAGAGTTGTGCAGAATTACTTCGAATTGAATTACTACAATTGAATTACTTCGTGAATTATAATTACATCGTATTCAATTGCATTCAATTAAAATACATCGCAATTCGTAATTGCAATGTAGTATTTGCAATTGTAATTACATATTAATTCAATTCCATCGAATAAAACATATCAATATATAAAACATTCTATAATAAAGCCAACATACCTTCAAGGCTTCATTCTTCAATTAGTAGCGCAACAACAGCCAGGGTGCACGGATGCCAGCGTAACAATGAACGGCGTCACAAAGCGTTCAGCGGACTCAGCCGTTAAGAAGACGTCACGCGCTCGGAATCGCGTTGCCCCACTCCTTGGAAGAGTTCGCGCGCGGAATTAGAATGTTTCGGACCCTTTTTTCTCTCAACAGTTTGGAATATTCGGTGTCCTATTTTCCTCCTCTTCATCTACCCAGAACCAGTTCAAATCAGCATCCTGATTTTCTTGGTCGATAGGCGTCCCGTCCATTTCAACACACGTTTCATGTTCAACCAGGAATGCCGTGTCTTCGACACTTCTTACAATTAAATCGAATAATATCTTCAATGAATTCAGTTCCTCGCATCTTGGGCATGTACGACCCGTTAAGGAGATAGAAGAAGCAATCGTTGAACATATCATGCGTACGAGCGAAACAGCATTTGAATCCGAAAAGCTGGTCAAAGCTTGTGAATAATCCTTTCGTCTCCTCTTCCCTCATGTTGGAGTTCCACTTGGAAAAGTCGAAGCTAGTGTACAAGGATCTTCTAGACAGAGAGGGGTCGGTGAATTGTAGCCGTTTCTTGTCCAATGCCAGCTCATCATCAGTCATTGTGATCACTGGGATAGCATAATACAGAATTTGGAACGGTTTCTTGAAAGTAATTTCCCCGAAAAAAGAGTTGAAGGGTTCCAACTAACTCCAGCAAATATAGTGAATATAATACCCCACTACTGTGACTGTACGACATTGCTGCGGAGAGATTTGCTGTAAGAGAGGATATGGTAGACTCCAAAGTAGGGAAGTCTTCATTCGAAGGTCGGAACATGCGACAGATTCTCTTCCCATACAACGGAAGCGGGGCTCCGTTATAAATCAGATACTTCCCGTAGGCATATAGAGATCTTGAAGTCCATGTCTCTTCCATTTTCAACGGAGGCCCGATCTCCGACAAGATCAAATTCAATCGGCTGAGGAACGAGAAGTGAACTTGTAATTGTTGTTGTTCGTCCAACTCCTCTGGAAACACTTCTCTCAAGACTTGATTGTCACCTTGTCCCATCAACCGCAATCTGATTGGGAAGTCTTCTGCCGCAAGAAGAATTAGGATCACCGTCCACACAGTCCACCCTTTCTGTCGGAGCCCTTCAATCCCTCCGAGATGACCCCTCCAAGATCCGAGATCTTCAATGAATTCAGTTCCTCGCATCTTGGGCATGTACGACCCGTTAAACAGATAGAAGAAGAAGGAAAATTTTACGCAGGAAAATTTCTTCATAAGAAAAGTTTTTGAAGGAAAATGTCTTTATAAGGAAAGGTTTTTGAACTCACATTAGGTTAGGTTCGTCAGCACTATCACTGTCATTGTCTGAAGCACTGCTTTCATGTGAGGTGGGCTCTTCTTCCCAATCTCCAGTAGATTCTACGTCGCTACCCGACGTGCAGTTGTTATCGCTGTCTGACGTGGTTACATCAGGTTGCCCAGGATTGAAGGGATACCTTCTTGCGAATCTTTTCAGAATTTTGGCTGCAGTTTCCTCCTCTGATTTCGTCTCCTGAGTTGTGGACGAAGAATTTTTCTCCTATGCTTCGGTGGCAACTCCCGCAGAGGTGATCGGGCCCTGACCTTTCTGAGCAAACGTGTATGTGTGTCAGCCTGGTCAGGCCGATGTTCAGAGCGCACCGGGAGCAGATTGTCCTCCCTGCTAGCCGGGTGTAGCTCATCCGGATACACCGGTATCGAATCGTTCCCAGGTGGGAACCTTCCATAGCTCTGTGGCTAATTAACTCGTCCACTCCCCTGGGAGTAGGGACGATTTCTTCCTTTAGGTACGTTACAGATTTGATTGTTCCAACACTCTCATGGTGCACTCCCTGCACTGGATGGCTTGCTGGGCTACTGCTATAGACTTTCGGCAAAGGCTGCAGTTTCCTCCTCTGATTCCGTCTCCTGGTTTGTGGATGAAGAACCTCTCTCCTGTGTTGGGTGCTGTCTCGGCACAGGTGCAGCAGATGACCCACTCCTTGAATGTGTTCTCGTCCAGGGTGGTGTAGTACGCAGCCTTGACGCAGAGCTTGGTCTTTAGGAAGGCTGTGATTAGCTGCAGGCAGTGACTTCTGCTGCGGCGGTTGACCCGCCCGTAGTCTAGGCACATGCTGACTAGTTGAGAGCTGCGTTCGCGATGCCTTTCTTCCCTCTAGGTAGTCTTTGGTTCCGGGGAAGAGAGTGGTATGTTTTAACGTTATTGTGTACACGGCCGCATGTGGCTGGTCCAGAGATCTATATGCCTTAAGCTTATTACAATGTACAACCTTGAACTTATTACTAATACGAATTCTAACATTATCTTTAGAGAGCACATCCACCACCTCGTATGGCCCTAGCCTATCGTGGTACACGGATTTCATTTTACATCTGACTTTGAATTTACAACGGATGCGAGCGTTAATTCTTTCGCGAATTCCTAAGTAATATACAGTATTGTCTCTCTATAGCCGCGCGTGTCGGGACCGGGCGCACGCAACTTGAGAGACGAGTAGTCTATTCGGCTTTCTTTGATTTGACGCTCGAGCGTTCAAGGGGGATGGGGCTCGTCGACTTTTCTTCGGCTTTCTGTTTGATATCCGATACCCGATGTCGCGGCGCGGTGATTACAAACGAAGTAGTGGGGATAGCTTCGCGTCTATAGAGAATCCGAAAACGCGCGGCTATAGAGAGACAATACTGTACATTGCTGACGGCTTCCTTACCGGCATTGACTTTGCACAGATTCTTGTGCGGAAAATTGGCGTGGTCGTTGGTCGACATAGTAGATGCACAATTATTATTATGATTATCATCCCGTTCATTCGGGGAATTCGAGGCGACGGTGCCTATTAAACTTTCACCACTCGGTGACCAAGATATGGAATTATGACAACGCGTGTCGGATATAGAACTGGAATTAGCGTTCTCGGATATAGCATTGGAGTTAGTCTCTTTAGAGATAGTATTGGAGTTCGATGTATGTATCAAGAATCGTTTCTCGTCCACGATATAGCCGAGCGTTGAGCCCCGAGAGCGTCGCTTCTATAGAGACAATACTGTATTGCGTTGCCTCGTAAACTTGTTTTGTTAACAAATATAATACAAACTAAATCCGTTTTATTCAGAACTAACTATATTAGAATTCATATATTCTATAGATGTTATTGATCGCTATTACCGACCGAGGTAGAGAACGAGACGTGACCATTTATAATTATATTAATTGTAAAGAATTTATGAGAGCGAGTACCTTCGAAACAATTTGATGAAATCACATTAAGCGGGTATAAAAAATGAGAGTGAAAAACAAACGAGAACTAGAGTCACTACGGTCGCTTATTTTCTAACAATAACACGCGAGTACGCTCGCGATAGGGAAGATGGCCGGTGAGCTTGGTCACCACGAGGCGTCGATGCGCGCGCATATCAATCATGAGCAGATGCCTTGTTTCGGTGGTGGGCGCATCTTTCTTCCAGCTGATAAGCGCGACTAATTTACAAAAGAACTAGACTAAACAGAAGTATGTAAATATTACAACACTCCGCACACCTTGTCAAGCACTCCGTGTTTAATCTAACTGTATTGTAATATTCGAATGTTAGCTGAACCTGACGTAATAACGAATTCGGGCGAATTAAACGGGGTCTAATTCGACTGTCATAATGAAGAAATTATTCAAATCGATTGATTTAAAATTTCAGTAATAATTTCCTTTTGAAAATTGGTAAAATCGCGAACGAATGAATGCGAGTTCTCTTGGAATTTGGTGAATTCTTTTTCCAATCGTTTTCACGGTCTCTCCATCAACGATCATCGTAACAACGAAGTTTTAAATCCACTGTTAAAAGTGGTTTTCCACTTGGTTATCAGATTGTTGAAAGTCGATCGAGGGTTGTATGTATAGTAACCGAGGGGTCCGAGCGCTTGCGAGAGCGCGATCCCTCTGGTGGCGAGCATGAGAAGCGACGCCACATTACCCGTATCAGATTATTTGTTCTCTCTTTGCGAGAGCGTTACGTACACGATCTTTTATGTCCGGAATGCCCTATAAGGCTCGGTGTCTTTTGTTTCAGTTTTTACAAAACGTATGAAACTTGTTTATCTTTGGAATTCTATAACTGAGTACGAAGTAGTTTGCCGTAACTTTTTTTTGTCTTAACCCTTACTATTTGTACAATTTTAGCTATAACTTTGTACTTTTTTTTTTTTTTTACAAATCATCACAAACGTTATAGGACAAATAGAGATTACATTTTTATTTGTAAATTGAATATTTTTATTATTTTTTATATGCATTATTTATTGCTTTTAATTATGTACGAACTCGGTTCAGTTGTAAGCAAAAAAATATTGGCCAGAAAAGTAATTTTGGTAGGTATGAGTTATGGGGGTAGCATTAGACTGCTTCCGAGTACATATACGATGCTAGACCTTGGTGGGATAGCACTACCGTAGAGGTTCCTTGTGTAGCGGCGACCCACCCTATTTTTTACAGTACAATCAGCAAGGAGCTTTCCAAAGTTCGCAACCTTCGCCTAATCAGCAGAGCAATTATAAGCCAGGAGGTGTACAAAATTCGCAGCCGTTCAAGCCGCAAACCCCGCAAATACAACAGATACAATCAAGAAATTTGCAACAAGGAAAACCTCAGCAACAACAACAACAACAGCAACAACAGCAGCAGCAGCAGCAGCAGCAACAACAGCAACAGCCGCCGCAACAGCAAATGAAACAACCTCCACAATCTATTACAAGTTCACCTCAGATTCAACCTCCGTCCCAGTCACAACCTCAGTCTATCCCTCAGTCTCAATCACAACCTCAAACTCAGCTTCAATCTCAATCTCAAACTCAAGGTCAACCCCAACGGTTGAAGCCAATTTTGAAACAGGTCTCTTTCCACATTTCGCAACAACCCGCGCCAGTAGCTCCACAAACTACTTCTGCTCCACCTTCTCAACCGCCGGTCCCTGCTCCGACGCTCCCTCTGGCAACTAACAATATCCCTACGCCTCCAGTAAGTAATAACACCGCTGAGGCAAAAAATGATAACGAAACGTCCGACGTTACCGAGATGGAAGTGCAAGATCAGCAACCAAGATGGAGACGTAAAACACCCGGATGTAAGTATTACCATTATTTGTACCCTGATTATTTAAACGAAAAAATTACTCTCGAATCGCATTACTTTTGTCAAAAACATTAGGCAGAAAGTAACGACGTATTTTTAAAAAAAGCATAAAAAAATGTACATATTTAACACTTTACCGACCGGTAGCGGTTGATTAATCGGCTATCGGTCTGTAAGCGTTGGTCGGTAAAAAAGTTGATTAATACGCTATCGGTCGGTAAGTGTTGGTCGGTAAAAAAAGTCGATTAATAGGCTATCGGTCGGTAATGTGTTAAGTAATATGCAATGTTTCTTATCTGACGTATCGAAATTGCTCGATGACTAAAATGATGACAATTCACTGCGCAAATTTGAAGATTAAAGCAATTATCATGTGATCCAGTAATTTACTGTTGAGGCTATGTCAGTTTTAATCACCATTGTGAACATTTATATACTGATATTGTTTAAGGATAAAATTAGTAAATGATTCTCGTGGCTCTGTACGTTTAAAAGAAAATGTATGGGTTTAGTTAGGGTAAATAAGAGACTGAAGCGACTTCGTTTGAACCAACGATTGAGGAAAACATTACAGCCAAAGAATGCGATCATGGTACTGAACGAAATGAGAGCCGGTGTGCAATTTACATTTCCCGAGACTCAAGGAATGCCGAACTCTCTTTATTTGGTTCATGCAGAGGTATTTAAAAATAGCTTCCTCGTTCACGAGCTACTAAAATGCTATTAGGTGTACAAACGAATAATCAAATTTTTTCTGAATTTTTTTCTCGAAAATGTGCAGGATTTCGGGGGTATGTCTATTCGCCAAGAATGATCGCAATTGACCCTCGCAGCCGAAAATAATTTTTCCAGAACGATTTGAAATTTTTGAATTTAATTGTTAATAACTTTTTAATGAAGCCTCCATCAACAAATTGGTATTTTTGATTTTCGTCTTATTTTGGCTTCATTCAAATTTTTCCCAGCGTTGGTCGAGCGCTTGTGAGAACGCGACCCCTCTGGTGGCGAGCATGGGAGGTGACGCCACATACGATACAACACCTTCACCGAGAAAGGAACAAATCGATTCGCGTGCTCTTGCAGCATTTTTCGCTTGTTAGAATTCGTAAAGATTGCAGTGTCAGATATGTATCTGTTGCCATTTTCGACTCTGCTGAATTGAATACTTTTGAAGGTTATGTTGGGCCTTTCACTAAACTATCTTTTGTTTTAACTAGCTATATGTCAACACTATATGACCCCAAAAGAGCGGGGAAATCTATTGACTTTAACCCTTTGCACTCCGAATTGTATTCAATGCTTTTAAGAGTTTTATTTGAAATTTACCTGTTAAAACAAGTGTTTTATTTACACTGTTGTTGTATTTTGTAATTTTCAAGTGTATGATATCTGTTTGGTTTGGACTTGAGAAAATGTCGAGTGGGACTTGACGAAGGAGATCCTAAGATAAAAATTGATGTCGAGTCGTACTCGACATAGGAGTGCAAAGGGTTAAACTTGATTTTATAACTGCTTAAGATAATTTGGATTATTCATTTGTACACCTAATATTAAAATTTTGAAATTATTTTATTGTTTAAATCATATTCTATTTGCATAAATATAACTTGTTCTCTGAATGTAACATAAATGTAATTAAATTGTTATTAATATGTTGTAAATAAAAACAGCTAGATGGGAAAACTTTTGTTGGACAAGGATTATCGAAGCCACTTGCTCGACAAAATGCTGCTGAAAATGCATTAAAAGCATTGCTACTCGAAAAAATGACAGCGGTATCGATGAAAGCACGTATCGATGCTGAAACAGATGGACAGACTAATCAAACCACGGAAACTGCCATTGCTTCATTAAAGGATACTACGAATGAAGAAGCTGGAACACCAATGGACACTACTACTGACGAAAATGATGAAATCCCATGGAGTTCTTTGGCTAGTTTTGCATTGTATAAACTTTTCCTTGAATGGCATAATCAAGGAACATCGGTTCCAGTTCCAAGACCAGGATTACCATCGCCTGTCAAAGGAATTAAAAGAGAAATCTCTGCCGAGGCTCCAAAAACTCCAGTACAAAAAGAACTCCCACCGAATGCCACAAACATACATCCTGTTATGTTATTGAACCAAATGAGACCAGGTTTAACATACACGGAATTAAATCGTGTTGGTAATCCACCTAACACAATGTTTACTCTTGCTGTAGAGATCGATGGTATTGAATATACAGGAACAGGTAATATAACATACATTTATCGTTTGAAAGCTGACTTTTAGATTAAAATTTTGCAAATTTAAATTAATATTGAAGCAAACTAAGAATGAAGATTAATAAGCGTACTGTTCATAAATAATTCCATTCTGAGACATATGTTATGACACATATGTTGGCAAGAAAGTAATTTTGGTTTCGTAATGGGAAATGAAACTCATTTTTGTTACACAAAGAAAAACTGAATTAAGTGCGATTTAATAAAATTAATAAAATCAAATATTGACTTGTTGCGTTAAGTAAATCTTTTTCAATTCGAGCTTCTTTGCGAGCCCAAGACATTTCATGTGATTTTCAATTATGTACGATACATAATTCTCTGCAATCTTCCGAATAGCTCGATAATTCTCTTTAGTTATGGCTTTGATTTGGTCATCATCAATTTAAACAGGTCGACCAGAACGTGGGTCCTCTTTAAGTGAAAAATTTTCAAAACGCAATTTTTTAAACCAATTCTGACACGTACGTTTCGTTACACAATCAACACCATAAACTTCTGATGTCTCTTTGTAAGCCTCAGCAGCTTTTCTTTCTAGAAATGTTCATTTCTATATTCTATATGTTAAAATAACCTGGAGTAACCTAACCTAAATGTGACTGATATCAAATACCACAAGGAAGAGAACATAACACTGGGGGAATTTTTTTTTTATTAACGACAGCTAAGCCTCAGGCTCATGTGTCCATTTGAAAGTCCTTCGAAACAATTACAACGCCCTCTATGCGTGACGATCGAAAATATTTTCTTGCCAACCCAATGCAATACAAAATGCGATCAAGATTAATTACTTTTACATGCATTTTGCATCTTAAAAATAAAAGATTGTATTTTAAGGATTGATTTATGAACATACGGCTTTAATTTTTGAATGTTTCATAGAAATTGTTTACATGTACAATTCTGCCCGCTATTGTCTACGAATTTGAAAGAAAATTTTACAGCCGATCTCGTTCAAAGTTGTGTTCGAGCCAGTGTGTTGGACATTCGTGGGAATTTTGGTCATGCGCACTGGAGCAAAAAATTTTCTCTTAATCTACATGAGTAAAGCTAGAGGAATACGTAGGTGATCCTCGATAAGTTAATTTTTGTGCGATTGGCGAGCATTTGAAGTAGAAAGTTCAATTTTGTACAAAACATGGGAATTCCTGTTGGGTTTTTTTTATTGTAATTTTTACATCGCACCTCGCTTACAAAACGCTTCTTCTTTTTTCCAATCGCGCACACATTTTTTTCCTTCTCACCAATCATACCAACTCATCATTCATACCAACCCAGCAAAAGCTAGATATTTTCACACCCTTCCTCAATTCAAATCGCAACGATGAGAATTGCTAATCAAGCATTTGCAAGTTGTCTCTATGTTTTATAAACAGCTTTGACACCAGTGATTTTGTTAATATGTCCCGCAGTGTTTTTGTTCGTCTCTATATAATCTAGAATTATGAAACCCCCATTAACTAAATCCTTGATATAGTGATACTTAATATCTATGTGCTTGCTCCGCTTGCTGTTTTCGTAGTTCCTTGCAATATTGATCGCTCCTTGATTGTCGACAAGCAGTGTTGCATCTATTTCCTTTTTGCACCTTCTCTACAGCAATTCCTTTTAATGATATTAGCTCGGCAGAGATTAGAGCAGCAGCAACATATTCGGCTTCTGTCGATGACAGGGCAACGCTTTGCTGCTTTCTTGATATCCAATGTATCAAATGGTTATTGGAAAAAATTGCCCCTCCTGTCGTACTTTTTCTGTCTATTATATCTCCTCCCCAGTCGGTGTCTGAAAAGGCAACTAGACTGTATGAGTTAGTTTTTACATACCTTAAGCATTTATTCTTCGTTCCTTTCAGATATCTGAGTATTCTCTTTGCCGCATTCCATGTAGTTTGACTCGGTTTGTCAAGAAACCTGCTCAGATATGACACTGCAAATGTAATATCAGGCCTCGAACCCATTGAAATGTACATTAGACCTCCTATTAACTCTCGGTAAGGTACATTTGCTGCGCATTCGTTCCCTTCTGCTCGAAAGTTTGCTTCCATAGGAGTTGAGGCCTCCTTTCATTGCTCCATTCCAAAGTTTGTCAACATTTTGTTGATTAGAGTTTCTTGAGAGATCTTGATTGTATTCTCATCTCTAAATATTTGCATTCCGAGAAAATTTTTGATTTCTCCCAAAACTTTTGTGTGAAATTCTAATTTCAATGGCTGTATTATCTGATTGATTGCTGTTCCCGTTATCAATATGTCGTCTACATATACCAACATTATTGTTCTGCCTTTTGTGTACAGACAGAAGTCACTCTTGGATCTGTTGAATCCGTGTTTAATGGCAAAGTCATTAAACGTCTTGTTCCAGCATTTTGGTGCTTCTTTGAGACCGTACAATGCTCTTTTAAGTTTGAGCACCGTTCCTTTCTCTTCGTTTAAACCTTGAGGTGGTTTGATATATACCTCCGATTGAAGTCGTCCATTTAGAAATGCTGTTGGTATATCCATTTGATTTATTTTCCAGCCATTTTGTAGAGCGATCGAAAACAGCATCCTCACTGTCGAGAGTCTAGCTACCGGTGCGTACATAGACTCCTCTTCATGTAGTTGGTATCCTTTAGCGACCAACCTTGCCTTTTTGATACCTTGTTCTTTGGTTCTGAATATCCACTTTGTATCGATAGCTTGAACTCCTTTGGGCAGCATTGTTTTTCCCCAAGTTCCCAGCTTTTTGTGAACTTCTAGCTCTTTGTCTATTGCTATTTTCCATTCTTCTTGTTGTACTGCTTCATTGTAAGTTTTGGGATCGGCGTTGGCCAATAAACAGTAACTCATATACACCTGATAGTCTTTTAAGTGACTAGGTGCTTTCCTAGCTCTTCTTGTTCTGTTTGTATTCTGTGGTAATTCTTCATTCTTCTCTTCGTCATTCTCTTCTTCTTCAGTAATGTTTTCTTTTTCTTCATCCGGTTTATTCTCTTCTCCCAGTTGTTCATTTTTCTTTTCTTCTTGCTGTATTTCTTCATCTATTCTTATTGTTTCTTTTTTCAGTTGATTTTTCCTTTCATCAAACTTTACGTCTCTCACTGAGATAATCTTGTCCGTCGATGGGACCCACACTCTATATCCATTATCGCAATATCCTACCATTCTTCCTTCTACTGCTCTGTTTTCAAGTTTTCCTGTTTTTGGTAATATGTATGACCATGTTTTGCATCGGAATACTCTTATTTTTCCTAAATTCAAATGACCATACCATCTTTTGGCTGGTATGTCTTCTTTGAGAGCACTTGTAGGAGATCTGTTCAACAGAAATGCAGCTGTCCTTGTTGCTTCTCCCCATAGATTCCTCGGTAGATCATTTCCTGACATCATTGCTCTGGCTTTGTCCAGTAACGTTCTGTTCATCCTCTCGCTTACCCCACTCTGTTGTGGTGTGTAAGGGATGGTACTTTGTATCCTTATTCCTTTAAGATTACAGAAATTTTTTAATTCAACATTTAGGAACTCTTTTCCATTATCACAGCGTATTTTGTACACTTTGTTTCCAAATTGTGCTTTGATTCTTTGTACATAGTTTTTTATATTATTAACTGCTTCATCTTTGCATTTTAACAAGTACACTGTTGTGAAGTGAGTATAATCGTCGATAATTGTCTGAAAGTATCTCTCACCATTGATGGTCGGTGGATTTATTGGTCCACAAAGGTCAGTGTGGAGCTATTCACCAGTCCTGCGTGATCGAGGATATTGACAACTCATAAATGGCACTCTTGTGAACTTACCCTCTGTGCATGTTTCACAATCATTCTCATCCACTGGTAATTCCATTATCTTCATTACTTTTCTATTCAGGTGACCCATTCTTCTATGCCATAATGATGAATCGTTCTCCGCTCCATATGCTACGTTCCTCTCATTTCTTATTTTGAACGTCATTGTGTATATTTTCCCTTCCTTCTTTGTAACCAAACTCACGTTCTTACCTTTTATTTTTGTTATGTCTTCGTCGAAGGTGATGGTGAAGCCTCGTTTTGTCAATTGGTTCACTGACAGCAGATTGTGACTTAAATTTTTTACGATAAGAGCTTCTAAGCATATTCTTTTTCCTTTATATAATAGCAACAGTTTTCCTTTTTTCTTTGCTTTTAATATATCATCATTTGCTGTTCATATTAAGATTTCTTGAGAAATCATTTCCACGGATTTCATATTTTTCTCTAATTCTTCGTTTACTAGATGCTCAGTGGCACCCGAGTCAATGACAAATGTCACTGTTTTTTCTTCGCACTTTGTTTCCAAACATATATTATTTTCATTCATTGCTAGAAACGTTATATCAACATTATGTGAAACCATCTTTGCGTGACTTGGTTTGCCTCTTTGACTGAAACGCGTTTTTCCTCCTCTGCTTTCATACTTGTTTTCTCTGTGTTTGTTGGGACACTCATAGCTTTTGTGACCCTTTTTTTCCACGCCCGAAACATACCAGGAAACTTGTTTCATTTTCCACGACTGTTGCAGATACATCTTCCCTTTTCAGTTCATATTCTAGCAGTCTAGTCTTCACGAAATCCAAAGTAACACTTGTCTGCATCGTTTCAATAGCGGTGACTACATTGTCGTAACTGGCTGGTACCGTTATTAGCAAACGACACACTTTGTCATCTTCCTCGATTTTTCTTCCTGAGGCTGATTCGAGATCTCTTATCAATGAGTCGAATTTAACGAAATGTTGTTCCATTTTTTCATTTTCTTTTAGCTTTAATGATAATAATTTCTTTTTTATGTATATTTTAGTGAATACACTTTTCCTTCCAAAGACATTCTGTAATGCGTTTATCATATCACTTGCATGTTCTTTGTCTTTCACATATTCTAAGTGCTTATCAGTTATGCACTGTATTATGATGGCTTTAGCTACACTATCATCTTTAGTGTAAGTGGCACCTGTGGGATCAGGATCTTCCACGACTTTTCTTACCCCTCTTTCTTCCAATATTGCCAGCACCCTAAATTTCCAGTTCGAGAAATGTTCTCCATCGAACAGTGGCAAATATTTAGTAGTTGTTTGTAACATTTTTGCTTTCGTGTATTTTTACGATAACGATATAATCTTACTTTTCCTTTTCTGACGACACGTGGGTACTGGGCCCATAACCTCTCTTGGGTTTTTTTTTATTGTAATTTTTACATCGCACCTCGCTTACAAAACGCTTCTTCTTTTTTCCAATCGCGCACACATTTTTTTCCTTCTCACCAATCATACCAACTCATCATTCATACCAACTCATCATTCATACCAACCCAGCAAAAGCTAGATATTTTCACTATTCCCAACACGCGCCTCTTTTTGCGCTGAAGATACATCTATGGTAGCTGTGACGTCGGCTTACGTATGCGCAGAAAGGAATCCCACGAGGGAAAATTTCAGTGCGCATGACCAAAATCCCCACAATGTCCATCATTGGGGTCCGACATCGAAGAATCAGTGGGGATAGCGAGGGACGCTAAAGTGGGCAAAAGCGCGGACGCCAAAGCGGGCAGTACTGTAATAGACACGTTCATCTAATTTTTATTATCTTCTTACCAAAACTGCACGTTGTTACAGCAAAAAACAAAAAGGACGCCAAGAAGATAGCAGCGAAGTCTGCGCTCCTGGCTTTATACGATTTAAGCTATCCCGATGAAAAGACAATGCAAGATCAACTGATAGCTTAAATGTCCATTCATGTCCAACGTTAACGTTTGTAATCCGTGCAAAATTGTGCTAATAAAACATAATTATATGTTTCAATTTTATTACTTCGATTCATACACTATGCGAATTCTAAAGATTGTACCATTTGCAATAATAATGTAAGAATGAATTTCCCGTCGATATACAGTAAAAGTTGAATATATGCCCAAAAATTGAGACCTCCAAGCTAAACGTTCATGATGATGATTCTTGAAACGAAACCTGGACGTGATTCGTAAGTTGTTGATCGGTTCTATCCTTCCTAATTATTGGGGGGATCCCCCTTGGAGCCAGTGAAACATAAAAAAAAAACGATATGAGCTGGGATATGCCAGTGACGATTTGTATAGAGAACCAATGCTTTTTCTCTCTCGTTCGTACTCACTCGCTGTCCTTTTTTCTTTGGTTATCGACTACGGCCATCGGCAAAAGATAAAGGCAACTCCGAGGCTCGATGATACCGCGGTGTATAAATATCTGCTGATTTCGAATTTCGTCTCTGCTGTACGAAAGACGAACATGCCAACACCGGAGTGATGCCAATCTTAAGAATCATTACTGTAATTATAGAAACATTTCGAGTCGAGTGTCGAACGTAGAAAAGGACAACGAGTAAAAAATGGGGGAATTCCCCTTAGTAAGCGGGGATGAACACACCAGGCATTTATTCTGTAGATCAGTTCGGACATAAATGCAACGTTCACTGTATATAGAATTGATCTATATGTGCACGACTATATATGCTAATTAAATACCCGTTATATCGTGAAAGGCTTACCAAAGTATTCTTTCATATAAATTTATTCAATGTTATAACACATACGAATAGGCAATTTCATAAAGCGTACGGCAACAGAGGTATACTGTATCAAAGTGATCATTGTAATTCTTTTATTAAAGCAATTGTATGTTTTTATATATGTATTTCATTTGTATCTACAATAAAGTGACATCTTAGTATTGATCATTACACATCGATTAAATTGTAAAATTGTTTCATTATTATTAATTTATTCTGAACACACGGCAACTACCACTAATCATTACCATCGATAGATACTTTCGACTTACAATGCTTACAAATAAATACTAATGCTTGTAAACATTTGAACAACATTAATGTCATTAAAAATATTGTGAAATAATAAATATACCATTGCAGTATTAAATACTTTTACTTTTTACGTACAAATTCAACAAACAGAACGTCTTTTCAGCGTTCGGCTTCAATGAAAACACATGAAATATGCACTTGGCAGATGTTAAATAAATTTTATACAAGATGCATCAGCAATCATAGTATAATCAAAAAAGATCATTGCTCTCATAAATGTTGAAAATATAGAACGAAATTTTCTTTTACACGAAACTAGTACTAGTAGAACGCTAAAAACAGTTATTAAATATATTCATTCTACAATGCTAAATAAGCTTTTTAAAAATGAAAAAGAAATTTCGTATAAAAATTGAAAAGGAGCAGGTAAGTAAATTTTTCGGCGAAATTAAAAAATTTCAAATAATTTAGGAAATATCTATTTTAAATCGAATCCCTAACGTCACAGTCGCGGCAACGAACTGCAACGTTCAATCACAATCCTGCGTCTACGATCGCTACGTTAGGCAGATTGTCCTTTTGTGGGAAAATCTCAAGTCGCTATGACCAGATTTTCCATAAATAAATGTCCGTAAATTTGGTTCGATTACGAGGAGAAAGATCGGCTTATACTCTTTGGAGTTCGTACGAAAATTGGAGCGAGATCGTCACACGGTCCGCTCTCGATCGCCGACGGCTCACGAATGAATCGTGACGACGTGACGGCCGCGGCTGGGCTCCGTCGCGCAGGCGCAGAACCGGGTAGCGACGCGCCGCGTTTCGGCTCTCGATCTCTTTTCAATTCATCATTTCTCTCTCTCTCTCTCTCGGCACTAACAACACAATTCCTGGAATTTGTTCTAAGAACCGAGATTTCCAGCGAAGCTAGCTAGCAAAAACACGTAAATGGCCGCGGTATACTAATCTGATTTTAGAGGTTATATCGTGAAAGGATCATAGGGCAGGTTCCCTCGAAATATCCCAGAATCTTTTTGAGTACAACTTAGGTTTTTCCAAACCATTCGGGCATATCTATTAACACTCGTGAGTGTTACGATTTCGAGTGACGACACAGTGCTAATAGTTAATACCTGAAGAATAGTTGATCATACATGAGTACCTCTCGTCTGAGAGTGCACAGTATGGCTCAGCAAACCCCTGCTTTCGGAGGGTTCAATATACATAATAGAAGAAACAGAAAGTTCTGAAAAAATCAAACCTATGCAATCCTATGTATTAGCAAGAATGAGTAATGCTTATCCCAGTAAAGAAGCTACTATTATAACAAACAGTATAGATGGCTTGCTATAACTATCTGTGCTATACAGAAAATAACTCGAAAGCAAGCAATTTGATTCATATCTCGAATGTCTAACGACCACATACATATGTGTATACCTCGACAATAAACAGTCAGTTAACCAACTCCTGTGACAACATACCATTATAACAGTCTTACTATTGTAAAGAGTTGTCTAACCGACTCTTTTAAGGGTTAATAAACATTATTATCAAAATATGTTCGTACCTGATCATTTATAGATATGTACAGATACATTTTATCATATTCTATATATTACAAAGATATATTCTTAACAATTATTAATACTTAATTAGTACAATGAATAAAAATTACGTTGTGGCAAACTTGTATACATTGCTATCTGTGTAAAAGCGTTCTTCCCACAGACGACCGAAGAGAACAAAAGAACAAGCTCTACAAATTTTTGTTTCTTTGTTAATCTGGACTAGAACAAATTAGAATTTAGCTCTACTTGGTCAGTGAAATATGCAAGATCATTTTGTAAGAATATGTATGCGTGAATTTTTTATTAAAGGATACTAGAACTCGGTTTAAACGATTCCGTAGAATACAAATAGAAAGAGTTTAATTTATTAAGAGCGGATACAGAAAGTATCTTTCCTTCCAGAGATTCCGTTTCCCACATTTGAAATTTCTGTATTTTTATAGTTTCCCGAACTTCTGGTCGACTATTCATTTACCTGTCGATCACTTATCTTCCAACCTTTCCTAACTTAGTGTCCGTCTTAGGATTGGCGGTGATGCTTTGCACACGAACGATCACTTCATTGATCTTCGTTTGAAGATTCCTGATGTCTTGAATATAAAGAAGGGCAAGGATCTTGGCTGCATTCTCCAACGCAGGGTTGTTCAATTGGAAACCAGGAGCGATGTTCATCACAGGGAACGGTTTGCCTCGTAGTATTTTCGAATTTGGATTTTGCACGCACTCAGGATTTAATCTCCTTTGCACCAGTTTACTGCAGGCTTTTAACCTCAGCAGATGATCCAGGTGGTTTGGAATTCGTAGTAACTTCGCCACCGAGTAAGTTCCTTGTTTGAACTCTTTACTGTCGACTGAATGATTGCAAAATGGTCAGAATGGTAACATATACATAGAGAAATTATAATATTGCTATTGACTATCCTGAAACTTGAATCGAGCTATCTTTTAAATTGCATTTTAAAAATAAAGATTATATAAATAAGTAAACAAAATAAGAAAGATTTTCCATACCTACAGTTATATGAATTGTTTTCATTTTTAGAAAAAGTAGTAATTAAAATTTAATACGAGGCACTAGGTTTTTAAGAATCATTGTAATATTTGCATATACTCACAGTCCAAATTATCGAGTGGATTCTTAGATATAAGGCGGGGCACCAGCGTTTCGTTTTTCATTTTTATTTTCATCTCTTTCACATTTTCAGAATATTCCTCACCTAAATCACAATTTCGAACTTATTTTCTCATAGACAACGATCACAATATATTAAATGTTGTCATTAAACGACTGTATATCAATACGATAAAAACATTCCTTTATGTTTTCTTAGGAAATAATTATTTCTTATTAACTTAAGAAAACATTTCTAAAGCTAAATATTTTAAAACTAGATATTATATAATTTTCTTTTTAACTTCCATTATTCTATCTTAAAATATTTAAATATAAATATCGTGCGTGATCTTACTATTATTTTCTGCTTCCAACCAAACAGCATATCCAATCAGCCATTCTAGTTGGGCCAAAGAATTACCAGAAATCGGGCAGTCAAGATCCTTACAGTATTGTGAAAAAACGTTAGGCCAATTTTCATTTTTTATATCGCGCAACTGTTTCCGATCTTGTATATTGTATTGACGTATTTTTTGGTCTTCTAACCAAACTGTTACTTTACGAAAGTGTTGCGTATCTGTAATATTTAAAATGTAAATCACTAATTGATTAAATATTATAGTAAGATAAGCATATAAGTATTTATGCGATGAAATTAAAATTACACAAATATGATAGAGTGAATCTTAAGTTATTAGAAATATAGTAAATTTTGATGGCGAGTATGAAAATATTGTAAGAAAATAATAATGTCCCGAAGTCATTAGTTCCAATAAAATTTTATCTTTGTAATTGCATTTGCAAAAGTATAACATGTAATGATCAAAAATTATTTCAAAGTATGATGAAATAATTAAAATTTTTTGTTATCTATCGTTAAAAACAAATATGTTTCGGAATATGTTAGAATCTATTGATAGATTAAAACTACTTAATGAAATTTATACTAAAAAAACAAACCGTTTATATTAACTTTGTCACATTCTACATAACCAAGGGCTTTCAGTCTTCTCTTAAACATGATACCTCCTCGAAACTATCAAAAGTATCTAAAATTTTCGAAAGAAATCTACGTTTGATAAAAAATTCATTCAACCGTCAATAAACGTTGCCGTATTAAACTACATGCAAAGAGCAGGTACAATAAGAGATGCCAGTTATAGCCTAAGTTAGACTGGCCAACGCAAACGCCTCTACAGTGTAGAGTCTACACTATTTTCAACGCTCCTATAGGGAGCATAAAGTAATTCCCTAGTTACTCCCGCAGATGGCGCAGTTAGCGCCGATGCCAACCGTCGGGACACTTTTCCCTATATCGTGTATAGTTAGTTACTAGATAGTAAGTAACTAGATCGCGGATATCGTTCTTAAATATTTCCAAATGTTATATTCAAGTTGATTAAGCACGCGTAGGATTAAGAAATATAGATTTTATACCTTTGTAGCGAGCTATCGGCAGAGTGTGATAAGCAAACAAAAGAATGTTATCTACATCCGGCTGTCACGTCTGTATCGTAAACTCACCGATCTGAACGCGGCCGTTAAGAAAGTTTACAATACTCGACTTTCCTGGCTTGACTTGCTCGCGTTGAATTCCATACAACAGTAGTATGTATTATAATACGCGAATTTGTTTGAATCTCGCTCGCTTGAATCGCGGACTCGATGGTGATTAATCCAGTTCCAATAAATTCCCGTCGCGGCGCTATGTGTATTAAACCCGAATTCACGCGATAATAAGAGATGCCAGTTATAGCGTAAGTTGAACTGTCCAACGCAAACGCCTCTACAGTGTAGAGTCTACACTATTTTCAACGTACTGTAAAGTCCTATATAGAGAGCATAAAGTAACTCCCTAGTTACTCTCGCAGATGGCGCAGTTAGCGCCGATGCCAACCGTCGGGACCCTTTTCGCTATATCGTGTATAGTTAGTTACTAGATAGTAAGTAACTAGATCGCGGATATCGTTCTTAAATATTTCCAAATGTTATATTCAAGTTGATTAAGCACGCGTAGGATTAAGAAATATAGATTTTATACCTTTGTAGCGAGCTATCGGCAGAGTGTGATAAGCAAACAAAAGAATGTTATCTACATCCGGCTGTCACGTCTGTATCGTAAACTCACCGATCTGAACGCGGCCGTTAAGAAAGTTTGCAATACTCGATTTTCCTGGCTTGACTTGCTCGCGTTGAATTCCATACAATAGTAGTATGTATTATAATACGCGAATTTGTTTGAATCTCGCTCGCTTGAATCGCGGATTCGATGGTGATTAATCCAGTTCCAATAAATTCCCGTCGCGGCGCTATGTGTACTAAACCCGAATTCACGCGATAATAAGAGATGCCAGTTATAGCGTAAGTTGAACTGTCCAACGCAAACGCCTCTACAGTGTAGAGTCTACGCTATTTTCAACGTACTGTAAAGTCCTATATAGGGAGCATAAAGTAACTCCCTAGTTACTCCCGCAGATGGCGCAGTTAGCGCCGATGCCAACCGTCGGGACCCTTTTCCCTATATCGTGTATAGTTAGTTACTAGATAGTAAGTAACTAGATCGCGGATATCGTTCTTAAATATTTCCAAATGTTATATTCAAGTTGATTAAGCACGCGTAGGATTAAGAAATATAGATTTTATACCTTTGTAGCGAGCTATCGGCAGAGTGTGATAAGCAAACAAAAGAATGTTATCTACATCCGGCTGTCACGTCTGTATCGTAAACTCACCGATCTGAACGCGGCCGTTAAGAAAGTTTGCAATACTCGATTTTCCTGGCTTGACTTGCTTGCGTTGAATTCCATACAATAGTAGTATGTATTATAATACGCGAATTTGTTTGAATCTCGCTCGCTTGAATCGCGGACTCGATGGTGATTAATCCAGTTCCAATAAATTCCCGTCGCGGCGCTATGTGTACTAAACCCGAATTCACGCGATAATAAGAGATGCCAGTTATAGCGTAAGTTGAACTGTCCAACGCAAACGCCTCTACAGTGTAGAGTCTACACTATTTTCAACGTACTGTAAAGTCCTATATAGGGAGCATAAAGTAACTCCCTAGTTACTCCCGCAGATGGCGCAGTTAGCGCCGATGCCAACCGTCGGGACCCTTTTCCCTATATCGTGTATAGTTAGTTACTAGATAGTAAGTAACTAGATCGCGGATATCGTTCTTAAATATTTCCAAATGTTATATTCAAGTTGATTAAGCACGCGTAGGATTAAGAAATATAGATTTTATACCTTTGTAGCGAGCTATCGGCAGAGTGTGATAAGCAAACAAAAGAATGTTATCTACATCCGGCTGTCACGTCTGTATCGTAAACTCACCGATTTGAACGCGGCCGTTAAGAAAGTTTACAATACTCGATTTTCCTGGCTTGACTTGCTCGCGTTGAATTCCATACAATAGTAGTATGTATTATAATACGCGAATTTGTTTGAATCTCGCTCGCTTGAATCGCGGACTCGATGGTGATTAATCCAGTTCCAATAAATTCCCGCCGCGGCGCTATGTGTACTAAACCCGAATTCACGCGACAGCGTAACACCTTATATAGGCTATTCCAGATGGCGTTACAAACCCATTGCCAACTCTGGAAAAAAACTCTAACTAAAGTAAAAGTCCCTAGGAGGTCACTGCTCATAACAACATAACCGGTGTGACCAAATCTGATAGACAAGTGTTTCTTAGGCTATGTGAAAAGTTTGTCAATAAAAGTCCTGAAACATTAAATTGCCTGTCAATACTTTTAAACCTTTATTTTAATAGAATCTCGTTATAATGAACAAAGATATAGAATAGAGTAGAAACATTTATATAGCTTTAAAATGGTAAGAACAATACTTTCGAAAGTTTTCCTTGAAGGATATTTGAAATTTCTCACTATTAAAGAATTTAATTTTCTTTTACAGGATGTACAAAGGCATTCTGTGCATACTCTTGTATTTAGATCTTTAAAGAGAATGCACGATATGTTTTTGTTAAACCAAGGTACATTACCACCGGTGGATCCAAATATGTAAGTAACATGTAAATACATTTTGTACAATTGATGAATATGAATGTTAACCAAGCAATATGCTAACGTCTTTTAGGCAAAGGGTGAAAAAATCTGTAAAAGCAAAAGACTGTTATGGCCCTGTATTAGAACGTGTTAAGGATAATATTATAATGAAAACACAAAATGAAAACGAAAATGTGGATCCTCCACCACCAGGCGGTATTTATTTATTTATACCCGTATTGACATAAAGAGTACTGAACGTCTAAAAATATTAAACAGCATTTGTTAATAAGAGTAACAACGTTTCTTTCCATTTTTACTTTCCAACTTACAAAAAAAGAAAGCATCGTAGTGGAAAAATGTTGAAACGCCTCATTTCAATTAGTAAAAGAAATTTTTATTTTTTATATTGAACTTTTTCTTTCTCCTTTGATAGTTCTGTATAGATAAATTTGCTACTGTTCTAACGTGAAAAATATGTCTTGCAGACGAGTCTTTTAGCGGAAGCAATAATACTGCGATTATATCTTATAATCCTATGCAAAATAATGCTATTACGATGACGCAAACAAATTCTGGAAACAGTGCAGTTAATAATGCTGCCGCAATACCACAAAAAAAGGCACCTTCTATGGCGAAACCGAAATGGCACGCACCATGGAAACTGTACAGAGTTATTAGTGGTCACCTCGGTTGGGTACGATGTTGCGCAGTTGAGCCAGGAAACGAATGGTTTGCAACAGGCTCAGCGGATAGAGTAATCAAAGTAATACGGCTATTTGATATAATGGTTTTACCGCGTACAATCTATGTAAGATAATGGTGCAGTTTATTTATACTATTTCTGAAACAAAATTCTAGATATGGGATCTTGCAAGCGGCAAACTAAAAGTTTCTTTAACCGGTCATATAAGTAGCGTACGTGGACTCGCATTTTCTCAACGACATCCATATTTATTTTCTTGCGGGGAAGATCGACAAGTAAAGTGTTGGGATCTCGAATATAATAAGGTTACCGGCACAATTTAAAATCATTATTTCCAGTACTCGAGACTATTTATTTCATACAATGACAATTATTTATTTACAGGTTATAAGGCACTATCACGGTCACTTATCTGCAGTGTATTCCATGGCACTGCATCCCAGTATAGACGTATTAGTGACTGCAGGTAGAGATTCGACGGCAAGAGTATGGGATATGCGCACTAAAGCAAATATTCATACGCTTGTTGGCCACACTAACACAGTTGCTAGCGTAATTTGTCAAACAGCCGAACCACAGGTATTCTTTACCTAGCATTCTCATATTTTTTTTAAAATGAAATATTTGAGACTCGACTATACCATTCTTTTTTATATTAGATTGTCACTGGAAGTCACGATTGTACCATACGATTATGGGATTTGGCTGCAGGAAAATCTAGAGCTACTTTAACGAATCACAAGAAAAGTGTAAGAGCTGTGACTTTCCATCCATCATTGTACGTATTTCTTTTGAATGCTTTACGTACCGTGCTTTCACGAGAAGAAGGCCCAGCGCAGTGATGGACATTCGTGGGAATTTTGGTCATGCGCACTGGAGCGCATGAACACTGCCGTATACACTTAACTAGAATTTAGGGTGAAACATGGGAATTCCCAACATGCACCTCTTTTTGTGCTGAAGATACATCTATGGTAGCTGTGACGTCAGGTTACGCATGCGCAGAAAGGAATCCCACGAGGGAAAATTCCAGTGCGCATAACCAAAATTCTCATGATGTCTATCACTGACTCGGCGTTTACACCCCACTCCCGTGCAGGATTGGTCGAAAACGGTGACGGTGGCAGCCAATCAACGGACTGCAGCAAGAGTGGGGGATGTAAACACGCTGTGCCTTCTTCTCTATTTCTACGCATTCTAGTCTCGAAGCAAACGATACAAAAGTGTAAACAAAAAAGCCCATAATGGATTAATCCGCGTAGCAATCACTACTGTTTTAAAAAAAATTCGCTGACGAATTCTAATTTATGAATGAATTTAAATATGTCCAATTTTGTTAATTATTAGATACATGTTCGCCTCAGCATCGCCAGACAATATTAAACAGTGGAAGTGTCCGGAAGGAAAGTTTATACAAAATTTATCTGGTCACAATGCCATAGTTAATTGTTTGGCAGTTAATGCTGACGGTGTTTTAATTTCTGGAGCGGATAATGGTACTATGCATCTTTGGGATTGGAGGACAGGGTAATTTTATACGATTAGATTTACCATTTCGTTTAAAGTCCCAATGTTTATGAAAAAAATCTTCAAATTTTAAGGTATAATTTTCAACGCTTACAAGCTCCGGTCCAACCTGGCTCGATGGATAGCGAAGCTGGTGTCTTTAGTATTACATTTGATATGTCTAGCACTCGAATGATTACCACAGAAGCGGATAAAACGATCAAAGTTTACAAAGAAGACGACACTGCTGTAAGAATAACTTGCTTATTAAAGAATAATTATACAGTAATCAAAATATAGAATTTAATTATCTTTTTACCTATAATTTCAGACTGAAGAGACGCATCCTGTAAATTGGAGACCGGACATAATAAAACGAAGAAAGTATTAAGCATTTTTGGACGCAATGAATATTATTCGTTTGATATTTCTCACAAATTCTAATTCTTTTAATAAAAGAAAGTTAAATTAATGAATTTTAATATTTCAAAGTTCTTCGTCCAAGTCGAACTCTTCTTCCGGGAAATCTCCTACTTTTATATGCACTGGTTTTACAAACCCACCATATTTCGGTAAACATTCAAAATATCTTTTCCCATTGACGCTACAATGAGAAAAAATAAAAGATTAAAAATAGAATGGATAAAAATATAAAATTATATGAAATTATTCGTAATCTTACGTTCCGTCGTTTTTACCAAGCGGTTCGTCGTATTTTACACCGATCCACCAACCTTCTTTAAATTCTGTTTTACCTAGAAAATAAAATATATATACTATATTCTTTTACGTATTACATAATACGTAATCGATTAATAATTTTAAATACATTACTCAACTCACCGACGTACATGATACTAGCTCTACGTTTCGGTTGATTTGGTACGCAAACTTCGCATCGATCACCGACTTTGCATAACTGAGCTGCTGTTGCTTCCGCCTCCTCTTCTTGCCTCTTTCTTTCTTCTTTGTTTTTCATTTTCTCTTCATTGTACTTCCCTAATTTATTTATTTCCAAAAACGCTTTCACCGTATCTAAGACATCACGCATAGCATGTAATTTACATATAAATATGTACAGAATTAACTTCATATTTTTAAACAAAACAGAAAATTATACATATACAGGATGTTCGGCCACCCCTGACAAAAAAATTTTAATGGGAGATTCTAGAGGCCAAAATAAGACGAAAATCAACAAATTGATATTCTTGATTTTCGTCTTATTTTGGCTTCTAAAATCTTCCATTAAAATTTTTCCCATGGGTGGCCGAACATCCTATATGTACCGTGCTTCCACGAGAAGAAGGCACAGCGTGTTTATATCCCCACTCTTGCTGCAGTCCGCTGATTGGCTGTCACCGATCTTCGTCACGGTTTTCAACCAATGCCTGTGAGTCGGTGGACTGCGACGGGAGTGGGGATGTAAACACACTGTGCCTTCTTCTCGTGGAAGAATGGTTATATTAAACACGTATGCATCATCCAAGATGAAGTAATCGAATTAAAAAAATTGTTTAACAATATTAGCTACCAGAAATACTTTACGTGGCTTTTTATCGGAGTTGAATTCAAAGCGATTTCCTACTATTATTTATAAAGAACAGTGTGACAATATTGGTGTCGATGGAAAATTGACTGAACATTAAATATACAAAATTTTAACAAGTAATTATTAGGATCAAAAAGATTAACAATGTAAAATAGAAAAACAAATGTTACAAGTTTCACGATAATACCTCCTCGTTTAGCATATTCTTCTTCGGACATATCAAATTTTTCAACATTATTGAGACTTTCATCGGTACGAGAAAAATTGTCTATTATCTGAAATAACATACAATTTTATTATTAATATATATTGTGTTATTGATTCTATTCGATAAAAAGAATAATAATTTTACATGAACTCGCATTCCATCATCGATAGGGTACGATCCCAAAAGTCGTTGACCATCTTCCAATTTGCAGATTAATTTACTGTTCTTATCGTACACTTCGACAACCATTGTCGACGGATTACCACCAGTTACGAGTTCCAATTTTCCCTTAATATTAAAACAACAGTATAGAATGATACAAATGGTAAATATTAAAAACATACCAACCTTAAATTCATCGATAGTTATTCCTTTTTGAAATCTTCGTTCTACACAATGTGATTGCTGACTAGAAGTAGTAATAGACACATTTACAAAATCCGACGTTACTACACTATAAGCACTCATTTTGAATACAATTTACTTAAAAGTATCGACGTATTTTTCAATCAATTTTCGAGCGGTACACTTTGCATACAAATTAATTAGGTTATAATATTTAAATACGATTTTTACGAAATAATTTATTTATTATATAATGGCAATTACAATTCTGATCGAAGATACAATATTATTTTATGTGATTTATAGTTCACACACAATAAATAATAAATTATAACCAATTAATGACACATTAGAACCTGAACCGAACAATCTCGTAAAAAATTGTGGTTCCGTAGCGACGCTCTAGAGAATTTCTCTAGTCAGTTCTTACGCTTTAAGTAGTTGGTATGGGAACCAACACAGTGTTACGCTATCGCGTGAATTCAGGTTTAGTACACGTAGCGCCGCGACGGGAATTTGTTGGAACTGGATTAATCACCATATGTGTTATAATACATATTACCGCAGCCGACTCTAGTACTAGCCGTGCTATGGAACTTGGGAACACCGCTCATGTGCGGATCGGGAGTCCTATTTTCAATAATGGAGTTTTCTGTTCAGGATTATAATTAACGTTATTTTGCGATATAAAATTATACTAATATACAGTATTTTTTATTAATTATGTATAAGGAATATATGAATATCATAACTATAGTAAGTAGAAGTAATACAGAAGTATATTAATATTTATAAATGTGGTATATATTTTGTGGACTGTCGGAATAGTTTGGTGTTGTGATGCATTATATTTGAAATATTTACAGAGATTTCAAGAAAATAGAGGTGTGAAACAAGTTAAAACCATCTTTGAACCAAACTGAAGGATTTAAAAATTGATAAAGGTATGTATAAGTTAATAGAGACCTGAAATAGGCAAAATTATTGGTACGAAGCCAAACCAGGTTAAGTGCCCGTGGAAAAGAGGTTAGCATAATTAGCTATTGAAAGGAACAATTATGGAGTTAATTATAAAATCGTGTTAGAGGACAGTATGATAATTGTGAAAAATTTCCTCACCACCCTAGGGGTATTTACCATGGCGCGTTACCTTTTTTTTTTATTATAATGGGTGGTTCGCCAATAGCCATATCATCCTATTTTCTAATATAAAATTAATATTTTTAAATAGAACATAACAAAAACATAACTTTTGTATTCTTAAAGAAATAAAGTATTACATTTTGAAATAATAATAAATAATTTTGAATAATATTAATAACAAAACATATCAAAACATGCTTTGAAATTCTCTTGAAATACAACTAATAAAACTTTGAATCTTGTGAAATAGTATTCATAATAAAAATATACTAAGCAAGTAAATAAAACTTTATTAATGTATTAAAACATATCGAAAGGAATGAGTTAAATATATATAAGAATTAATGTTTTAAGAAAGATGAAATTAAAAAAAATGATTGAAAATCTAGTTCCTATTAAAAGTTTTTAATTTACGATTTTTAGAAGTGATGTCTGTACGTGTTTCCAACTGACTATTATTTACAGTTTTCACATAATCGTTTAATAAAATATTTGAAAAAATTGATAATAATTTAAACGAAATACTTTGGTAAGCTCGACCACAAACGCATGTATCTGAAAATGCTAAATAATGTATGTCTGATTGAATGCTAATATATGTTAATTTACATAAAATATGTTTGTGATTTCCAGATTGCAAAAATTGAGATTCTAAATTGCCATAATTTATTATGGCTTCCATTATTGCATACATATGAATAAATGAGGCTATCGCTTCTTCAGTGGGGACAGAAAGGCCCCCTCTTTGTAAGTGATCAAAATATACATCGCCTACAGTTTTACCTTTATCCTCCACAACTAATAAACGACATATATTGCAATTTAATTTTTTAGCAACAGAATGGGACCCATAACCAGAAATATAAATTTTAATGGAATCATCTACAACACAATCGGACAAGTATTCGGTATCGAAGATTCCTGTGAAACAAGTCGCATCAGTGGGAAGATCATGAAGATCGTTATTATTGTCATCAGAAATTCGAAATTTATTTTTGATTTCAGTAAGAGAAAACGAATTTGCCGATTTTGTAAATATATGTTTTGATCTAATTTTTTTTTCTGCATGAATTATTTCGTTATATGACACATGATAATTACAACCAGATAAAAGTCTATAATTTCCAAATTGTTTTTCTAATTTTTCGGTTGTAAAATGGAGGGTACTACATTCCTTATAAGCCTCGGACATCTCAAGAAAACATTCTCCAGTACACCATTGGGCGATAGAATACCGTGGTACCTTTCAATATCAGTTTCTGCAAAATGCAAACTACAGACGGCAGAATATTTTGATGGTGTCCAATTCTTACGAGGAATAGCAACCCTCCATTTCTCCCGCAATTCCTCATCTTTGGGGAATAAAAATGTAGAATTGTAATTATTATCTTTTAAGGTACTATCATAATTTCCCTTGCAATTGGGAACACAGCAACGCCGTGGAATTATTAATGAATATGTGAAATTTATAAAAAAAAGTGTATATAAAACAAAATGTCCAAAAATGCTATAGATTATATTAAATAAGTGTGCTACACACCAAAATCAGGATCTGTAGAGTTAATATAAATAAATGAAACACCTGGATTATTGCTCCGTTGCTCACATTTAATGGACTTCGGTACATTAATATTTGAAACATTTGAAAGATAGGCGGGAGACCGGAAGGCCGGTAGATGGAGCCTATGTAGCCCAGAGGCCGGTTGGTAGTGGGAGGCTGTTACGGTAGGTTGGGCTAGGTATATCGAAGCCGGACTCCCGCGGTGTTGCCATTTTACCTTCAGCACGGCTAGTACTAGAGTCGTCTGTGATATTACTATTGTTTCAAGATTATTTTAAGACCATCGCAACTCTTAACGGAAATAGCTAATTTGGCACGGTCCGTAATAAACTAAAAGAAGGAACGATGCAAACTCCGCATTCGACACGGCCTTTAGAAAATAAACTAAATATCTCTAAGAAATTCCTTCCTTTCTCTCTGCCTTCCCCAGCTTGACATCCACGTTGAAAAGCATACAATTGCATTGCTCGTTATAGTACGCTGGTCCGTTTGAATTTCTCTCTTAATTAGAATGCAGTTACATGACTCTGTACTCGACAGCGAGTAATTGGGTTTCAATAATTCCCGTTGTGGCGCTACGTGCATTAAACTGTGGTGGTTTGTATTGTCTCCCCAGGAGGAATAAATATGCAAACTGCTGCACTGAATAAAACTCTTTATTTTTCCGTGCTACACGTCTTTTACTAACGACGATACTGAGAGGAATAATTGAATAACGCTTCCTTTTGTTACTCGTGAGGCGCGATCCTAAAATCCCTAACCTATGACTAGAAACTAACTAACCTAACTTAACCTAGTTGACATAAGATGGCGCGTCGAACGCCGGCAACACTGGCCGTTGGTCGCTACAAAACTTACGTTCACGTGATAGCGTAACAATACATACATCAGATAATTATATACTATAGAACACCATAATCAACGTTCGCTATCGACAATGGCTAATCACCGAGTGAGCGTAATTTCACAGCGTCGTCGCGTGCGATGCGATCAAGATGGCTGCACACATTTCCCCCCTAGCTCATATCAGAAAAGAACATTATCTTAAAATTATATTTGAATATACAACATTACGCTATAGACTATGGTAATTATTTACTTTAGGGGCATCAACTCCGATTTTGATAATTTTATTGTATTGTATTGTAAACAAAAGACGAGGGTTATTTGGAACTTTTCACTCGGCATCTTCGCTTTGCATCAGATTTCAGTACCGAAAAAGTTGCGAAAGAAGTCGGTCAGAAAGCAAGAACATTCCCAATCCATCGATTCATGGCTGGCCACGCACATTGATATTCAACATTGTTGAAATCGAATGAATTTAATCTTAACATCGCACACATACCACCCAGTGAGGATAGGTTAGGTTAGGTTAGGGTAGTTAAATATCCCAGCTGCCCTTAAGCAACTGGTCATGCAGTTGCAATTCAAAATCATTGAAATCGGTTGAGTTTAATTTTTAGGTTCACACGTTATATTATATTCGTCGCTGGCCGATGCGATGATGTTTATAGAAACAGCAGATATGTCCTGATATGTACTTACGTCCTTCCACGCAGTGGGATTCCTTTCTGCGCATGCGTAAGTTACGTCACAGCTACCTGTCGTCCGCTACCATAGATGTATCTTTAGCGCAAAAAGAGGTGCATGTTGGGAATTCCCATGTTTAGTACAAAATTGAACTTTCTACTTCAAATGCTCGCCAATCGCACAAAAATTAACTTATCGAAGATCCCCTACGTATTTCTCTAGCTATACTCATCTAGATTAAGAGGAAATTTTTTGTTTTTGTCTCTTTCCCTATGACTTCCTTGAATTTTTTTCCTTAATGGGGATCCAACGATACCCTAAATTCTAGTTAAGTGTATACGGCAATGATCATGCGCTCCAGTGCGCGTAACCAAAGTTCCACGAATGTCCTTCACTGCTTTCGCGAGAAGAAGGCACAGCGTGTTTACATCCCCACTCCTGTCGCAGTCCGCTGACTCGCGGTCAGCTGATTGGCTGTCACGGAAGATCGGTGACAGCCAATCAGCGGACCGCAGCAAGAGTGGGGATGTAAACACGCTGTGTTTTCTTCTCGTGGAAGGACAATAAGTGGCGGACTGATGTTGACGCCACATGTTGCTACGGATGCGTATGTATAAGCAGAATTCATTGAAGTAGCACGGAAGGAATTTTGCGAATATCTCGGGAACTAAGGCCGTGCAGCGGTTATATACATATATAAGAAAAAGTTGTTCAAAATCTTATCTTCTACAAGATATTTCAAAGTCGTCAAAATTGGAATTGAGGTCCCTAAAGTAAATAATTGCCATTTACTGTTGCGTTGCAACACATTAAACGTGTCGAATGTTACGCAATACTATTATCGCAAATATACGTACAATTTATTTTCTTTATAATATACAAAATCATTTTTACATTATTAATTATTTAAATAATAATACAAAACGAGTATTAAAATAATTTATTATACCTTTTGTATCTTATTATTAGTATGTTTATACAAAAGTAACAACTAATAAGTATTGATTTTTAAGAATTTGTAACAATTAAAACTATAGCAATGTAAAATGAAAATATTTTATGCACAAAGTAATAGCCGAAATACATAAATGCTGGATGGAAAGTAATTTCGAGTTTGCGTGTATCGTGTTACCTAAAACTCATATAGTGTGCTAAATTTCTAACATTAAATATTTATACAACATTATGTAGAAATAGAAATAGAAATACGTAAAAGCGTTTTCTTTATTTTGATTCTATAATTAATGAAAGAAGCTTTGTTGAATTTAACAGTGCCGCTATTATGATGTTCTTTTGTCATACAAAAGGCATGTACATAACTTTTAGAGAATTGATTTTTACGTTACTTGTAAGTCCTTAATTCATACTACAAGCAATAGTATTCTTTTGCCAACTTAAATACTCCAGTAATATTCGCATATAATATTTATTAAATTACTTTTTGGAAAAGCTAAATCTAACAATGTGTATTTACGTTGAATTTTATTTCATATTTGTTTATTACTGGGAATTTTCATATATTTTATTTACTGAAACTAGTATATTAGCATACAATTGTTAATTTACAAACATCAAGTTAAAATAACGTAACAAGCTGTGACTTTATTAATATTATTACTAAGACCGTAGATTTAATAAAAAGTAGTATGTCAAATTTTCAACACTTTACTATATTTGTGCTTTTAATTTTATCCATAGAAATTTGTAAGAAAATGTATGCTGTTAAAAATTTAAACTTTAATCGCCGCACGATAGCATTAATATTGACTATAATATAGACAGCTTATAATAATATTCATATCATATAAATAGTATACTATAAATTTTACGATGACTTAGAATTAATCGATAACTGTCAGTCACTGTAGTAGATGATTTACATCCTTCCTTTTGTCTTGTAAAAAAACCTAAAAAAAAGTTTAATTGGCATGTACAAATGATGGAAAAAAGAAACTTGAATGTAACCGATTAAAGTTGACACAATTACCATGTAAAATTAATGAATAAGTACAACAAAGTACATTTCACCATGGAGAGTAATCGATGTCTTCCTGAACAAAAGTTACAAAAACTCCGAATAGAGTTAGATACATAACAACATTACCTGCTAAAGTCAAATAGCAAGCGCCCCATTGTATCTGAAAATATTCATTTTTACTAACAAATACGTTTACGTTCCGTATTTACAATTTCATCGTATTAAATTTTGTCATAAAGAAACATAATATAATGACTAAATAGAAAAATATGTAAAATTTAAATCTACCACTGGATTATTAGCTGGCGATCGTGCTAATACGATAGGAAGAGCAAAAGACGACACAACGAACCCCATAGTAATGAATACCGCTAATTCCAAACATGGATTAGTAGTACTTCCGTTATCTCTGTAGCGACGTGCAATTAGAGTTGGAATTGGAGCCAGTATATAGAATAATATTACAAAAAATGGCCACCATACTCTAGAGATAATATATCACGAACGTTAGCGTACATTCCTTTTATAAAATATTGTATTATATTTATCGATAACAATGTAACAAGAGATAAACAGTACTTACTTATATGTCGGTAACGCGCAGCTAAGTATAATAAATGTCATACCAATGGATCCAGCAAATGCCAAAATTACTAATCTACAAAAAGGTTTTTTCTATAACTTACTTGTATTAACTATATATGTGTATGTATATATATATATATATATATATTAAAATTAATAAACTACATAAATATTTCACAGCACTTACGCTGTTTATTAACGTCGGCCATTAAACGCATGAAACAAAAATGAAAATAATTTTTGTAAATATATCACCTTCAAATTATAACCAATCATTTAATATAAAATTTTGTAATATGTTTGTATAAATTTTCGATTTTTACGAACTTTGTAAATTTCTTTTATCTAAAATTACCGAGCAACGTCTGTAAAATACGTAGGTAAAAAGAAATAAAACTGAAATATAAAGAGAATTTTCAACATAGAGGTATATTTAATATAATTTCTTTTTTTTGCAAATTTACGTGCTTGCATGCTAATAAAAATATTACTTTGTTAAAATTGTATTGATAAATGATACATAATGTAAATAAAGTATTCGAGCACATACAACTTGTTAAATTAATAATAAGTATACATAATAAAGAAAAATGTTAAAAATCTATCAAACAAAGAATACAATATATTTAAAATAAATTAGCGAAGATATACAGTTCGTATATAGAAACGTTTCACCAATGAGAAAAACAATGGTAAGGTTATGTTTTGACGTATCACTTTTAATTAGACTTTCTTAATAAACATTTAACGGTAGAATCATTTTTTTCGATTTTACAAGAACAGAAATTGCATATATAGGTGATCAAACATATAACCAATAACCTTTAATCCCGGCCATCATAGACCGATTTGACAAGTACGAATATCGAAATTGCACTTTAAAAACGTTCGTGACGTAAGCTGTCTAAAGCCTAACACACTTTCAAAGTTAAAAACGGACCGCCGAGTTATCTAATGGATAAAGCATTAATTTAACAACAGATTAAGAATCTTTTAGTACATCAATAAACGTTTAATATTATTTGAAATTTCAGGATACCGCGTACGTTTACACGCGAAAATATTAAATATGCGTATATCAACTGTATATTAAGTATCGCAAAGTGTAAAATGTTGTCGTTTTATTTAATCGATAATTAATTGTTTATTTAACAATAGCAATTTAAAAATCATTTATGGCTCGAAATCTGTTACTTATTATTTTTTAAATATATAATGATATGAGAATTGCATGTACGGTGCTCCGCTGATTTTAAGTCCCGCGGGACGACTCACGGACAAGTGGGGTTCGGACCGCCCCTTTTATCAATCTCGCTCTCTTGCTCTCAGGCAGTCCACATGTGTATGACTGCCGCGACGAATAGCGAGCGAGAGTTCTATGCTTACGTGGGAACAGCGATGCCAGAAAAGCACCGCCGGGTGCACACTCGCACATGCCAGATACGCGTACGTGAGCTCGTGGAGTTTCGGAAAGACGACAAAGGCAAACTGACGCATGCCCTCTTTCTCGATTCTCCGAAGCCGCCCGAAGTAATTTCGGACCGCTTCGTGGAAGTCGAGAGAGAAAGGCTCACATTTGCCTTCTCGCTCTAAACAACTGAAATCCGACCTCCCGTCAACGGCATACGATTTGGATTCTCGAGCCGAGATTCTCGACTGTCCAGGCATTTTTACTTTCCGACCTATGTAGGCGCACATAAGCGAAGTACCCATAATGAAAAAAAAATTTTGTAAAATTTATTTTACGGAAATACACGTTTTAAGACCTCCTGATCATATTTTAATTATTGAAAAAAAAGAAATTTTTTTTTATTCCCATGTATGAGCGCACATATGTATATTATTAATACGATTGAATATAAATAGCTGAATGAATTTAAATGAAACTTTACATTTAAGTTTTATGTTCTCATTTCAAAGGCGTGTGGACGGATTCAAATACGTGAACACTAAACGTAACGATGTAATTATATTATTTAATATTTACTAACTATTTAACATAAAGAACATAAAAGAAAGACATAAAACGTAAACGTAAAAGATCATAAACGTAAAACTGTGATTGCTCTCGACTAACGTTCGATACAGAGTGACGTTCCTGCAGTCAAAGTCGACCCTTCCTTATTCCTATCTTATAATAATTATCTAAACAAAACGCACGTTCGAGACGCAGTCTCTAAAACGTATTTCAGCTTAAACCTAAACACCTCACTCGATACCTACTCTAGCTTAGACTAAATACTCCTATCGACGCAAACGATAACGGTTCTCCTAGCCACACACATACACTCCTTACAGATTATACCTCTTGTTTCATAGTTGTTCCGATATATAGGCATAATGTATAAAAAATCTTTTAAATGTTTCATATAAATCTTAGGACGAATTAAATTTTATATAAAAAAAATTATATAAACTTTTTCTCTATCTTCTCTAGAAAAGAAAAAATTAAATGAAATCTTATACATTACATGCTTACTTAAATCGCATTGAAAAAGAATACCACAAGTGTTTTAGAATAATGTGCAAAATGTGATTGCGATTTTCGCTAAGACAAATTGAAAACTCGGTTCTAACAAGGAAAAGTTGGAATGGTACCCGATTTTGGGTTAGGTTTTACTTTGAGATATTATTAAAGTTATTACAGATACTTATCTTCAGAAATAGAAATACATTCAACAACCAGCGTGGCGTGAATGATAAGGTATTTGCCTGCAAGTTCCGAGCTTCTTCTGCTCTGCAGGTTCAAACCCTGCCAAAACAAATCCTTTTTTTTTATTTGTTCAATCATATTTTAATCGTACACTAAATGTGACATTATATTTTTGTCTGACCTTCGAATATTTTTTTTTTAAAGTTGAATTTAACCAATTACATTTAACATATGTTATTTTCAATGTACGAAGTACATGAATCTGGATGGTACTTTTCACAAAAACAGTCAAAACATAAAAATTTCAAGCACCACGTACATTTACTGAGTTTTGTTTTCACAGAAATTACAAAATTTTGTATTTAACTCTGATGGAAAGGCCGCTTCATTTACATTGATATAATGTGAACGATTTTCGGATAGTCGTACCTTGTAGCTCGTACTTTTTACCTTATACTTCAGGTAAAAAGGGATATAGCTGGGAAAAACAGTTTTATGACATTACCTGCTAACTCATGTTACTGTTCTACAATGAAACGCTATGTTTTGTACCTTTAAAAATATTCGACTATGTCCTTTTAAAATTTAAGATCCAACCCATACTTTGTATTAAACTGGCAAACGGTATCACTTTTCCTTTTGTTTCTAGTTAGTTCTATTTAGTTCGTCATAACAAATTGATACGGTTATCTCAAAACAATCGAGGAAAATCATTATTAATTAATTTCTGCAATTATTAATTCTACTGTTTTGTTTATGTTATAAAAGTAAGAATTCTTCTTATTGAAAAATACCACAGCGTGCACAACACTGGTAAAGAGTGGAATCTCATTTTAATTTATTAATTTTCAATCTTAACCCTTTTAGTGCCAGCGGGCCGATCTATCGGCCCGCGGTCCTTATGCGAAAACTGCCAAGGGCCGATGCGTTGTGGCGGACCGCCGCCCAGCGCGCTTACATGCTGAGGGACTTTTTCTGTGCCTCGTTTGGAGGCCCTCGCTTGTTTACGTTCAGATCATTATTTCTCTGAGTGTCAAGTGGGATTCGTTTACACTTGATCTTTATCTCCGATGCCAATAGTATAGACCACACCACACCATGCTTCAGTTCATTTGGTTTTTCTTCAAGTCTTTCTCTGGCGTCTGTTAGTGAAAGTCGAAGCGTTTTCCTGATTTCTTCTATTCCAATATTTGGTTTTAGTCAGTTCATATATTATTTTGAAATAATACCTCGGTCAATAATGGCAGAGCAAGTTCAGAAAGATACTGAAGAAAGTTTGGTGCCATCACATTTTGACAACGGCAATGCATCATCGAATAGTGATGACTCGCTCATCCATCCTGTTGGACTTACTTCATCAAGAAGATGAAGAATATTGTCATCCGAAAGTGAATTTTATAAGCGCGCATATCAAATCGGCCCGTGGCATTCTTCGCATGTACTCCGTAAAATGCCTGGCACTAAAAGGGTTAAAGTATTTTGATTTTCAAAAATCGTATTAATAATATACATATGTATGTGCGCTCATACATGGGAATAAAAAAAAATTTCTTTTTTTTTCAATAATTAAAATATGATCAGGAGGTCTTAAAACGTGTATTTCCGTAAAATAAATTTTACAAAATTTTTTTTTCATTATGGGTACTTTGCTTATGTGCGCCTACATAGGTCGGAAAGTAAAAATGCCTGGGCAGTCGAGAATCTCGGCTCGAGAATCCAAATCGTATGCCGTTGACGGGAGGTCGGATTTCAGTTGTTTAGAGCGAGAAGGCAAATGTGAGCCTTTCTCTCTCGACTTCCACGAAGCGGTCCGAAATTACTTCGGGCGGCTTCGGAGAATCGAGAAAGAGGGCATGCGTCAGTTTGCCTTTGTCGTCTTTCCGAAACTCCACGAGCTCACGTACGCGTATCTGGCATGTGCGAGTGTGCACCCGGCAGTGCTTTTCTGGCATCTCTGCGTGTATCCCTTCCACTTTTCTCGCATTCCTGCCAAGCACCACGGTACTTCAAGTCATCGTGGGACTAGATTTATTTAAAAACTTTTACAGTTAAATAGGTATATAGATTCGATCGGTTGATATAAATTTCTCTAATACAAACCTATCGGCGATAATCTAAAGGACGATATAACCAGTAATACGATCACTGAAAATTTGTCAAATTCCGACGAGTTTTTTTTGCAAACTCGCCTTTAGGTCTTTGATTCGGCAATGGGGAGTCCAATGCAAGCCATGAAAGTTTAAATGAGGGATGTTCATTGGATCGACTGTAAGTGTCGCTGACTCGTACATTGTGCGAGATACTGGATTGTGATCACTGCGTCTACGTTTTCTATTGCGTTAAAGTGAAGTAAATAATGAGTGAGCAAAAGAGGTAAGTGAATTTAGAAAAGAACAGGTTTCATTTGATAATGGTTCGCATAATTTCCATTCTATTATTTGAAAGTATAAAGCCAAAGTATGCAAATAAATTGCATCCATGCTGGCTTCTAATTTTACGATGTCATCATGTCGACGGGACGCGTCTTTTCGCTCTTTCGTGCGAAAAGTGAATAACGTCGATGAATTTTTGCCCTGTAAAAAGTATTTGCCCCTTATGGGCCGACGTTTATCGAACCTACAGGTCGTAATAACACGAATCGCGCTTATCATTTTTGCATGCCGACTGATCATGGCCGAACACTACGTTGAACGTGACAAAGGAATTTTACTATCAAATTAACTCTTTGCGAACGGGTATAAAAATATATTAAACATGATTTTATCGTCGGGGACGCGCGTACGAAAATTTTTGACAATCTTGTTGTCACAAATCAGAAATAATTTATTTCCACGATACTTGTGTAACGGATGATGAATACAAATAAAATTTACATGTTGAGCAAAATAATTTTTTAATACGCATTTATGTCCTTCCATTTACTCTAAAACTGTCTCGTTCTATCTGACGTTCGCACTTTAATATGCCTATTTGCAAAAGGGGGTTAGTGTTGTGCCTGTTCCATGACACTAATTGCAATCATAATGATTTTGCAACAAAATTAAACATTGTTTCGAGAATGCCTGTTAAAAAATCTTAATTTCTCTCTCATAAATTTGATAAGTCTTTGTTTAAAACTTTTCTTTATAATAAATGTTATTGTTTATATGATCATAATAATATTATATTATTATAATAATGATAATACGAAGGAAAAACTTATTTTAAAGAAAGTAACCCTCAAATATTTATTATCTTAATTCATCGAACGAAGCAGGTACTTTTCGGTTGAAAAATTCATTTATTATTATTATTATATACTATAATATTTTTAACCCTCCATCAGCATAACCTATTTTCACTAACGCGGACGACATAATGGGTCTTTTAAGTCCAGGTCTGGTTTTTTTATTGTTTTAGGCATTTATAAAAATCTGCAAAAATTCCAAGACGTTTATTAGAGTTTCTATTTCGAAGTCGTACTTAAGTTTTTTTAGGTAGAGCAAAGAGACGGACTCGTTTGTTTTCTGAGAAAATAAAGAGATTTTTGCTTGTACATAAATGATCCGTTATGCCAACACAGGGTTAAGTATATAGTACATTGTATAACAGAAATTCCTTAAACTCGTAATAAATATAATCTTTTAATGGCACGATGGATATTTTTTTCCATTGAACGGGTACCAGCCGAATTACCTGATATTCCCTAAGTAAACTACAATCTATATTCTACGTACGCTTAAACTGTACACAAGATGCGCGAGCTTCTGACTTCTTCTGGGTCTTGTTGAGCCTTAAGGCATGTTAACTGTAGGTATTTTAAACAAAATGTACATTGTGATACAATTTTGCAAAGGTGTATGTTGTAATGTTTTTATATAATGTGTTAGCGATAAAGAAAAATCTACATAGAGCAGACAGTTTTTTAAATTATTTGCGTAACAATTTTATTATGACAAAATGTATGTATAACGCTTTAAGAAATTATAAGGAAGCTAGTGATAAAAGTCTCGTACGAAAGAGTTTTTAAATTATCTTATACAAACACTCGTAATTTCTATCTCTCTGTAATATTAGTACAGTGAATTATTTTTAACACATTGAGCGCCGGCACCAACAGCATGTACAAAATTTTTTATATTTTATAATGTTAATATATTGTATAATTTAAATTCATTAAACATTGCGCAATTTAAAAGAAGCAATACTGTTTCACATTATCGCAGCTCAATGTGTTAATATAGATTTAGAATTTATAAATAATACAAAGAACGATGATAGCAACAAGAATGATAAAAAGATGAATGAACTATTCAAAGAAAATAAAGCTACCATTTTTTATTTAAATATTAAAGTTAGCGATTATAAGCTATTAGCAGAAATAGTTGTTGCGAATTATCACTACTTCTTTATTGATATTTTGAAATATTAATAATAGAAGATAATATTTCTCCAAACTAAAAACTACCTCGTAATTGATCTAATTCTAGAAAAACTGCTAGCAACAAATGCATCGAAGCATTATAACAACATTGCATAGGTTGTTGGTCATGAATTTTATATTAACCCAACTACTTTGTTGCTATTGTTACTGTTGCTATTGTCATTGTCGTTCTTCTTATTGTTGTTGTTGTTATTATTATGCTTTATGTGATTGAATATTTTCTTGTTACAGCGGTGAAGATTTAGCAACGGCAATTCTTCGAAAGAAGGATAAGCCGAACAGATTATTGGTCGAAGATGCTGTTGCAGATGATAATTCTGTTGTGGCTCTATCTCAAACAAAGATGGACGAGCTGCAACTTTTTCGAGGGGATACAGTATTGTTGAAAGGGAAAAGACGCAAAGAGACAGTGTGCATTGCTGTTTCCGATAATACCTGTTCCGATGACAAAATTCAAATGAACCGTGTTATAAGAAATAATTTACGTGTACGTTTGTTTGATGTCGTTTCTGTTCAAGCATGCCCACAAGTTAAGTATGGGAAACGCATTCATGTATTGCCAATGGACGATACAATAACCGGTCTTACAGGGTAAACAAAAGCTTTTCATTTTTTTTATAATTCCTATTTTACTTTACGCTATTTATTATCAGTTATTTAGTAATAATACATTCTTACTTATTCTTAATATATTACTAATTACTTATTATTATAATTTATTGCTTCGTATTCAATTTTTTAATACATACAAAAGATGTTTGTAAAGCAATTTGTCCTTTGTCGTAGAAACTTGTTCGAAGTATATTTAAAACCATACTTTTTGGAAGCATATCGTCCTATTCACAAGGATGACAACTTTATCGTACGCGGTGGTATGCGTGCTGTAGAATTTAAAGTAGTCGAAACAGATCCAGCGCCATTTTGTATTGTAGCTCCTGATACGGTTATTCATTGGGAAGGTGATCCTATTAAAAGAGAGGTTGGTAAAAGTATACTTCTCTAACGATCAATGAATTTAGTGTACTATAATTTAAATATATGTAAATATGATTGTAGGAAGAAGAGGAGGCGTTAAATGCAGTTGGTTACGACGATATTGGTGGCGTTCGGAAACAGTTGGCTCAGATAAAAGAAATGGTAGAGTTACCTTTACGACATCCATCTTTATTCAAAGCTATAGGAGTAAAACCACCGCGTGGTATTCTCTTATACGGGCCACCCGGTACAGGAAAGACGCTTATTGCTCGAGCCGTAGCAAACGAAACGGGAGCATTCTTCTTTCTCATTAATGGTATGTTAATTTTACAATGAATGTTTTTATTCAAAATATTACTTGTAATATCGTTAAAAGGGCCTGAAATAATGAGTAAACTTGCGGGAGAGTCGGAAAGCAATTTACGAAAAGCATTTGAAGAAGCTGATAAAAACTCACCAGCTATAATTTTCATCGACGAACTCGATGCTATTGCTCCAAAAAGAGAAAAGGTTTGATCATTATACGTATCGTCTTACCACGAGAAGAAGGCACAGAGTGTTTACATCCCCACTGTTGCTGCAGTCCGCTGATTGGTTGTCACCGATCTTCCGTGACAGCCAATCAGCTGAGCGTGAGTCAGCGGACTGCGACAAGAATGGAGATGTAAACACGTTGCGCGTTTCTTCGAAAGAATAGCACTTTACTTAATATATGTCCAAGTTCTATATATATAATTATTAACGCATTATTAATTTAGACACACGGAGAGGTAGAAAGACGTATAGTGTCTCAACTGTTAACTTTGATGGATGGTATGAAACAAAGTTCTCACGTTATTGTCATGGCTGCTACCAATCGGCCCAACAGCATCGACGGAGCATTACGTCGGTTCGGTCGTTTCGACAAAGAAATTGATATTGGAATACCCGATGCCACCGGTCGTCTAGAAATTTTACGAATTCATACAAAAAACATGAAGCTTGCAGACGACGTTGAATTAGAAGAGGTTTGTATAAACGTTACATTTAAAATTATTCAACTATTCTTTCATACTACACAACGTATCGATGCAACCCTGTTAGATCGCGCAAGAAACACATGGCCATGTTGGAGCAGATTTGGCTTCGTTGTGTTCCGAAGCGGCATTGCAACAAATTCGTGAAAAAATGGATGTTATCGATTTAGAAGATGAGGACATAGATGCTGAGGTTTTATCTTCCCTTGCCGTCACTATGGATAACTTTAAGGTTGACATTAATTTCAATTCGTTAAACAAGAGGTCTATTGCAAATCTATTGTATGTCTATTAATAAATCATATTCGTAACGTAGTATGCGATGAGCAAGAGTAGCCCAAGCGCATTACGCGAGACCATCGTAGAGGTTCCAACCGTCACATGGGACGATATCGGCGGGTTACAAAATGTTAAGATGGAATTGCAGGAGTTGGTACAGGTAAGAAAATTATTTAATCGACATATTGCATAATTCTTTGTGCAACCCTATCACGCTTTAACTAAGACAATTTTAGAGTAAATCACCGTTTCCTTTATTTTGTAGTATCCAGTCGAACATCCTGAAAAATTCTTGAAATTTGGCATGCAACCGTCAAGAGGGGTATTGTTCTATGGGCCTCCCGGGTGTGGTAAAACATTATTGGCCAAAGCAATAGCCAATGAATGCCAAGCAAATTTCATTTCTGTCAAAGGTCCAGAATTATTAACAATGTGGTTTGGCGAATCCGAAGCCAACGTTAGAGACGTTTTCGATAAAGTGAGTATATATAGTTCAAACGTACAGAAATAAAATGAAGAAAAAAGAATTTTACTCGTTCTCGTATAAAACTTTTCAGGCACGTTCGGCAGCTCCTTGCGTATTATTCTTCGACGAACTCGATTCCATTGCGAAGTCTCGGGGAGGTTCGCTAGGAGATGCTGGCGGAGCAGCAGATCGTGTAATAAATCAAATCCTAACAGAAATGGATGGAATGGGGGCGAAAAAGAACGTGTTTATCATTGGGGCAACTAATCGTCCCGATATTATTGATCCTGCCATTCTACGACCTGGTAGATTAGATCAATTAATTTATATACCATTACCGGATGAGAAATCTCGCGAAGCAATTTTCAGAGCCAATCTCCGAAAATCGCCTGTAGCAAAGGTAGGGGAAACGGAGCACGTATATAATTCTTTTGTATAAAATGGCTAATTTTTCACGACTCACGTTGGAAAGTAATATTTCTATTGCAGGATGTAGATCTAAGCTATATAGCTAAAGTGACGCACGGATTCTCGGGTGCTGATATAACGGAAATTTGCCAGCGTGCGTGTAAACTTGCTATAAGGCAGTGCATCGAAGCTGAAATTCGAAGGGAAAAAGAACGTATTAACAATCCATCTGCATCCATGGATGTGAGTATTGTTCGATGTTATTTTATTTCAATAATTTATTAAACGCATATATTATGATATTCGTATCGTCCTTCCACAAGAAGGCAAAGCGCGTTTGCATCCCCACTCTTGCTGCAGTCCGCTGATTGGCTGTTACCGATCCTCGTCACCGTTCTCGACCAATAGCTGTGAGTCAGCGGACTGCAACAGGAGCGGGGATGTAAACACGCTGTACCTTCTTCCCGTGGAAGAATGGTATATGTATAGTAAGTTAAGACTCGGTTATCTAAAGTTTTTAATTACTTATAACACTTTGACTGCCACGTCATCCATATATGCGCGACAGGATTTACCATTATGATACTAGAAAAATTAATTGTCAGGTTAAGACGTCGTGGGAAATAAATTTCATTAGAGTTTGTGAATTTTTAACAAGGTTGCGAAAATAAGCGCTGAAACAAAATTTTACTTGCGCAGAATATTATATGGTTTTGATCTGGCAGTTTATATCGTAATATATCGTGATTAACTTCACGTGTGTTAATTTAAGCATTTTCGATCAGTGATTAACATTGACCTTTCACTGACAAGAAAATGAATAATTAAGAATCTAATTATTTTGCTAGATGGATGAAGACGATCCTGTGCCAGAAATTACTAGAGCTCACTTCGAAGAAGCAATGAGATTTGCGCGACGTTCTGTATCCGACAACGATATTCGAAAATATGAAATGTTCGCGCAGACACTGCAACAGTCCCGTGGATTTGGAACTAATTTTAGGTAAGTGTTATACGCACTTGAGGGGACAAACGACTATGGAAATCGAAAAAAGAGACATCTGGTCTCGAAAGTTTTCAAATATGTTTCATTTCCGTAGCTACGTTCTCGGGCAGATACTTATTAATTCACGCTGTGAGTTTTCATCAGTAAAACTTTTATAAAAAAAAAAAAAAGATATTGCCTAAATAGCGTTTCTAATATTTCCTATGTAGTTATTATTTTGAGAAGTGGTTTTTTCCAACCTAGTCCTTCTAGGTTTCCTTTTTCGTATCGTCTGTATGTATATGTTACCGTGAATGACCGAAATTGGAGAATGTCAACTTTCACCGGTGAATGTCAACAGATACCAAATACGTCGGTGAAAGATCGAATATTTCATTACATTGTTGTACATTCGGACCCTCTCCGGTGTGTGTCGACAATCGCAGATATGCTCTGGTGGAGGTCCAAAACAGAAGAGTCAAAAAACAAGCGACTGGCTCTCTCCCGCCAAATCCTTTGTTCTGCTCGGAGTCAATCAGCTTTGTCAGTCTTATGCAAGCTTTGATAACGCGACCAACGTTTTTTTAATTTTTTTTCCGATACCCTAATTTATACTAAATGGATACTGCAGTAAATCGTGATCTTTTTCTAACCCAGACCTAACCCAGACCTAACCCCCGTTATCAGCGATGAATTGGTCTGGGTTAGGTCTGGGTTAGGTCTGGGTTAGGTCTGGGTTAGGTCTGAATTAAGTCTGGGTTAGGTCTGGGTTAGGTCTGGATTAAGTCTGGGTTAGGTCTGGGTTAGGTCTGGGTTAGGTCTGGAATAAGTCTGGGTTAGGTCTGGGTTAGGTCTGAATTAAGTCTGGGTTAGGTCTGGGTTAGGTCTGAATTAGGTCTGGGTTAGGTCTGGAAGAAAAATTAGATTTTCTAATTAGCAAACTCGTCTTTTTAAGAGTAAATTAAGACCTAACCCAGACATAATTCAGACTTATTCCAGACCTAACCCAGACCTAACCCAGACTTAATTCAGACCTAACCCAGACCTAACCCAGACTTAATTCAGACCTAACCCAGACCTAACCCAGACTTAATTCAGACCTAACCCAGACCTAACCCAGACTTAATTCAGACCTAACCCAGACCTAACCCAGACTTAATTCAGACCTAACCCAGACCTAACCCAGACTTAATTCAGACCTAACCCAGACCTAAACCAGACTTAATTCAGACCTAACCCAGACCTAACCCAGACTTAATTCAGACCTAACCCAGACCTAACCCAGACTTATTCCAGACCTAACCCAGACCTAACCCAGACTTAATTCAGACCTAACCCAGACCTAACCCAGACTTAATTCAGACCTAACCCAGACCTAACCCAGACCTAACCCAGACCTAACCCAGACTTAATCCAGACCTAACCCAGACCTAACCCAGACTTAATTCAGACCTAACCCAGACCTAAACCAGACTTAATTCAGACCTAACCCAGACTTAATTCAGACCTAACCCAGACCTAACCCAGACCAATTCATCGCTGATAACGGGGGTTAGGTCTGGGTTAGGTCTGGGTTAGATCCTTTCAGAAAGAGAGGCGAAAAAGTTACGTCACCCTTGTGACGTTTTATAGCGACTGAATTACGGAGAAGAAAATATAAATCTCCAACATGTTCAACACTCACCATTAGTGCATGGTGAATGTCAACATTTACCGGTGTAAGTCAGAAATAAGGGTGTTTAGCAAATATTTCGGACATACACTAAGCGACTATGTGAATGTTGACAATCACCGGTGAAAGTCGACATTCGCCAGATTTCGGTGTTTCACTGTAACATATATACAGGGTGTACGGCCATCCCTGTATAGATTCAAATTTTTAAGAATAACTTTCTTTGCCTCTCGTAGTTGTCTAATCCTTTAACACTTTCGAAATTTTTAAGCGGTAAATACTTTTTCATAATGTCCAGTTAATTTGGACGTTTGAGTCAATAGAGAAGCTGGAGAATTTTGTAATTTTTTCAGATTTCCGCAAAGTGGAGCAAGCGGAACACAAGATACAACGCAAGGTGATCAAACCTTCCAGGATGATGGTGACGATGATCTTTACAGCTAAGTCTTCGTGTCTTTGTACCTCGATACAGTGAGCATACGACAAAAGGGCCTGTTTCTGTTTTATAGAAAACACTTTGTGTTCGTAACACAAATTTTACAGAGAAGTAATTTTAAGAAATTTAATATGCGGAAATATATACGAATCGAATTCAGCCATTACTATTATATAGGGCAGATTTTAAGTAAGCCTACGATAAGAATACAAAAATTTAATTGAAAGGAACATTTTCACATTTGGTATTGTCTGGTACTAAATGTTGAAAGAAATAAACATAAAATGAAATTGTGAATTGTATCGCGTTATTTAAATTCATTTAAACGTAACATTTAAATATATTCCTGTTTTACTTTATACGCATTTATATTGAATCGAATAAAAAATATATATATATATATAAGATTTCAAAATAGAGTAATAATTATTTCGGTGTAAATGATTGTATTTCATTAGATATTATTAACACGACAATGAAACATAAACTGCCCTAATAAAATATTTCGTCTTGTATGTATGCTGCATAGAGTCATACAAACTGCCCATTTTCTTAACATTCTCGATCCAACTATATGTTTGAGTTATTTACATGAAATGTAATTTCAGTTCCTCAACAAATGGTTTTACATGGTTTCAGAATTAATTAGAAATGGACCCTTTTGTTACGTAGTCACTGAATTATATAATTACATTTTATTGTTCACACTCTGAGATTACAGTAATGTGAGAGTTTATGCTATGTCAGTGAAATTGTTGGAACTGGTGATGTGTATTGGTGAATTTGCAGTCTGCTTGTAGTAGTAAATTTACTTACAAATTACCAAAGAATCTTTTGAAAACCTTTCATTTTAGAATAAAGCGTTGAAATTATTCATTTTCTATTGCTCACAATTTGATAAAAATTTGAATTTTACTAAAGATAGTACAGTGACTAAGTAAGATTATATTGGTGTACAATAAAGTTATACAATTTATATGTTTTTTGGCGTAATTTTACCAATTACTTTATTTGAAATTTTATCCTTTATTATTAAACTATATTTAGCGACGATTATATATAACGATGATTAACAAAATGTCCGACGAGCATAATTATTCATTATGGATTTATTTATATAACGCATACAAATTTTGCTTAAAGTAGCAACGTTCAGATACAATGTTACTAACTGTAAAAATCTAAATTCTCGGTTACATATGAACATTCTAGGAAAATATCTCGGGGAAAGTATTTACAAGAACATTAAAACAAAAAAGAGAGTATTATCTTCTATGTTTACAGTTTAGATTAGTTCGTTTGACGTGTTTGTTACGTGATTTTATATTCATTTCCATTTCCTAATTTAACAAATTTTTTTTTTTGATATTGAACCATAACAAATATTAAGATATTTGAGGTGTGACCGATATTAGTTTAGGCTTCCTGGTGCAAGTCATGATCATCATGGAGGAAATTGTTCGAATGTCTCATCAGCATTGCATCTAACTTCATTGACCTCTTCACGCCCTTGGCCACATATGTGGACGTTTAGTTTTTTTTTTTATAATTATAGTTAATAATAAATAGACCCCCCCAAAAAAAAAAAAAAAAAGAAGTCCCTGAAGAGTTTAAGAATCAAATGACGTAATGATATCTGTATCAATACGAATACGAAGCGTAGCTGCAATGCCAGGGAAACGTGAAAATAATTTTCTCTAAGAAATACGACTTCACCGCCTAGAAGCCTCGACTAGTATCAACTGCCATTCTTCCATGAGAAGAATGCGCAGCGTGTTTACATCCCCACTCCTGTCGCGGTCCGCTGACACACGGTCAGCTGATTGGCTGTCACGGAAGATCGGTGACAGCCAATCAGCGGACTGCAGGAAGAGTGGGGATGTAAACACGCTGTGACTTCTTCTCGCGGAATAATGGTACAATAAGTACCATTCTTTTTAAAACTTTTCCGATCTTATTTAGTTCTCACAATGTTGTTACAATGGCAGCTCTACAAAATATAAAAGTAAAAATTACATCGAATACAAACTGTAAAATGAATAAAGAATATTACCACATAATATATCTTTTATTGTATAAGTTATTACGTTAAGCGATCATCGTTATGATACATATAATTTTGCAAAGTTGAACGTTGTTTATATAAATGAAAAGTATCATTTCCTTTATTTTAAACATTATTATAATTATGTACATTAATGAAAAATAATCGTACGCAATAACGTTAATGTTCGAAAGTTTCAACGCATAAAAAATATTATTCTTTACTTCTATTGTACATTAATTTCTCGTGTTAATATAAAATTATCGAACGACGCAACACGGATCTGCAATATTTAAACGTTTCATGACCGCGCTCCATATAAACTAAAATACTTGTTTGAAAAGAAATCTTATATTTTCAATTAATATATAAAAGATAGCATAATGTTGTCTGCATTCTTGTCGCATCTGTTACAAATCCAAGATTAAAGTAGAATTGTTACGATCACCGTTTTCTTAGACCATCAAATATGGTTCGAATGAAATATAAAAAGAAATACAGGCAACATTTTTTTAAATTAGATATATTATTTGATAAGTATAAAGATAGAAATTGTGCGGAAGAAATGTAGAGAGCAAGTGAGGTACACAATATGCACGAAACAATAGGTACTTTGAGATAAAATAGAAACTAACAGATACAAGAACAAACAGAAAATAATAAAAACAGAATTCAAAGTAAACTATGCAATTTATAATGTAATTCCAGAAAACTCTACGCATTAGATCCCATTACATGTAATACATAAAATTGTATATATATTTTAATGTGGGTTGGCACCTGCTACGTGTTTGAAAATCAATAATAGAAAAGAAATTTATATGCGAATGAAATAATTTGCTCATTTATCAAAGCGAGAGTCAAATTGATAAATCTGTTGGAGTAATGGTTGTTCCTTTTGTAAACAAGTATTATATTGAAAAAGAATTAGTAACGATGGAATCTGATCAATTATTATCTATGTTATTAATAGTAAAATGTACGCGAAACCCCAACACTATACAGAAGTAATAATTATACTCCATTATACGTTTCGAAGTATGTAACGAAGTATGCTAATTAAAAAAAAGAAAAGTGATACAATCTTCTGCGTCATTTTTTATTTTCATAAATGACATTCGAATTATTGCATTTTTTTAAAATATTGACGTACGTCTTGCGTGTAATAAATATTTAAAAATTTATCTCATTTCCTGTATTCGCATAAATCGGTTCTTTCCCTTTTATACAGGATGACATCAAAAAGGGGCACACATAATTATTTCTAAAGTTTAAGAATAAATTTAGAAACCATCTGAATGAAAAATATAATCTTTTGTTCAGATATTTATTATAGAATCAAAATTGTAATTTTATTGTTGGGTTAAGCCCATATAATAGTTTGACGTGCTAAATTTTTTTATGAAAAAATTATTTGGCAGTCGAAGTGGGCATACATTTTTGTTTTTACTATAATTCCTTTAATGAAATCTGGTTTGTATTATTCTGTAGGATTGAGATTGTCATTTTATAAAAAAAATTTCTTAATTAGAATAAATTCACAAAATAAAAATTGCACATTCTTCTAAAAGATTTTGAAATAATATGTATCTTTAAACCTTGGATATAGATTAATTATTTTTTAATTTTTATAGGGTAAAGATGAAGAAAGAAAAGATCGTGGTGCGTTTTAAAAGTAAATTCAAACAATTCCTATACTTTTGATCTCAAAAACTTTATATTTGTAATTATGTATACAAAATTTTTAAAAGTCCCTATATTTTGTTCCACACAGTATATACGCAGACGCAGTGTATAGCGCGCCTTCAAACTATAGGCGATAATTGGATTTGTCACAATGTAAGAAATCACCTCGTATATAGGGAAAACACGATACCACGAATACCTTGAAATACTTAATTTTTGTGAATATAGATGGAAATGTTTCTTAAAGATCGGTAACTATAAGTATATAATTTCAATATTATTTATACTTCACAATCAATGCAAAAATTTTTAATCATTCCGATCGTTGGCATTTATGTTTTAGAAAAGGAAGAGTTTTCATTTACCCGATACAGAAGATGAAAATATAATTACAATACAGAGCGATCCGAGGGGGAAAAAAAACTGCTAAAAACGTTTCGATAAGAATGTACCTGATTATTTACTACGAGCAAATTATTTTTGTGTACTATTTTATTGCAATTATTATTAACGCACAGTAAAAATACTTGGACGTGCGCGCGCACGGTGTATATATTCTGTAAATATATATAAAGCATTTCTGCTAAATATTTTTAAGCACATTCTACTTTTAACTTCATCTCGTTTACTTTTTTCCTTCGAAGCAGTTTACAACCGCTTTGACTACGTTCGATTGCTATGTTATTTTTAATCAACTGCATTCTTCCTGATGGAATGATGACCAAGAGGTTCGCAAGAGCTCTTTTAAAGTAACAACAGAATAAATTCATACGAGTGTACAGTAATTTTTGATTTAATTACACAACTAATATACATCGATAGACTGTTGTTCTTATTCCTGTATTTTTGTTGGAAATTAATTTTGTCGTAATCTCAACCGTGACCATGAAAGTTATAGGTTTGGGGCTGTACACCTCGATGCTCTACTAATTTCGATCACTGTTGTCTGTAATGGTATCTTCATCTTAAATTGTCTGATATGCATTAATCAATTAATACGCTCAATCCATGTTTTGTGTAATAGGTGGAAATTCAGCATCGTCGTTCAAACGGAACGGACACGAAAATGTTGGTGGACTCTCGGTCGCTGCTATCATCTCGTGATGTTTCTCTGAGTCTATAAATTCATTTATGGCATTTCAGTTAAAATTGTTAAAATTAATAATCATTCGATGCGGATATAACGATAAAGATGTATGGATCTCGGGTCCAATGATACATGATATATTTTTCGTACGTGATTAAAGCATTTGAACATCCTCTTTTCTTTTTGAACTTTCATCCGATTATCTTATTTGCGCGACGAAAGAAAAATATCTCAATTATCATTGCTTTTCTTCATAATGCGCCGAGAACATTAATTAATGATTGTTAATAATTTTAATGAATGCACCGAGACAAGTTTAATAACAAAAAGGCATAAATGATTAATTTTTGCAACATTCGATGTCGCAATGAGATGTAAATAAGCAATTTAAAAAAAGAAAACAATCAACTATCGAAAACATTACCATATTATTACTACTGATAAAGGAATTATTTACCATGTTTTTGTTAATATTATATTAGCTTGAACTTAATAGAAAATACTGCGAGTGTCTGTGTATGTGTTTTTTTTTTTCAGATTTCAAAATTAAGTTTGTTGTTATATTGTCTTGATCAGTACCAACAGCAGTACAAAAATTAACTGCTATTTTAATACTATTATACAATTATTAATAATACAATTTTCTGCATATCTACGTACGAAAAAAACCTTTTTTCATTAATACAAATATTATTCCTTCAACATTTTATATTGTTGCTATACAGGGTGTTCGGTCAACACTGGGAAAAATTTTAATGGGGGATTCTAGGGGCGAAAATAATACGAAAATCAAGAATACCAATTTGTTGATGGAGGCTTCGTTAAAAAAGTTATTAACGTTTAAAGTTCCGCTGGTACTGAATTTTTTTTCTCGAAAACGCGCAGAATTTCGAGGGTATGTCTATTCACCAAAAATGATTGTAATCGACCCCCGCAACCGAAAATAATTTTTCCAGAACGATTTGAAATTTTTTAATTTAATTGTTAATAACTTTTTAACACTAGATTGCCCAAAGAAGTCATTTTGACTGCTTTTTAATTTCAATTAGAAAAACAATTATGTATACAATGACACAATTTCTTAGAATTATGTGACTTTTTGCACAACATATAAATGCGTTCATTAATAATTGTAGTTACCTCCCCCCGCCTTTATTTCCGGTATATATATATATATATGTGTTATACCTATATCGCCCAAAAGCAGTCAATTTGACTGCTTGGGAAATTTTAAATAATCAAATGACTCTTATTATTGAATTGAGTAAATTTCTTATATGACCAGTTCGACTCTGTATTGAAATAACAGTTTTCATTTCTTTTCGATTACCAACACATGATAACATACAAGTACATGATAAATTGTCGATTTGGGCGTACCTAACCCAGACCTAACCCAGACATAACCCAGACATAACCCAGACCCTAGATCTGGGTTAGGTCTGGATTAGATCTGAGTTAGATCTGAGTTAGGTCTGGGTTAGGTCTGGATTAGATCTGAGTTAGCTCTGGGTTAGGTCTGGATTAGATCTGAATTAGATCTGGGTTAGGTCTGGGTTAGGTCTGGATTAGTTAATAATCCAAATTATCTAAACCCTTTGCACTCCTATGTCGAGTGTGATTCGACATCAATTTTGATCTCAGGAGCACCTTCGTCAAGTCTCACTCGACATTCTTTCAAGTCCAAACCAAACAGATTTCATACACTTGGAAATTACAAAATACAACAACAGTGTAAATAAAACACTTATTTTAACAGGTAAATTTCAAATAAAATACTTAAAAGCATTGTTCGTCATGTCCAATTCGACATTTTTTCGAGTCCAAACCAAATCATACACTTGGAAATTACAAAATACAACAACAGTGTAAATGAGACCTAACCCAGACCTAACCCAGACATAACCCAGACATAACCCAGACCCTAGATCTGGGTTAGGTCTGGATTAGATCTGAGTTAGATCTGAGTTAGGTCTGTGTTAGGTCTGGATTAGATCTGAGTTAGCTCTGGGTTAGGTCTGGATTAGATCTGAATTAGATCTGGGTTAGGTCTGGGTTAGGTCTGGATTAGTTAATAATCCAAATTATCTAAACCCTTTGCACTCCTATGTCGAGTGTGATTCGACATCAATTTTGATCTCAGGAGCACCTTCGTCAAGTCTCACTCGACATTCTTTCAAGTCCAAACCAAACAGATTTCATACACTTGGAAATTACAAAATACAACAACAGTGTAAATAAAACACTTATTTTAACAGGTAAATTTCAAATAAAATATTTAAAAGCATTGTTCGTCAAGTCCAATTCGACATTTTTTCGAGTCCAAACCAAATCATACACTTGGAAATTACAAAATACAACAACAGTGTAAATGAGACCTAACCCAGACATAACCCAGACATAACCCAGACCCTAGATCTGGGTTAGGTCTGGATTAGATCTGAGTTAGATCTGAGTTAGGTCTGGGTTAGGTCTGGATTAGATCTGAGTTAGCTCTGGGTTAGGGCTGGATTAGATCTGAATTAGATCTGAATTAGATCTGGGTTAGGTCTGGTTTAGGTCTGGATTAGGTCTGGATTAGTTAATAATCCAAATTATCTTAACCCTTTGCACTCCTATGTCGAGTGTGATTCGACATCAATTTTGATCTCAGGAGCACCTTCGTCAAGTCTCACTCGACATTCTTTCAAGTCCAAACCAAACAGATATCATACACTTGGAAATTACAAAATACAACAACAGTGTAAATGAGACCTAACCCAGACCTAATCCAGATCTAATCCAGACCTAACCCAGATCTAACCCAGACCTAACTCAGATCTAACTCAGATCTAATCCAGACCCTAACCCAGACCTATTGATAAATTGCAGTTTCTCAATAAGCTAAAGTAGTACTTGTTATTCGAATCTTTATGCAGTGATACTTGTTCTAACAAGTTGTTTATTTTATTTCTGCGCCCTAAATTCATAATATTATAACATAATATTAAAAATTAATTTCAAACAAATTTCTTTACCCATTAGTTAGTCTTTCACAATGCAGTCATTTTGACTGCTTTTGGGCAATATAGGTATATACTAAGTTTCAGTCTTTCTAGTGTTAACGACGCCTCAATAAAAAAATTGATATTCGCGATTTTCGTCTTATTTTCGCCTCTAGGATCTCTTATTAAAATTTTTCCCAGTGTTGACCGAACACCCTGTATACAGTTTCAAAAGAAATATTATAAACATAAAATTCTTAATATAGTAATAGAAATTGAATACATTAGATGTTCCAAAATACAAATAAACTATGAACATAAGAAAAAGAAATGTCCCTTTTTACTGTTTTCTAATACGAAGCTTTTCTTGCGATACAGGTAATTCAAGTTACACTCACAATTTTCAGATAATGCGTTTTGCATTTGTATTTTGATATTATTTTTATTTTTTATATGTATCAACTTGGATTTATTGATTTATTTAAGTATATAAACTTAAGTAAAATAAGTATACATTATACTAAGTAATAAGTATACATTATACTAAGTAATAAGTATACATTACATTAAGTATATAAACTTAAGTAAACCGTAAGTTTTGGAATATCTTGTATTATATTTCTTAATGTCCAATCGTATTTAGATAAATATTCAATGGCAACATTGTTTTTTTATTAATTCATGTGAAAGAGCAAATGTCAACTCTAGATGTGATTTTCATTTGTTTCTTAGTTTAAACAAAAATTGTGTTTAGCGTTCACATGCATGTGTGCATATCAAGCATTTCCTTAAAAGTTACTCTACGATCAGTTTTTTATTTAATATTTGTGAAAGCGTAACTACGTCAAAATATAATTGATTATTGATCTAAATCGTTATGTATAAAAAGAACTTATCGCCTAAACCATGTAGGAGCTACCATCGCACGATGTTACTGTCATTCTTTCCTTATTGCGTGTTAACAGCAAACGTTTATAAAAGAAAACTCCTCATTAGTGAACGTTTTTATGAATGGGGCATATATGGGGCATAAGAATAAAAAGAAAAACAAAAGGCAGAATAGAGGATATACCAGTACCTGATATGGAGTTTGACGAACATCCGCATAACACACCCGCGTAGCTATTTATGTAGGCTTAAATGGATGATAAAAAGAAAACAATTACATCAAGTGAAATCAGTTTTGTGGGGGCCCCCCCTTTAGCCCCTGAAGAGATTGCCTATTTAATTGCGAGGGATTAGAAGCAAAGAAAAAGAGGATATAAAGTGCATATTAAAAATAAGGTTTCCTTATGCTCACACAGATACATACGCGTGCTCGCTTACCTATACAAATGGCCAGATAAATCAGGCTAGTTTTATTTTTAAATTTAAAGATTTTCGTTTCACCAACAGTCGATGATAACTTTCATAAATGCGTAATAGTAAAACTTGTATTAAACAATTTTTTAACAAAGTTAATTTTATTGTCTCAGTGGGGGAACATTGTCCTTTGAATCATTTTCTAAACGTAGGTTTAATTTAACAAAATTACGATTCCAATATTTATAGACATTTAGTTGATTATTTCTCGTCTATTTTCTCTAATAAATCCATTACTACTTTTTGACAATTAAATTGAAACAACGTTTAAGCACACCGTATATGTTTATCGACGTGAATTATGTTTATTTGTTTTTTGTATATTGTGGAGCTACGTTATCAAATGATAATTTTCTTAGATAATATTGTTATTGATTCACAGTTACGTACGTATCGATCTTCATTTAACATTCAAAATAAAAATTTTCATGCAATACAATTAGTACAAATAACTCTAATGCAATATTTACAGACTATCGACAATGACAAATACATTCCACAAACTCTTTACGTTACATGCAAATTTATAAAATATTGTTAATTGTTTTTGTTTCATAGTTAGCGATTGCAACACTGAACAAGATTATTTAATAAATTACTTATTTAATGTCATAAAACTATTAGAAATTTTATTGTCAATTCGATTATCCTCACGAGTACAAATCATTTTTTGTGTAATTTTCTATTGATGTAATGAGTATTGATAAGCTATCGTTAGAACGATTATGATAAACGTTATGTCCCAGAAAAATGAGAACTATCCGTACCAATGCAAGAAAAAAACGATTTATGATTTTACTTAGTACTCATTTATATTCATGTTTATGTATACAAGGATAATATAAATTAATTTTAATATGTTATATTACACTTGTTATATGTAATGTATAAAATTAGAGCTACATTTATAGTTATTATGTAACTAAATTATCAAAATTCTGTATAACATCATGTACCACAATGTGCAGAAATTGGTATTTTCAAAATGAAATGTAAAATCCACTTACTTTTATAAATTTACAATTTCTTAAATGGTACAAATTTCTGTTGATAATTTTAACACAATCGAATATACGAATTACATTATATATACACGAAAATATGTATCCATTAACAAAGTTTGCGTGTGCGTGTGGGTGTGTGTCTATGCACGTGCGTGCGTGCGTGTGTGTATGGAGGCAGCATACCTCAAAACGAAGAAGATAATGTCAAACTTAATGCATAAACCCTTTTAAATATAACTCCATTTTAAAATAGGAAATCTATCAGTATATTTGAAGGAAACAATCTAAATTCAAGCAAAACTTTGATATTAATATAAGCACTTTAATGTACCAATTTTTTTTTGTGAATATATCTTTATCGTCAACTCGCTCAGTTTTAAAAACCTACAGTATATTTTATACATTAAAATGTTTATGATATTGTCATACCTGCATTTTGTACTATTTCTGTAGCAGTTGCTGCGGGAGTTTCTCCAGATCCCGATTCTGCCGTAGATACGCTAGCACAATCTACATCGTCGCGCTTTCCGTCTAATCTATAAAAACAGTTCATCGATTTATCTGTAAGTATTTTTTTAATATGCAAAGCGAGTACTAGAAACATGTGCTCTCAAATAGGATCCTATGAAACAGTCTACTTCATAACAATTTCAAGAAACTCCACTATTTTTTTTTCCTACTTCCAATTTTACAACTACAGGTAATCCTCCTATAACACGGTAGATATGTTCCTAGGAAATACCGTGTTGCACGAAACAGTGTTATATGAGACCCAAAGATAGTACATGGGGAGGGGGGTACGTTCCGAAAACTTATTAAAAACAAATTTTTTGTTTAATTCTACATAAGCAACTTAATGTTTATGAAAAATATAAATATATGTACAACACAAAAAAATATTTTAATTTAACGAAACCTTAATTTAATAAATTTGTTTATACATTTTCATGTGAAGCCACTATAGTTCATTATTCCTTCGCGTCATTAATTTCAGGTAATTTTGTTTTTAAATATGTTTAGCAAAAATCATGTTATCCAATGCTGTACAAAGGTTTTCGCAAATTTCTTATCGTGTTAGAGCGAAACCGTGTTATATTAGGTGTACAAATGAATAATCCAATTTTTTCAGCCACATTCAATGTTTATTTTAAAAGAAAGTAAATTGAATTGTTCGATCAAAGTATTCGCCGTTACTTTCTATAACTTTAAGCCATCTTTCAGGCAGCTGATGAATTCGGATCTCATCCACTGATTGGAAGTGCATATAGGATAAGGCGTGTTGCATCGACTGGGACAGATGATAATCAGATGGAGCAATGTCTGGTAAATACGTCGGGTGCTGCAAGATGTCCCAGCCAAGACTCATTATGGTGTCTTTTGTATGGGAAGCAATATGTGGCCTGGTGTTGTCATGCAACAATTTCACTGGGACGTTCTCCTTTGCCAGTATACGGACGTTTTCGTTCCAATGCTTGACTCAAGCAGATTAATTGACGTTGGTAGCAGTTTGCAGAAACGGTTTCACCCGGTTCCAACAACTCATAATAAACCACACCCTTGGTATCCCAGAGAAGAACCTTCTTTCTGAAATGATTGGGATTTGCAACCGATATTGATGCTTCGCCAGGATTAACCCATGACTTTCTGCATTTCGGATTGTCATAGAATGTCCACTTCTCATCACCCGTAATGATTTTCCACAAGAAAGACTTTCGACGCTGCTTATTGAGAAGAGAAAGACACGCTGCCACTCGTTGATTTTTGTTGGTTGCAGTGAGTTCATGCGGAACCCATTTTCCTTCTTTCTGGATCTTTCCAATCTTACGTAGGCACTTGGAAATCGTTTGCTGGGTTTCTCCTAATTGTTCTGTAAGTTCTTTTTGCGTTTCTGCCGCATTCTCAGCGAGCAGTTGTTACAAATCATCGTCGTTGCACTTCCTAGGGCCTCCAGGGCGTTGTTTGTCGATTAGACTCAAATCACCGCTTTTAAACCGCTTAAACTAAAATTCGCATACATCATACGATACAACACCTTCACCGAGAAAGGAACAAATCGATTCGCGTGTTCTTGCAGCATTTTTCCCTTGTTGGAGTTCGTAAAGAATGCAGCGTCGGATATGCACCCTATCTGTTGCCATTTTCGACTCTACTCAATTGAATACTTTTGAAGGTTATGTTGGGCCTTTCGCTAATCTATCTTTTTGTTTTAACTAGCTATATGTCAACACTATATGACCGCAAAAGAGCGGGAAAATCTATTGACTTAAAACTTGGTTTCATAACTGCTTAAGATAATTTGGATTATTCATTTGTACACCTAATAAAATGCCGTGTTGTAGGAGGGTTCTCGCAATTTATGAATCGTGTTATAGCGAAACCATGTTATTATAGGAGGGCTACCTGTACTAGGCCATCCTGTACCATTCTTCCACGAGAAGAAGGCACAGCGTGTTTACATCCCCACTCCTGTTGTAGTCCGCTGACTCACAGCTATTGGTCGAGAACGGTGACAGCCAATCAGCGGACTGCAGCAAGAGTGGGGATGTAAACACGCTGGTAAGTACCTTCTTCTCATGGAAGGACGATACAAATGTTAAATATAAACGAAATACTGTGGGAATAGAATTGATCTGCGTTTATCAAAAACAAAGTATTCTATTTTGTAAGCTAGGAATAGAAATTAAGCAGCAAGCATATTTCAATCAGTATAAACCAAAATATTCTCAATAATACAAGAAATAAGACTGTACTTTAATAATGGTATTGCATTTTTCGATAGTGAATAACAATCATCTATTTTCTGGTTAAATAACTATATATTGCCAGACCGTATTCAAAATAGACTTAATTTAAGGTGTTCTATTTTTCTAGTTTTCAATGAGATATTTTTTAAGTACAAACCTATGCTGTTTTAGAAGTGTACAATCTCCGCCTTCCGTCGTATCCAAATTATAAACATACAAATATCCATCCGCACTAGCCACCAACAACCTAAATACTTTCTGTACACTGGACAGTAGCATATATATTAGAAAACATTTCTATATACGCGTATGTGTAATTATTAATTGATTGAAACTTACACAGTGATGGCACAGACACTCTTTAAACCTTGAAACGGTAAATGGACACTAGCAAAGGCACGTCCTTGGTTAAAAACGTCGGTTACTTGCGATGGTAAATAATTAGCAGACGCGGACACAGCCTTCGTTAAATATCCCATCCAAGTTTGCGATTCTTCCGTAGCTTGTCGTAGTCTGTACCAACAAGGTACAATTGAAATATAACAACAATGGGAGCACAAAAAGGAAAAATAATTTACATACGCTTCCTTCGGTTCCTCCAATTTGAAAATATGCACCGTTTCCGTATTACTCGAACAACAAAGAAACATAGAATCCGTTGAATCCATACTAAAAGCAAGACTGCTTATAGATACGCATCGTTTAACTCCACGTCGAAACTCAAATAGTTTTGTACCATCATGAACCTTCAGAGATATAAAGAACCTTCAGCAATGCATCTAAATTTAAGAACTGAACAAACAATTAGTGTCGTACGAGCAATAAAACTTACTTGAAAAACTCTAATTACAGTACCCTTCTCAGAAGCAGTAGCTATTTTGGTACCATTAGGATTAAATGCGAGTGCTGCTAATGGGCTATCGTGAGCAGGAATCATAGTTTTAGCTTGCTAAAAGTAAAAATAAATGTACAGAAAGTATTTATACATAAAGGGCGTACTCTAGATATTTATTAATACCTACAAGATTAATCGCATCAAATATTTGAACTTCTCCGATTGTATTCGAGCCTGGATAGGCTAAATAACAATCGTGGCTAACTATCGATAGCGTACACAGACCTGCTAAATTAGGCGGAGTCTCTCGAATTGTATGTAGCACCTTCATAGTGTTTATATTATGAATATATAACGATTCTTGCAAGCATACTACTAATCTCTGTAAATGGTCATCATTGATTTAAGTAAATTACACGATCTAACAAAATTATTACTACAAGAGAAGTTTGTTTATGTAGAGATTTAACGTATCCCATCCGACCCATGTTTTTGTTAATTTACATAACATTTAAAAATTATATTTCAGATTATACGATTAAAAATAAATTATACAAATGCAGGTAAATTTAAATCATACTTTTTAAAATATTTATACGTCGTTAGAATCAACATTGTTTTTACAGCTTGAACAAAAATAGTGTATTGTGTAACTTAATTTTAAAAATATAGTTCAAAGATAAAAGAAAATAAAAATTAGTACGATTCTGTTGGATAATATTTATTTAAAAGATTTAGAATAAACTTACCGATCTATTGAGCTTCACGGCCAAGATGGTATTCGAGTAACTATAATAGCAAATTTCAGTTCCTTTTCTAAAATGGCAGACTCTGAGTTTACGAGGCGACGACAAGGTAACCATTGCCACAAGGCTGCTGCTGAACAGTCGTTCGATGATGCGTATGTCCTCGGTATCTATAGTTCACACAATCATGCATAATTAAACAATCGCATTGTAACGAAGCACATAATAGAACATGCTATAGGAAATGAAATATACTTCTAGCTCTACTGTACACTACAAAATCTTTAAATTTTAACGCTATAAATAAATAAGTATTTATCGTTAATTATTAGCTTAAAAACTTTTCATTCTTACTTTTAAAAGTAAGCCATAAAACTTATTACCATTTTCATATATAATGTGCAAATAGTCAACAGAGTTCAAGGAGTAAAGTTTGTAACCAGCTTGTGACCCTACTGCCAAAGATCTGCAACCAAATCACATCCAAATTTAATAACGCCAACGGTATCTATCGCACAGTGTACGACAAAAGATTCTACTTTCGTTCACATTTACACGACTACATTAAGAAAGTAAATATATTAACAATTGCAATAAACGTATCAGTCGCATAAAAGACGTAAAATTACCTCTCGATCGATGATCTATAATACGAATATTTTATATAAAATGGCCAAAAAAAATGACAATCCGTTGTTTGAAAATAACATCAAACATTTATAAAGGTTATAAATCTAAATAAATGGTAGAAAAATTAACGATGAAAGGAAAATATATCACGTGCAAAACTTTCTTGACATTCGTTGCAATCATCATTATACATCATTAATACGTAATTACTCGGTAATAAGCGAATCGAGTGATGCAGATATCGAAAATATTTTTAAAACACACAAAAACATACGAGTGGATTACGCATCATTCAAAAATGGGATAATCGTAGGGATAATTCGAAAAAGAAAACATTCGTATACGATCTATTTTTTGGATCAAAGTTTGTTATATACGAAATACAACGTAAAGAAGGTTAGGAAACAAAGGACGACATTCCCAATTATCTGGTGCTCTATGGAGCGACACTTACGTATAATCCTGATTGAAGTTAACAAAGAAAACATCACTTTCAGGTTCATTAGTTTCATTTGCGAGGTTCATTAGTCCTGATATACTGTATTTTAATCCTTGCGTAAATACATCCACGTTACGCGCAAGATTTTGCATAAATTGCACAGCCGATGCACGCAAGAACACTCGCCACTTTTTAATTTCTTATTATATCTGTTTTTCTCTTTGATTTTATTGCTTTTCTTTGTCACTCTCTTCTTGCACGTACCAAATACAAATATACGCACGCGCGCGCTTATACAATATTTCGGAACAGATGTCGGACGCAGTGTGGCCAGATCACGCAGAATTGAGTGCATCAAAGGCTATACTAGTAACGACGAATGTGCTATAGTCCCAAACGGAACGGTGGGGAAAACAGACACGTTCTAATACACAGGGAGTACACTGATCTGCTCGGAAGAGTCAAAGATTAATAAGTAAATTATGTAGAATGAAATATATTTGTGTAGAAGTCTTGTTAGTATCGATTTACTGTTCCATGTGAAATAGTTGATTGTATAAAACACGAGGTAAAATATTGTTCAAAATAACTATATTAATTAATATTTTAGTTCGATGCTTAAACCGATAGATAATACCTATTGACATTTAATGCGGTGAAACATTTGTTTCCGAAAACGTCATGGATACCTCTAGTCTTCAACTTATAGCGGCGCCAATAAAAAACGTTTTACAGATTCAACGCATCAAAGAGTAAGATATGACAGCTATTAGTAATTAACAAGTATTAATCTGCTCATATTTTATTGTACATTAACTTGCTCAACATACTCGATTATCAAAATAATGATTGTTTAAATTAACATGTAATATTTTTCGAAACATCGATTGACAATATTTAATCTTTGCATGGTATGTATATATGTAGTTATAAATTGTTATTTATATTTTATTTCTTACTTTATTTGTAAAGTGTTCTAACAAATAAAATTTTCAGTTTTTAATCTGGCATGTTATTCTGTGTTATATTACCTTTGTACAGCTGTATGAAACCTTAAAAAATTAATTTCCTTGCATAATTTAACAAACACAAAACACTTGTCATGCAATAAATTTAAGAATTACATATTTTTAAATTTCATTTCTGTATGCTAGTAGATTTAAAATTTTGCATGTATTGGGTATTTTAATACAACGTATTTAAACGAAGCGCATCGTTATCTTGCTTGAAAATGGACAAACGCATAAAGTCATTAAACAGAATGTCCAAATTATACAGACACCGAATAATCAAATCTTTACAATATTTCAAAATACATGGAATGTTATCGTCGAACATAAACTAACAAGTAGGTATTATACGATTTCATACTATACTATTAATGATTTATTACGCACACACAGACACAGAGAATATAAGTGGGAGGGAGTAAGCAAGAAGAAATAAAAACTGTAAAAAAGCAGAGATAAGTAAGCTGTAATTTGTAGTCGTGTGTGTTCATACCAAAGCAGTAGTTTTGCTAACGAACCATAATGCTTGTATAATTCATTAACTCTTTCACTTCAGACTGTGTAATTCTTATAAATCCTCCTGTCTCTGCTTATATAAATAGTAATACAATAACATACACAGATTGTATATTTTATAAATTGAAAAGTTTAGTTACCAAAAATAATAACAACTAGTAAGAATGACGAAAACAATGTTGAAATATGATTTATTATTAACAAACTGCTGTCAAAAATATTAATCAACTATCATTAGTTTGGCAGGAGAATTATGTTTACTATTTCAAAATGAAAAAATATAATTTGTTACGTAACGGATTGTCGATTCACAATAATATATTATATAAAAATTAAACACAATGTTAAGCATTCGCTGTCGTTGATAAATTAATAATATATCTTTAAACAAAGAATTAATGACTTTCATAGTTACGTGTTATAGATAAGAAATGTTATCGATGTTACGTTTCGATTCAAAAGTTATTGAGATTTATATTGTGTTTTATTTAGCTAAGGTATTAGGCCAATCAAAGAGGTGTTTATTTAGTGGTTTTTCTCTAAATCAGTTTATTTTCTTATGGTTTCTTTTTAAAAAGGCTATGTTTCAGTATTGAAAAGACATATAGAAGGGGGGGTGGGTGAAAAAGTAATGCGTATTTACAAGATTACAAATTTTAAGAAACTATAGTATTCGTGGAGTGGTACAGATGATTTTTTAGTGTTAATTTACAGCATGCAGGACGAGATTGTGAATAACTTTTATCTGAACAATAATTGTCGTTGAGATATTTGTAACTGACAGGCGAGCATATATAACGGGTGGATAACAAGATTTAATTTAATCAATATCAATAATATACTCACCTAACCTAACTTATATACATAGTATCGATATAATATATAGCCAAACCTAATCTAATCACTAAAACTAACTGTCGGAATATTGATTAAATTAACTAATTACTTTTTTGTAAAGAAAATACAAAAGCGCAATACTTTTTCACCTTCTCCCAATTATATTTCTTTCTAAAGATCAGATACAGCCTTTTGTGAAAAATCCGAAAAAAATAAAACCGATTTGAACAAACGTTTTTGGTTTATGGATTATAAAATTAAAAAACAAGAAGATCATTAAATGCAAACAATATCTACCGTGTCGTATCACTTTCCTTTACATCCTTTCAAAAGAGTTGAAATGTTTTTCTTTTTAATAAAAAAAAAAAAAAAAAAACAAATGCGTCTTCATTGGTGAAAAAATTTAAGTCGTAAAAAAATAAACATTAACGTACTATTCAATTCTCCTGTCTATAGTTTTCTTTTTAATCTTTTACCAAATTCGAGATAGGTGAGCGAAATCGCGGGTAAAAGCTAATTTAAGAACGAATTTAAAATTTTGATTTCCTGGACAGAAATAAGGACAGTAGTCTAAAAACTATACAATTTTGTAACCTTAATTTTTCTTGTTGTTACCAACAGTAGATACACATGTATAACTTAAATGGACAAAGTTAATGTCCTATCTTGTGTGTTTGAAAAACAGCTTTCTGCATATAATGCATATAGACCAGCCAAATAAAAGAATAACAATAATTTGTACTACAAAGAGTTTTACTAAAAATACAGAGAGTTCGGTCACACGTGGGAAAAATTTTAATGGGAGATTCTAGAAGTCAAAATAAGACGAAAATTAAGAATACCAATTTGTTGATTGAGGCTTCGTTAAAAAGTTATTAACAATTGCGCGTGTAGGTAGGCAACCTGCGCACATTAACGTTTAAAGTTCCGCGCACGCAGCTGTTCGCAGATTGCCGCCTCACAGGCGCAACTTTAAACATTAATAACTTTATAACGAAGCCTCAATCAACAAATTGGTATTCTTGATTTTCGTTTTATTTTTGCCTCTAGAATCGCCCATTAAAATTTTTTCCCGGGAGTAGCCGAACACCCTGTATAAAATTTTTAAATAAGAATTGTATATTTAGGTTACTAACAGTATCAAAGACCTTTGCAGGGTTATTTAAAAATTAACATTTGTAAACGAACAACCGTTAACACATAAGTTTGTCTAGTTCTGAGAATGTCGACCTAAACTATGAATTTCTATAGTCCATAGTTAAAAATTGTTCAAAGTTATTACTTGGATAAAAATGACTCCACTATACTACACTAGGGTTAGTTTCGATTACCGAAATAGTCATTTGTTTTTATGTATAACAGTGTTTCTTTATTTAGTAATAAATACACATGTAATATGTATATATACAGTAGTTTAAGTATTAATAGATTATATTGTAGTGTATATTGTATTGTATTTGTTTTGCATCAATAAACAGAAATAATTGTTAGAGAGAGAGATGAATCGTTAAAGGCGTTACATTTTTACAGAATAAAATGGATGAATTCTCGAGCATGTACAAAGGAGGCATATACGCCTACTTCTATAGAACACGTAGCAAATATGGCTACTCATGGAATTTGGGTCGTACCATCTATCATAGGTGGTTTAGAACTTGTTCATCGTTCTACAACATGGAGACAATTAGTATCTGCTTACGTATATGGTACATCTTTGATCCTTGTTTTCATGGTATCAACTTTTTTCCATAGTGTACATTACTATAATTATAACAGGTACTTATATAGAAACATTGTTCTTCGTTCGCATGGTAATAACAAGGAATGAAACATTAACGTAGAGTTATATTACAGGCAACTTAAAGATGCGTTGCATCGTTTTGATCGTGCTATGATCTACATTTTTATTGCTGCTAGTTATTTTCCTTGGTTAAACATAGATCATTTCCCAGATGATGAATTACTCTGCGTAATGCGTTACGCTATTTGGATAATGGCAATATTGGGAATACTTTATCAACAAATTTTTCACGAAAAATATAAAATGTTAGAGATAATTATTTATTTACTTATGGGAGTTGGTCCCAGCATTGCGATTATCAATGTTGTAAGTACATAATTATAAATAATTCTAAAATAGTACCTTGCGCAATTACAGTGAAATTAATAATCATGAAAGGGTTAAAAATGTGTATGTTAATGCTTACAGTACAATTATTACAATATCACCGAACTAAAAATGGGAGGACTTATTTACATTTTGGGACTGGTGTTTTTTAAATCTGATGGTCGCGTACCATGTGCACATGCAATTTGGCATCTATTCGTTGCAGCAGCAGCTGGGTGTCATTACTATGCTATATTAAATCATGTATTTCCTGCAGCTGGTTCTACGGATAGTTTTATGCAACCAGGCGTGACGTCTTTACATAAATTATTAAAATCTCATATTGAAGAATTATGAAAACGCTTGTTTTCCATATAAATTATAAATATTAGATACAAAATTCAAGATACTATTCCTATTTAAATATTCTAATTGAAGACTGTAATTAATTTTGTTGTACCTGAAACGTAAAGACAATTGCATCCACAAATTGTGGACATTTATCGAAATGTTACTAAAGTAGCCGATACTAAAAGACTATTACTCGGTTACCATTAACTAATAGTAATTAATGCATTAGATAATGTTGTAGATTGAAATTGGAATGACGAAGCAAAGATTGTGAATAATAATCGATTGTTATAACATTATAAGGCAATTATTTTATGAGAAATATTAAATAATCTTTTTCTACAGTCTAAAGCCGTTTGTAAAAATCTATATATTATTTCAAAGTGTGAAATATATGATCCATGTAATATAATAACAGAGTAGGTGGCTAGCAAAATTGACTGATTTTATTAGACTTTTAACAAAACCTATTCTTCTAATTACGAGCATACTGTGCCAACACTTCTATATATATACATACATATACAATCTCCATACACCAGGAAAAAGAATATTAGTTTTGCTATTAGTTATTTTTTTAGCAAGATACATAAAATTTTGTAAAAAAAATAGTATCTAAAACTACGGTGACAGATGTTTATAGATCATTATAAAACATTTAATGATATAGTAATCACAAAGAAAGTGAATAAAACAAATACTGTATTATTTCTAGTATATTTTATAATGTAATAATTGAATATGATTTTTATGATGTAATACATAGACGTATTAACATTGTAAATTAATAAAAAGAATAAGTGGCTTTAATATTGTATCTTAACCTTGGATCCATTACTTTCTTTTTTAATGAAAAAGTGAGATCACCTGAAGATCTGTTAGAAAAGATTTCCCTCTCAATGACGCGTTTCTTATTTAAAATTGAACTATCAATCATTTCCGTAATTATCTTTAGTGTGTGTTCTACGAGAATTTACAATTGAATTTGAACAATTTTTCGTTGATTCGAAAATAATGTGGTATACAGGGTGTTCGGTCAACCTTGGGAAAAATTTTAATGGGAGATTCTAGGGGCCAAAATAAGACGAAAATCAAGAATACCAATTTGTTGATCGAGACTTCGTTAAAAAGTTATTAACGTTTAAAGTTCCGCCTGTTGAACGGCAATCTGCGAATAGCTGCGTGCGCATGATAGTAATTCTCATTCACAAAACTGTAAGACTGTTGATACGTCAGTAAGCAGAGTTTCTCATGCTGAGTGAGAACCACTATCGCGCGCAGGCAGCTGTACGCAGGTTGCCTATCTGCAGGCACAACTTTGAACGTTAATAACTTTTTAACGAAGCCTCAATCAACAAATTGGTATTCTTGATTTTCGACTTATTTTGGCCTCTAGAATCCCCCATTAAAATTTTTCCCAGAGATGGCCGAACACCCTGTATGTCGAGTCCTCAGATCGGTCATGAGTACCGTAGTGTTCAACGCATGGGGTCGCAATGAAGCGCAAGCGCGATCGAGCAGCGCTATACAGAGTCCAGGAGTGGGGCGATACGGGCACGTGAACCGGAGTGGTGGTTGGTTTTCGGCCTTGTGGGCAGTGATGGACATTCGTGGGAATTTTGGTCATGCGCACTGGAGCGCATGATCACTGCCGTATACACTTAACTAGAATTTAGGGTACCGTTGGATCCCCAGTAAGGAACAAAATTTAAGAAAGTTACGGGGAAAGAGACAAGTTTTTATGAAGGAAAACAGCGTAAATGTACAACAAAAAGTGGAAAACAATTCATTATTTATTTAGTTTTATTTACGTGTGCAACCGATTTATTACACAAATACATCAAATATATCACATTATATATTGGAAACATATACTTTATCAATAGTAACTGAATACATTTAAATCAAATTAATTTCGTATGTTTTAATCGACTTAAAAATAAAAATGTTGGAATTCCCAACAGGCCCCTTACATGCAACTCCTCTTGCGCTTAAGATACATCTATGGTAGCGGACGACAGGTAGTTGTGACGTCAGCTTACGCATGCGCAGAAAGGAATCCCACGAATGTCCATCACTGCTTGTGGGCGGCATGGGCCAGTGACGCAGTGACTGCCTGCCAGTCTCCTGGTAACTGTTCCGCGTTACGTTAAGAAATAAGCGATACTTTTGTTTACATTGTACCAACAATGAATTATGTCGACATTATTACAGTCTCATTTTATTATTTGCTTGTTCCCCAAGCTCCCATTATGACCCTTTAAATCCGACATATATTTTTCAAAAATGAAAATGTCTTTTTTAAAATGTTTTAAATTATTATAAATAGAAATGAAAGCGATATTAGATTAAATTGATTCGAATAGTCCACTCATTTTGCAAGCAACTTAAAACGACAGGGTCAAGTAAGGATAGTCCTTACTAAGGGCTTGAAAGGAATTGTTTAGTCGGAAAAAATGATACGAAGGAAGACATGGTAGTACTTTACTATGGTGATACTCGTTTCATGGTTGATAACATTTAATTAATCGCGTACCATCTTCGCTTTAATTTATTTACATCGTATTTAACGAATAATCGATTATGTGTAACGGGCAGAACAAAATTTAAATAATTGCGTATAAGTTTGTAACAGATGACATCATAAATTTATCTCGAGATGATAGATATTCTGTGAGTTTATTGATCTTTGCCGACTCGAAGAACGGTAAGCCGGGTAAGCGTGCTGCTTAGAGTACTAGAAAGTTAGTATTTTTAGAGAATATGTATAATAATGTCATGAAATAGTTTTAAGATCATAAATTAATTTAAAGGATAAAAATGGGAATAGGTAAAAGCCAATTTACCGAAGATGAACTGCAGGATTATCAGGCACGTTACAATCGTAATAAAGTATTTAATATAAATCTTATTTAATATCGCTTCATGTTGTAGGATTTAACGTATTTTACGAAAAAAGAAGTTTTGCAGTGAGTATGTTTAAATAATTTTTACATTAATTGCACGTAAATCGTATATCTTTTATATAAATATTTGGATAAAGAAAAATTCTTTTAAAGATACAAAACATTTCAGTATAAATTGCTAATATATAGTTTTTAAATTCTCTTTTACGATAGTGCGCATAAAAAATTTAAAGCTCTTGCTCCAGAAAAAGTTGGTCACAATAGAAACGCTAAACTTTCGATGTCAAAAATTTTACAATATCCTGAATTGAGAGTAAATCCTTTCGGAGATAGGATTTGCAAAGTTTTCAGTTCTAGTCAAGATGGGGATTGTACTTTTGAAGATTTCTTGGACATGATGTCTGTATTTAGTAACGCGGCACCAAAAGCTGTGAAGGCAGAACATGCTTTCAGAATATTTGGTAATACTTCGTACTGAATTTATTTATAAACTGTATCCGTCAATTAACTAATGATATGTTATATATAGATTTTGACGGCGACGACATGCTTGGCATCGGAGATTTAAAACAGGTTGTAGATAGACTTACTGCTTCTCAAAGATTAACAGAAACAGATATGCAACAAGTTTTACAGTGTATATTAGACGAAGCAGATTTAGATGACGACGGTGCGTTAAGTTTTGCAGAATTTGAACATATTATCGAAAAAAGCAACGATTTCTCCATGTAAGATTTGCAATAATCCTGATGCGCTTCGTTTGCTTTAATAGTACAACGGATTTCTCTATTTACTTTCATTAATATGTTTATCGCTGTTTGCAGGAGTTTTCGTATACGTTTGTAAAACATAAAACATTGAATTTAACATAAGACTGAATGCTACGTTATTGTTAAAACATTTTAATTTATTAGTAGGCCTAATCATTTTTACAACAAGAAGAAATATAAAATTACGAATTTATAAAATGTATGTTGACGTTTCTTTAAGGCCTATGGACAAATCTTCCGTCTTGTCGATTGTTGAGATTTCTTTTTCTCTTCAGATTTACCTATAATTTTGCAAAGACAGTCCTTAACTTGAACTTAAATTTAAACCTAAACTACAAAAACTAAATGAAAGTACAGAAAAAAATTCTGTCAATCGTAACTTGCAATTTGATTAGAATGTTTTTTGGGTGTGTCATTATATATATACATATATTTACATATTTTAGATGTTAACAATGACAAACTTAGATTTTCGTCTTTAACAAATGATCTTTATCATCTCTGCTTTTTAAAACGTAAACAATAATAACATAACCTACATTAGCCTCAGCTCTGCTGGTGCATATATTGTTTACAAATTTTTTACAAACAAACAATTAATTTCGCTATTTCTAAAATGATGTATTAGGTAATACTATAAATTATTTACAAACTTCTTATAAATAATTAAGCTCGTGAATTTCCAAAACACATTTAAGTAATTTATAAATAAAGAAACTGTTTACAACAAAATTATAAACAGTTACGTTGAAGTTAGAAATCTGTACAGTGTTACTTTTTTCTTGAATTGCCAAAGTACGTTATTTATTTATGAAATAATTAACTGTTAAAATTTAAACAGTTATTAGTGTGTCAACTGTTACGTCACAACATCGATCTGTAATGATTCGACCTTGGCTCGAGTCTGCTATTATTCACGAGCAGCTTAAATCAATGCCATCTGTCGGAAATTAATACAACTAGTTAAGTAGACAACATTTGAGTTTTTTTTTTTAGAATCGGTGTATCTTTATAGAATATAGTGCAGGGAAAGGATTAAATAAAGTTTGGTTTATGATTTTCAGTAATTTTATTTAAGTATTTTCAAAACATTACCAAGTGTGGTGGCATAAAGATCGTGTAGAAGTCAAAAGCGGATTAAGATTTGAGTTATGGTAACCTATGAATTTTGTTTACCGATAGGTCAGTTAATACACTTGATTGGTTTTATTCAGTTAAATTATTTACATTATTCTTGTACTAGAATGCATTTGAACCTAGGTTAACAGACTGTAAGGAAAGTTCATTCTGATATGGTTCAACAATATACATCACCTGTAAGGGTGTACAAACATCCATTTCCACTTGTGATGATGGTGCGTTTATTTATATTATTTTCTTATTTTAATAATAACATTTACTATGTATCTATCATTTTATTTCAATCTTCTTTCGATATTCGTACTTCTATTATCTTTCAATTTTTAAATTAATATATTATCCATAACGAAATAACAATTATATAATATACACAAAGGGGAATTTGTATTTATGATAAATCTAAAAACAAAATGTATTTGAAGTTGCAATTAAAGAACTAAGCGCAAACCTGCCCGTTGACGTATCAAAAAATTCGTTGGGTCGTTAGAAACGACAGAAATATTTTAGTTTTTAATCGTATACGTCACGATTAATCTGAAATTATTTTTCTCTACGATACAATTCATAAACTAAGTTAAGAATCAATGCGTGTTAAGTAATTTAGTGAGAGTATCTACGTTTCTTTCGATAGAATCATAATACATATCCGTTGTTGGTATATAATTATATCGTGCCATGATAACGTAATATCAGACAAAGAAATTAAGTACCATTATTATGGGACTGGATCATTATCAAGAAATGCTGATCCGTTCGATTAAGTCTTGTTTGTGTTCTTCCACCGCAGTACTTGTGGCATTTTTTAAATAAATATTAAAATTACAGTAGCAAACACCCATAATTTTGTATTTCATTTCCAAAATTTTACAAGCACGTAGACTTGGAACGAGCATCGTTCGTAGAAAATAACTGGTTCTATTATCGCTACTATATTGTATACTTTGTAACTTGCAAAAATGTTAGAAATTAGTTCCTTTAAGAAGTATTGCTAATTTGTTAGTAGCTTTTCTTCCTTTCTTGGTTGTAAAGTTATCTCACAAATCTTAGGATATTTCTAAATTGATTTCGAGACATTAAAGGTGAATTTTTACTTTTAACTCTATAAAGAACGGAAATATTATGATCGAGAAAAATAATGAGAATACGCTTTCTCGAAAATCACATTTTAAGGCACTCTAATTACATTTTTACTATTAAAATTTTACTGTTTGCAATTTGCATTAAGTATCGCACCAAAGTTCGTAGAAAAGGAAAGATTTACCCGTATTCTGTTATTGAAAATGTTAAAAAGGAGACATAGAAACGCAGTGGAAATCTAAAATGTTTGTTCTTGAAAGTTGCACCTAAATTCTTTTACATCCTGTATACATGTACGTTCTTATTGAAAAAATATCTTTTCTCGTTACTAGCAAAGATGCGATTAGTAAGTTTTAAAATGTGTCTATCCGTTAAAATAATATTCTCCAAATTCTATTTTATTACAATACTATCGGAAAGTACTAGAGCCTAGGAAGAGATTTTGTCATTCTTGATTTTTGTCTTATTTTGGCATGTAGAATCACCCCTTAAAGTTTCGGACACCTGTAGCCGAACACCCTGTATAGAAGGATCCAATTGTACGGAACACAAACACTATGTATGTACATCTTTTCCAACAAAAGTACATTATGACGGATACATATAATTTGTCTTCTGTAAAAGCGAAATTGTTTGAAATTACCGTTTGACCGTTGTGTTCTTTATTTTGCGCTGCGTACGCCAAACGTTATCATCGATATTTTCTATATGAATTTTTATTTTGATTTTATTTATAGGCGTATGAGCGTAGATTTCCTACATGTCCTCAAATCCCTGTTTTTGTTGGTTGCGACATAGTTTCGGACGAGGAAAGTAAAAACGGTGCGATCAGAATAACAGAAAGGAGATGCAAATTAAACGTCGATGCGCCCTATATCTTGAAAAAGGTAAGTATCGAAGACAGTAATTGAAAATAATTTTGAAAGTTTTTTAATGATATATAATTCAGACTTGTTGTACCTTCTTACTGCTTAATTAATTTTAATTTTAATTTAGATTTTAACGTTTTACTACTTTCTTTTACTAAAATTAATCATTTTTCTTCTCGTTACAGATAATTGGCGTAGATTTCGTGTACTTCATCCAAAAGAATGTATTAAATAGAAAGAACTGTATTCTAGAAATAGAAGCATACAATGAAAGCTTTTCGGCAAGAGTAACGGTTATCGAAAAGTGCAGATATTTTGTAAGTATCTAGTATAATTTAAGATTTATACAATTTAATATGTGTGTTCTCCGTTACGTGATTAAAGATATCAGAGACATATACAAATAGATAATGTATATGCTCGGAAATAATATGATCTTTATTTGGATCACGGCGTTACATGCCCAACAATGTTTTATCAAAATGAAGAGTATTTTGAGAAAGCATGTTCAAAACAAGAACAAGAAATAATCCTAAACTTGTTACAAATGATAAAAATGCTATTTTAACATTAGTCTTGTCGCGAGCTACGATAATATATACAAAAAAATATGCAGTGTCGTTTAATTAAAGGGAAGGTGACCTTGATCTTTTATAGTTGGAAAAATTTTTTGCAATTTTTTATATTTCAGTTTATAGCTGATCCAAAAACATATTTTCGTCGGATCACTGAAAGTTTGTTAACACGTTCACTGTCCATGACCCGTATATGAGTCATATCACCACGCTATTGGATACGTCGCGGAGAAACCGGACAGTGAACGCGTCAACAACGGGGATGAAATTTTTGAAGGTTGTTCAGGACTACTGAATAATTACTTGTTGTTGTGTGAAGTCGCAAATTGCAACTCGATTTAATTTTCGAAAGAATTTAGTTTTTAGATCTTCTAACTTTAATCAATATACAGGGTGTTCGGCTACCCCTGTAAACAAATTTACTGGGAGATTTTAAAGGCCGAAATAAGATGAAAATCAACAAATTAGTGTTCTTGATTTTCATTTTATTTTGGCCACTAAAATATCCCATTAAATTTGTTTACAGAGGTAGCCGAACACCCTGTATATGGATTAGAAAAAGTGATAGGTTTTTGCTTTTCATCTGACATCTAGAGTGCTCAGAATCTTGACCATATTTTCAAATTGGCGAGTCACGCAGTAGCGTGTTTGCTTGCGAAACGTAAAGTTTGTGGGATCGATTCCTTCCCCTCATGCTTTTTTTTTAATATAGCAAGAAGTATATAAGAACAATAAATTATACTATTTTAGACTACTATGTGCAATTATAAATGACGTGGGTTCGTTTTCGAAAATTTTTTTTATTACGATACTTTCCTTATGCCTCGATGGATTGGAAAGTAAAAATGTTCGGGCAGTTGTTTGAGTGTCGAAATCGCATGCCGATTGTCGCAAGGTTGGGCTTCGACTGTTGCAAGAGCGAGAAGGAGAGGCTCACACTTGCCTTCTTCTTCGATTTCCCGAAGTTGCACGAAGTTTCACGAATCGCGAACCGTACAGTAGGATGTGCTGTTTTCCCCACTACTCCGTTAAATACTAAAGGAAGCTTGTCATTGCTAGCGCCGCCGTCGATGCACTCAAATATGCCAAATCTGGCTACAGTTCATAACACTGATAACACTGGTGTGGACACACACACACTGTGTACACGATCATTCGAAAGCGAGAGTATTCTCCCTCACCATTTTTTGCATGGATCCGAATAAGGTTCACCTTGAACCATCATAAACAACATATGACGTCGACTCTCGCTTAGTAACCGGCGGTTCTTGAAACTGCCTCCGAGAACTAGTCGCGTGTACACGCTTAGGGAATCCCCAAATCACAGACTTGAAATTGGGCAAAGTTCGTAAAAAAACGAATCAAAATTTTCAATTCGCTTATAAGCTAAATTTTGTTTATTTGATTCGTAAATTCGTTCGAAAATTAATATCCATTAAAGAATTTTTCAAATCGATATCGAACGTTTCTAATCAAATTTTTGTGTGTTTTTACAATTTTAAATTGTCGACATGATTAATACAACAGAATTCTTTTTGAAATCTATATGTTATTTGATTACCATAAAATATATGTATAATATGTGAATACATGTATAACGAGCTTAATTAATCTTTCTAGGTTCATCCTCAAAATGAAGAATGGACATGCTTTGAACAAACTGCAAGTTTAGATATTAAAAATTTCTTCGGTTTCGAGAATTCGATGGAAAAATTGGCAATGAAACAGTACGCTCAAAATATTGCAAAGGTATTGTTTACAGCATTAAATATTCTTGTAATTTTTATCGTTTTCATCATATACAAATTCTACGTTAAATAATCTGTTGCAGGGGAAGGAAATAATAGAGTATTTTATAAATGAATTAAAAAAAGAGGGGATTGTTTATGTGCCTCCTTGGAAAGATCTGAGCGAAAAATCTTCAAAGAACGAGTAAGTTTAAAATTTTAAAAGTTAAACGCGTACTATAGATTTTTAAATATTCTTTAACATTTCAGTTGTACTGCGATTAATGATTTTTAATTATATATAAACAAGGTAAAATAGGACAACTGTAATCCTGAGAGACAAATGTTTAAATGTTGTAGGTTTAAAATTATATGTCTCGTATTTTTGTTTCTAACAGATATTTATCGCTTCCTCTATTTAGGAATAATGTTCCAGAAAATGAAAATGAAGAGTCCGATGATAGAAGCGAAGCTTACACGTGTTTAGACAATACATTACAAATCACAGGTACGTTGTTTTGGTATACTGTTTTATTTTTCATTCATGCGTGTTGTTTATACATTCAATAAATGGATTTTTTTTTAATTTAAATACTTCGCTTGAGGTTTCTTAGAAAGATTGAAATATGATAAAGAATTTGGAGAAATTAATACGAGGATAAAGAATAACAAAGTCGATAGATATTTAAGAGTAATTTGGTTCTTACGACTGTTGAATTTATTTAATTTACGCTGAAAGTAATTACATTTTTAGAACATTTTAGAGGTTTTTATTGTTCCGGCGAACATGTTACATTACTCGAAGAATCTTTCCTGTTAAAATAAAATTAGTCTATTTTAATCGAGAAAATCAGAATTGTGTAACGATCTTTGTTTAAAGCGTATTACTGAATGCTACTCGTTGAAATACTTTGTCGCTACACAGATATGTAAATATGTTTATTAATATGTTATTATCTAGAAATGCAGCTTTCTTCAGATTACATAGAGAGATACTTGGGAAAGCTCGACATGATACAAGAAAGTAAACTTGTTCAGCTCTGGCAGAGTATAAAAGAATTGAGAGGAAGTTCAGTTCCCGGCGATACAACGCTTTTACGGTTTTTGAAAGCGACGGAATTTTCAGTCGAAAAAGCGAAGGAGATGCTGACTCAATCGTTGCATTGGCGAAAGAAACATCAAATCGATAAACTCCTCGAAGAATATGATACTCCGCAGGTCGTGAAAAATTATTTTCCTGGCGGCTGGCACCATTTCGACAAAGGTATTTGCAGAACTATTATTATTGCGTGCATAAAGTATGTAAGTGTCTAAGTAATGTCGTTAGAAATTGAAAAGTCATTGTTCCTGATATCGTAAATTTGATTATTGAACAGCTGTGCAATAGTGTTTAATCAAACATCCTTTAATCGATAGTTGCTAAAATATTCCAAGGAGAGTACAAAAGACGCAATGCCTAGACTTACCGTTACATACAACAATGATATCTATTTTTATATTTTTTATGCTTTCCCTGTTCCAATAAGAAATGGAGCTCTTATACACAACGACGCGTATCAGTTTTGTTCTTTATGTAACAGAAATAAATTTGAAACTTCAATTATAGATAACTTTTGTTAGTAGTTCCGTAAAAGAAAGTGTCCCTTATTCTCCGGTCAGTAGTTAGAATCCTGAACGTCTTGCATAAAGCAAATGTTGAAAGTGTACAGTCACTACGTTGTGCATGATGTGTACAGTAGTGATACGATAACAAATCGAGTGGTGCGAAATTACTACGTGAAGTTTCGTTTTGGGAGCTACGAGTTTCAAAGATGAAACAAAGGCTGATCAGGTACGGCAAGTTTCAACGATAGCTCTTTAATAACTCAAGTACAATACAATTCACGGCGAACAACGAGGGAATTAGCAGATGAATTGGACTGAGAAAGACTCAGGAAAGTCAAGAAGCTGCGAATACAGTGATAGGAACAAAGCAGACCATACGATGATTGCCATAAGCCTGCGATCGCAACAAGAAAATGAACCAGTTTTCAACAGATTTATTGCTGAAGACAAAATAATGGATACACGAACGTGTGGTCCGTAAATGACAATAGGTTGAAAAAAATGAGCAGCCTGAGCCAGGTTCAAAACCTTCCTTGGAATTTTAAAATTGCAACGAAACGTTTTCCATAGAAGCGTTCATAAATGCAGTAATTGCAATGCGTAGAAGAAAAATTTATAGAAAATTACTTACGCTATAAAAAATCATGGAACTTGGGTGGTTAGTTTTACTCCATCCTCCTACCATCTGTTTCGAGCTCTAAAAAAATGCATTGAACAGGCAAAAACGATAGTAGTTTATTGGACATTATTTTTATGGTCAAACCTCACTAATTTTTGAGCACATAGAATTGACAAATTGCTAGATGGATGGAAAAAAGATGGTCGATAACGAGATAATAACGGAATAATAAATATTAGAATGTGTTAGCTAATAGAGAACAGAGAGGAAAGAAAACAAAAGTTACTTGCGACTTGACCCAATATTTCAATTTCAAGATACAATATCCCATGCGGGGCATTAAGTTAGTAGAAGATTTGTTCTTAACAGCTTCTCAAGCAATCGCGTCCCTTTCTCAGATCATCGCACTTCTTCATTATCAATCACACATTCACTGTCCATGACCCGTATATGGGTCATAGCGCCATACTTTTGGATACGCCGCTAAGAGATCGGACAGTGAACGCGTTAATCCTTTATTGGTTTCAACCTAGATTTCTCTGATACTTAATTTATCTCAACTGAAAGTATTGTAAGCATAAAGTGCAGAATCTGTATAATTGTCAAAATCGGTTGAGCGCGTATTCTTCTATTTTTGTTGGTCTCATAATTTGCAAAACTGGATATATTATAAATCGAACAAATTAGTAGTAGTAACGCGTAGAAACAACACATTATTCGAAAGCAGTGATTTTTTTTTTTTTTCAATTTTTTTTCTTTTTAGCGCAAGTCCCATTATAATATCTTCAATCTATGAAAAGAATTCCATACATCATATCATATTGCATCACGAGCATAGCGGATAGAAGTCGAGTGCAAAGTAATGACAACTCTAAATCTTGAACATGATCATCAATATCCAAAGAGGGTAAAGTCTATTAATAGAAATATTGTACAGTAATAGTGAGGTAAGTAGAGTAACGTTCAGGGAAAAGGCATTATCAAAAACGTTTGGGGACATTCATTCGTACGCTTTATTTGAAGTAACATAACGTGAGAACAGTAGGGATTATTTTAGTACAATAATAGTTTTGTATGCTTCAGTTTTTCTAAACATGCTTGTTATGTTGCGAAGCTAACGGACGATTATCCGTTTTTTTTTTTTTAAATGTAAAACAAACTCAAATTGTGCCAACAGATAAACGAATAAAGATATTTCGAAGGAAGCATATTGGATTATTTTTCTTCCAATACCACTATAATCGGTACTATAACAAGCATGCAAAATATCATACTTGAACGATACCATTAAAAAATATTTAAAAATTTTTGTAAAAGAGAAAAAGCAGAAGAAGAATTGTTGGAATGTTTGCCTTTGCAAGCAAATGAAAACATTAATAAATAATCTCTGATCGAATAAGCAAACTGTATAGTGCTCTGTTTGGGATTTTTATGTTCTTACATTATGCCTCGCACCATTCCCTCGATTGAAGAACCTGCTGGGTTCTTTATTATTCTAGTTTCATATTTTAATGAAATTATATGCATTGTGTAATACGTTCTCAACAAAATTAAAGGATTGCGTTACAGAAACTATATTAGTCAATTACAGAACTTTGAACTTTGCTATTTTTTTTCAGTAAATTGTAAAGCGATTCTTTGATTTTCTAACAGATTATAGCGTAATGTTAATTTTAAAAGGACTCAATTGTAATTTTCTTATTAAAAGTTATTTTGGAATGTTTTACGCGCTACTATTAAATTCTTTTTGTATCTTGATATTTCCTTCGATTTCTTTTCGCTTTCCAATAAACTTTAATTCTGTGCAATTTTTCTATTGTATTTATTTATGATATTTTTAGATGGACGGCCTTTGTATATTTTGAGGATGGGACAAATGGACGTGAAAGGATTATTAAAATCCATCGGAGAAGATGATTTATTGTTATTAGTAAGTTAAATTTTTATAATATAACGATATATAGTTTATGTTGTTCACGTATCTGAAATGAACTATATAAATTGTTACAGGCACTGCATATTTGCGAAGAGGGTCTTCTTTTAATGGAAGAAGCAACTACTGTTTCTGGCCACCCAGTCTCGCAATGGTCTCTATTAATAGATTTAGAAGGTTTAAACATGCGCCACTTATGGAGACCCGGTATAAAGGTACGGGGTGTATTAAACGACCCATTGATATTTATATAATATGATACATTATTATAAGCGCGGTGAAATCGATTTTCAATAAAAAAATAATAAAGAATCGTCATAAGTCTAACCAAACATTAATGTTTGACAATGTCAATTTTAATGAGAGATTCTAGAGGCCAAAATAAGACGAAAATCAAGAATATCAATTTTTTGACTGAGGCTTCGTTAAAAAGTTATTAAAAAAATTAAATTAAAACATTTTAAATCATTCTGAAAAAATTATATTTAGTTACAGGGGTTAATTACAAGCATTTTTTGTGAATAGACATACCCTCGAAATCCTACCCACTTTCGAGAAAAAAATTCGAGGTGTGAAATTTTTCGACGAAATTAAAAAATTTTAAATCATTTTGAAAAAATTATATTTAGTTACAGGGGTTAATTACAAGCATTTTTGGTGAATAGACCTACCCTCGAAATTCCACCCACTTTCTAGAAAAAAATTCAGTACAAGCGGAGCTGTAAACGTTACTAACTTTTTAACGAAGCCGCTATCAACAAATTAGTATTCTTAATTTTCATCTTATTTTGGCTTCTAGAATCTCCCATTAAAATTTGTCAACACCGAGTAACGAAATATACTTAAAATTTTAATATTTTTAGAACAGCATCGTTTATAATGATCTTCTGTTACAGGCTTTATTACGTATTATTGAAATCGTTGAGATTAATTATCCAGAAACCATGGGACGTGTTCTGTTTATGCGAGCACCAAGATGCTTCCCTATTTTGTGGACGCTTATTAGCACATTCATAAGTAAGTAGAAGACACTATCTTGTATACGGTGTATGATATTTGTTGTATAATGTTTCTGTTAATTCATAAACTAATTGTTCGATAACGCTAAGAGGTAAACGCCTCAACATCAGTCAAGCGGAATCATTCTTATAAGCGACTATAAGAATTATTTCAACGCTTTATAGAAAAGTATCTAAATTTTGTTAATTTGTTTTAAAGACGAGAACACACGAAAGAAATTCATATTTTACTGTGGCGCCAATTACCAAGAAGAAGATTCAGGCAGTCTCAGCGAATACATAGATCCAAAATTTATACCAGACTTTCTTGGGGGATCGTCCGAGGTAAGGGTAATAATGTATTGGTAGATTACAAATTCATAATTCATTTCTATATAGAGTAAAATGATGGCATTTAGGCCAGGTTTACTTCTTACGAACAAAATTACGAAAGCATTTATAAATCATTTCATTAGAAAAGGTAATTTTTAATAAGATTTATATAATTACATAGAAAATTGTCTTATTTAAGACAAATTTAATTTTTTCAATTTCTCATGTTATTTTATAATCGCAAAATGTTAAATATCGATGTTACTTTAGACTGTACATTGTTAAAAGTACTAATAATAAATAATGTATTGAAACATAATACATTTTAATGAATAGGGCAATGTATGTGAGATGTACGGTATGATACCTCGAAGGCTTTATATTTTCAACGCAACTGCTTGTAACGTAAGGATTTTTATATCTTTGTTTTATGTGTTTCACGTTATAGTGTTATTTAATGTTTCGTCCTATTTTGTTTTATTGCTAATTCTTTTATCTATAGCGTATTAAAATATTTTTTATTTCGTATTATAGTAAAACGTGATTCCGAATTCTCATTTAAAAGCCTTTAATTTAAGCTGTAGCAGATGCAAAATGTCTGAGCTAATTATAGCCGTTTTTCTTCTAAGATTTAAACAGTGTCGGAACGTTAATTACATTTTGATAATGGAGTCTCAAAAATACTATTGAAAACGTCTACGTAAGGAGAAGAAATCAATTTTCTCGAGCTCCTATATCGGTCGACACTTGTGGCACAATATCTGCTTCCGCACAATCAAGTTGAAAGACATTTATTACTGTACTATGTACTTTTAATTCACCAGTACCATCGAACCACATTACACATATTAATGCATTATTATTGTTTTGTATCTTTCATCCAAAATGTTCTATTATCGTTAGGTCTATATCACAGAAGGAGGAACCGTTCCAAAACATCTTTATAAATCGGAGTTAGAAATCACATCCGCTGATGAAGAACAGAGCCTGTATCATACCATTACCTTAAGCCGTGGACAAATACATCGGGTAGTAATACATTCCAACGATCCAGGATCAATTTTAACATGGGACTTTGATGTGATGCGGCACAACATAGTATTTAGTGTATTGTATCAAGCAAACGATGACAAGAAATACCTAACTTCAGGTATGCGTTTGAAATCAATATGTCGAATAGTTCAAGTTATAAATTTTAATAGAATAAAATATCAGGGACCGACACAAATGTTGCGACATTAGTATTCGCTACGAAGGCTGTGGTTCCAAGGTTCCTAGCTGGAGTGGCTGTACTTAAAAATAACGACACATTTTGTTAAACTTAAACTTATGTTATTTTCGTTAACAAAGCGTATAATTTTTTACAGATTCCTCAAAGACTTTTACGGACGAAAATGCAGAATTATTGGAAACAAAAGAAGCAAAAACACAGCTTGTTAAGATTGAATCCAGCAGTGTTTGCCACGATGGTGAAAGTATACAGGTAATTCTATGTGAATACAAACACAAATATCAATGACGCTTAATAACGTAATAAGATGATAATATATAATAGTTATTAAATGTTATTACATCCTCGTGTTTAAACGATATAAAAGTTTTAAAAGAGATGTAACAAAATATTGACTGTATTTTCTTCGTATTTTGTTGCAGGGAACTCATGTAATGCAAGAAGCAGGAATATATATATTACAGTGGCATAACCAAGACGATCTTGGAGAATTCCTTCCATCGATCGGCGGTTACAAAGCGCAACTTATGTACTTTTATGAAACATTACCTTCGGTTCAGTATAGGTATTTTTTATTTCGAAATAAATTTACATGCAACGTGTGCAACAAACACACACTTACATGTCTTATCTTTCAGAGGGTCGATGATGAGCTTGCAATCCGCCGTTAGCGGAAAATCAGAGGCAAGTTCAAATTTGTCCAGATGATGCGTTAAAGATACTATACGACGTGGTGCACGATGACTGGAGTTACGTTACAACGAAAATAGTAATTTATCTGTAATATTTATTAATTTTATTTCGGGATTACTTTCAAATTGCGAAAACTTTGTGTTCAAGCTTTTAGATTTTAATGATTAATATCATACGTTTGGCCTAAGTATATCACTCTCAATAGTGTAAGTAGAAAGTACTAAGTTTTAATTCGTATATACAAAAAAAAATTAATAAATGTTGAATTTATCAAATGTGAAAGTTTTGTTTTGTCTCTTTTGTGTTGTGCTTTGAAGTTAGTAGCACTCATAAAATTGGTATTGCAACTAATAATAATGTACAATTTTACAACGAATACTAGTTGCTTTATTTTACAAAATGTGAATCGTAATGAAACGTGGTCAAGTATAAACAAATAATTAACTTATTATTTCGAAAAAATATTCCTATTATATATTCTTAAAACTTTACTGTTATTTTCAATTCATAGCTTCGTAAATTTAATGACAGAATGGTAATAGTTATTATTTGCAGGAGTTGCTTTTGTATGAAAATGGAACTATGCGTTTCAAATTTCGATCTGCACGATGATTTTAACCCCTTGCGCTATTTTCACGAATTTGGTTCGTGATGAAAATTTCATGTCAAACGTGAATAACACGAGTCGAACTCGTAAATATCGATATTCGGGCGTATAGGTTAGGTACGGCTTCTTCCGAATTTCAGCGTAGTGCAAGGGGTTAACTATCGTCGTTCCACGAAATGGCGCAACGTGTTTACATCCCCACTCTTGCTGCAGCCCGCTGATTGGTTGTCACCGATTTCGTCACAGTTTTCGACCAATGTCTGTGGGGATGTAAACACCCTGTGCCTTCTTTTTGCGGAGGAATGGTACATGCGTATACTTAATCCTTATATACAAATCAAAGAGTGAGTTCAGGAAATAAACTTATCAGTATATGATCTAAAAGAACGTATGTAAGATGTTTGTTGAGCGTTGCGTTCTGTAATGAATCAAGAACGGAATCCGTTAATTCGATCCATGATCTATAAAACCCGATTAACCAGTACGGCAACAAATTATGTAATCCTTTTTTCGCGTTTTCGTAATAATTTCGGCGACTCTTTTGTAACGTTAACTCTTTCGTATAATTTTTATCACCCATAACTTTCGAATGTAAAAGTTTCACAACAGCGGCAGCACGGCCATTACTCAAGACTTTCACCAAAGCGTTGTAAAGCAAAATGTTAACGAATGGATCCACTTGCGCACGCGTCGACGAGGCAAACATCCAGAAAACTCGCGTGATTATTGGCGATATGTTTAACAGCCTGTCCACTGAAACGAAAAATATAGAGAAATGAGAAAAATTGGAATTCAGAAATTTAACGAAGTTGCGCGAAACAGGATGTCGCTTACCAGCATTGGCGATACAGAATGAGGCACCCTTTACGTGAGAGCGTTCCAACGAAGAAGAAGACAATGTTTCAATACTGATATCTAAATGAAGATTATTTCCAAACACTCCAGATAGAAGATCGTGGCGCCCTCTTTTATTTATTACGGTGTTATCTGACTCGTTTGATATTTCGATTCCAACGTCTGTGTAGTCACTCTTCAGGTTGGTAGACGACAAAAAGATCGTCATAAATTTATCCAAATTCTGACCTTTTTCTTTTTGCAGCTTGTAAGCCATATTTTGGTACAATATGCCGATGTCTGGTGTATAGTTCGCGAAGTAGGGTTTTAAGTTTGGCATGGTCAAAAATGTGTATAAAAGCTCGCTGCTCCTGAGCACTGGCTTTGAGAGTAACTTTTCTAGAAAATCTTCGTACCGTTGTCTGTTAACGGCGCAAGAAAAATGGGGATTTTTTCGCGATGGTAATGGCGAGTCGCTCAATTCTTTGTCGCCGTGAAACTCTGCTAGTCGTGTGCGCAGAGCATAGAAGTCTTGATCCCGACGTAACACGGTCCAAGATTTTTCCTCGGCGACATTATGCACCGCGATCATGTAAAGAGTTTGATTATCTTCGGAATCAATGTGTGGTATACTGACCCGCCATGTTGTCAAATCCCTGTGAAAACTATCGTCCGCGTATATTATTTCACTGTACGAACGTAACGGATAGTCTATTTCCTCGCCTTGATATATTTCTTCGAAAGGCATTCCGTCGATCGCCGATGCCCGTAAAACTCCATCGAACTTTGGAAAATGATTACCACTTTTCACAGACGCATTTGTAATTCCGCTAACAGCGCTATAAAAAGAAATTATACATGCTATTGGAAATAGGAATAAAATTTTATTTATTTGGTAGGACCTTTCAGGTCACTGGCAAGGGATATTTTATGGTTATGATTTATACGGTTAAATTTGCCACCCTGTTTTCATGATGCTTTTAAATACGCGTGGTACAAAAGTGTTTACCCTTTCGATAAATTTGAAAATTTTTTTAATCTGGTTGCTTTCTGCTATCAAAATACGGATTAAAGTGCCCAAGCAACCTGCGCTGTTTTAAAAATATCGAAATTTTCGAATTACCAAATATCCCTTGTAAGCATGCCAAGTAGAAAGAATCGTGTAATCTTTGTATGTTGGTATTAAATTAATTTAAGTTTTCAGTTGTAAGAAAACGTAGCAATTGCTCACTTTGTTCGGAGAGGTTGTTTAACATGATTCGGTGTTGGTTGTCCGCATAACAGTGCGTATAGCTGCAACATGAGATAAATAAAAATTAGTCTAGCGAATCTGACAAGACGAGGGCAAAGCCTATAAAAAAAAAAAAATAATAATTTAAAATTAATTTTTAATTCTTTTACTTGATAGCTGTGATGAAAGGACGGCAGGCAAGTGGATTCTAATAATGCATGAGCTTCTTGATGAGCTTGATAAAACGGTCGTGACGTCCTTAATTCGTCGATCTTCTTTTCGCCTCTATCCAGAACTAAACATTTAATCGATAATTATTGAATAACAGAAATTATGTAAAATTAAAACAGTAATTAGAAGCAATGTATACTTTGTTGTATGCCTATCGAAATATCTTCCGGCAAATATAGATACTCTGGACCTTCAGGGTCTAGATACATGGAATACATATTTTGAATATCAGTGTACAAACTGTATTTATCGTCCTCGCTTATGTCTGGATTTAACATACGCTTACTGAGATCATCTGGAAAGCAATAAATATATAGGATTCGATTCGAAGAATATTATTATACAAATATGAGAGTAGAAATATTTGAAAACGTTTATCGTAATTATTTGTTGATTATTTCATTTACATCACAACTGTTTAATGCTGACGTTTACAGCAACTGTCACTTGAAATCGTACACCAAAAATTGTACTAAATTATTGAAACTCGTATAGAGGCGTATAGTGTAATGTTTCTTTATTTGATACATAACGACAGTATAAAAAAACCTTTAGCAGTACACAGTAAATTAAATAAAACTTGAGGTTGCGTATGAAACTTAGCTGTCAGTAAAAATCGTGCAGAGGAAATAAAGTACAGTTTTAGAATAATATATAATAAACATTGTTTATATCAATATTTAGTTGGGTAACCAAATGCATTTTGAACGCACTTACTTTCTTATTTAAATATTTTTCAACATCCGACGCTAATTTTGGAGCACTAATCCTCGGATCGTCCTTAATTTTTCTAACAATCCATTGTTCATCCCTGATATTCAGTTTCTTATCAGACCTCTCTTTTAATTTAATCACTGCACGGTCCTCTTCTTTGTGCTTCTACTTGGATTAATAATTTTTCTAATTTCGTTATAACCTTTTTTGTTTTTATAGTGATAAATAACTAATTCACGCTCTGCTACTGTAGTTTGTTGGATTTTAAATCTTTTTTATTGATTTTTGGCAGAACAACGCATAAATCAGCTAGATTCAATCGTTGTTACGCGTGGTTAGACAAAAAGTAATCGGGGATTCACCGGATTTCCAATGTTACCAACAGTGTACGATTTTTACCGATAGCTAACCTCAAATTTTATTTAATTTACTGAGTACTACTAAAGGTTTTTTTGTATTGCTGTTATGTACGAGTTCCAATAATTTAGTACAATTTTCGTGTTTTATTGACAAAATATCGGCTGAACCGCTAGGTGTAAGTTAAGAAGTTGAGCTAACTGACTTTGTTGCATCGCAAGGAATAAAAAGGCAAAGGTAATACAAACACGTAAAAACGTCGGTTGCTTCGTGTTCGACGGTTAAAAGTAAAAAATAACAATTGTTATATTTACCAATATCCAAGCAGAATTGTAAAAGATTCATAGGTCCAACATCTTTCACGTGTTGTATAAACATGTAGAATAACCGAGGATTGTTTAAAACTTGGTCCAATGAAGGCTTTAGGTGGTTCTTTGCAACGTTTGACATTAATGGATTTGTCAGCCAACACTGCAACATCTGTACATTAACTGCATCCTCATCGTTGGAAAATGTACCATCGTGCTGAGTCAACAATAATACTAAAGCATTTATATTGTCTGGATCAGCTATCGCATCCACCGCAGGCAAAAGAATCCAATTTGCCAGAATTTCACGAAGGAGAACCTACGAACAAATCATTATAATTTATAACGTATAGTAAAATGTTTAGTTTGTTGTAATTTTAATTGTATTCGTAAACTGTCAGGTAACTACGACTAATATTTCACATGTATTTCACATGTAAAAGCTCGCTAACAATTTTATCAGTTTCCACGCTCTCAGTTTGAACAGAGTTCGTAAAAAATTGGTAACTTTACACGATTATTTAAACACACTAAAATTATATAATGATAAATGATAATTTACTTTATTATTAGTAGATACATGGATTGCAGGAAGCAAATGCGGTACCACAGCAGTAACCAGTCCTTTGAGATAATTTAACTCTGCCTCGCGCGAATAAGCTGCTGGATGAATCTCGTTGCCAAGATAACCGATTACATGTTTTCGAAAATGGGATGCGTCAGAAGTATCTTGTATCCTTGTACGTAATGTTTTCCAGTCTTCGGCATTTTGTAAGATCAACGGAACTAACCGACAAAGTACGATATTAGCCACGTCTGTACGTAACAAACGTACCACGAGATTTTTTGTTGCCGTGGTAGTAGCTACGCGAAGCTGTTGCACAAAAGCTTTGTTCGTTGAAAAACTCGAGTACCATGCACAAATGTACTTTTGTAGTAAATCTTCGAGAAGCTGCGAACAAAAATTATATACACATATTATCAGTCTTGTTCGCTGACTTTAAGCTTCTCTTTTATAGAAAATATCGTTCGTATAATTTATCATTAAAGGAAGGAATGTTTCCTCCATGACTAAATGAGAGAGTCCAGATTTTAATGAACTTATGATAAGATCGCAATACGGAAAGCTTGTGTAAAATTTTAATTAAATAACCATTTGTCTCGTAGTCACTCACTGACTAACTATTCGAATGCTTACATTTATAACATTCAACTAATAAAATATGTATGTTAAATTAGAGCATTTGATGTAATATGATGCATATAAAGAGGAATGGATCTTAAAACTACATAAGTTAACTTAGAATGTAATTCAATACGTTTATTGTAAATGCGTACCAGAGGTGGCTCACAATGCGTAAACAAACATTGCTTAGTTTACTGGTAATCGGTTCAAGGGAAATAATGTTCAAAATTTCTGTCACAATTTTCATTATGAAATCTGGAACAATTAAATCAATAAGAGAATTAGTAGCGAAGTGGTATCATTAAGGCAAATCGTACAGCGAAATTGCACAACTTGTAAACAAAAGCGAGTCTATTGTCCATTATATCGTAAAGAAATTGAATACGAATATTGAACACTTACGGGACGAAGTAGAAATACGATTATAACTTCAGAAAATGCATTAAAACGAGTATTATTGAAATATGGCGACCTATAGATGAAATATTACTTCTAAGTTGGTCCACTCAATGAAAAACAAACAGCTGCTATAAAAGCAAACGGTGGACCAACATCCTATTAAAACTTTCAATTATTTAATTTAAATAACTATTAAATGTTCCATTCAAATATTTTTGTAAATTACATATTGTATATATTGTTTTTTAATTTTATTTATATAGTGTTAGGACCCATTCCTTGTTATGTGTTATATTATATCAAATGCTTTAACAATCATATTTTATTGATTCAATGTTATAAATGCAAGTATTTGAATACTTTTGTGTACAAGTGTATATTTCATTTGTACAATAATATTAAAAATCATCGTGACTGTTGAAATTAAATTTCTACTTCTACCAAATTATCAAACACACAAAATAAGACGAAAATCAAGAATACCAATTTGTTGATGGAGGCTCCGTTAAAAAGTTATTAACAATTAAATTCAAAAATTTCAAATCGTTCGTGGAATTATTTGCAAGAAGCTTGGCGAGAGGTTCGAGAAGAAACTCTAAAAACATTAACTTCGAGACTACTACGAATAGTCAACGAGGTGGATATATAGACGAAGGCGATATTTAACAATTTTCATCCATTTGTCAGTAAGAATTCTGCATACAATTCACCTTAGTATTACTTATATCTATATACTAGATATCGACTCTTTAGCCGGCATTCGTGAAGTGTCCAAATACTTATAGACGGTAGTGTATATATTTTCCAAACTAATATGCTTGGTCCCTCCGACTTGTTTTGCATAAAATCTCTGATGTTTTAAGTTAATGCAATGGTTATCGTTTACTTTGATTTCTGATAATACAACTGGATTCAATTTATATTTTGCGCAAAAGGTCTGTTCGTAGAAGAAAATAGCTACGCTCCTTGCTATATTGAACGTAAAGTAAGCCTAATTTGGAATCAGATACCGTAAAAATACCATACGTATAACAATTATGAAAATATGTTCTTAAAAAATAAAAATTGTTATCTATAGTATAAAAAGAAAAATGCAATTACTTGTTCCAGAGCATAGTCAAAATCCTTTGGTATTTTCACTTTAACCGAATGCGGAAATAATTTATGTCTCTTGCAGTTATTGTTGCTACAAACTGTACATGGATCCTTAACTTCGTATGTTGGATTAAACGTGTCTTTTATGGCAATTAAATTGACCAGTAGTACACCAACGTATTGTAATACGACAAGTCCATAAAAAATGCTTGTTATATACAGGCAGCCCGCAATAAGTACCCAGATAACGCTGAAATACATATATAAATAAAAAAATATTTTGTTTTTAATCGTTAATAAATAACTATTTTACGTTTCTTTATACGATATATTGCATATTCAAATAACAGAACTTCTCATTATCCCACCCACAAATTTGAAATTCGAAGAATTTGGAAAACAGACAATTTTGAATTATCGAAGAATGTTCCCGTACGTATATAATATTTCTTTTCTTTTCTAGAAATCGCTTACCTTTTAAATACGATTAACAGAAATACAATCAATGTAAAAACAGTCACTGGAATTATTACGTTGCACGCATAAAATTCTTGCACTTTGTTGCTAGATGAGACCGCCATGGTTCTGTTAAAAATTCATTTCATTCCAAATAGAAACATCAACGTATATCGTGTAACACAACAAAAACATAGTATTTCGAAAATAGAATACTAATTACTGCACAACACTGTGTGGTCAGATTTGACATATTTGAATACATCGACGGCGGCACTAGTAACGACGAATTTAACGAAGCGGTAGGGAAAACAACACACTACTGCACAGTGTGTCTAATTATCAGACTCTGATACAATCGTTTCCAATTGGAAGGACAAGGAGAAAACATCGTCCCTGAAAACAGCGCCCCCTAGAATTAATTTCACCGCGTCATATTAGGTTAGGCCACAGCCGACTCTAGTAAGTAACTACCGCTCACTTGAAGTCCCGCGAGACGGCACAGAGGCAAGGGGAGTCGGACCGCCCATTTATCTGTCTTGCTCACTTGCTCTCAGGCAGTCCACATGTGTGTGTAACTGCCGCGACGAATAGCGAGCTAGAGACCAATGTGTGCGTGGGAATACGTGTGCCCCTTCTACTTCCCCCGCATTACTTCCGCGGGACTTCAGGTGAGCGGAAGTACTAGCCGTGCTATGGAACGTGGCAACACCGCTCATGTGCGGATCGGGAGTCCTATTTTCAATAGTGGAGTTTTGTGTTCAGGATTATAATTAACGTTATTTTGAGATATAAAATTATACTAATATACAGTATTTTATATTAATTATGTATAAGGAATATATGAATATCATAACTATAGTAAGTAGAAGTAATACAGAAGTATATTAATATTTATAAATGTGGTATATATTTTGTGGACTGTCGGAATAGTTTGGTGTTGTGATGCATTATATTTGAAACATTTACAGAGATTTCAAGAAAATAGAAGTGCGAAACAAGTTAAAACCATCTTTGAACCAAACTGAAGGATTTGAAAATTGATAAAGGTATGTATAAGTTAATAGAGACCTGAAATAGGCAAAATTATTGGTACGAAGCCGAACAGGTTAAGTGCCCGTGGAAAAGAGGTTAGCATAATTATCTATTGAAAGGAACAATTATGGAGTTAATTATAAAATCGTGTTAGAGGACAGTATGATAATTGTGAAAAATTTCCTCACCACCCTAGGGGTATTTACCATGGCGCGTTACCTTTTTTTTTTATTATAATGGGTGGTTCGCCAATAGCCATATCATCCTATTTTCTAAAATAAAATTAATATTTTTAAATAGAACATAACAAAAACATAACTTTTGTATTCTTAAAGTAATAAAGTATTACATTTTGAAATAATAATAAATAATTTTAAATAATATTAATAACAAAACATATCAAAACATGCTTTGAAATTCTCTTGAAATACAACTAATAAAACTTTGAATCTTGTGAAATAGTATTCATAATAAAAATATACTAAGCAAGTAAATAAAACTCTATTAATGTATTAAAACATATTGAAAGGAATGAGTTAAATATATATAAGAATTAATGTTTTAAGAAAGATGAAATTAAAAAAAATCATTGAAAATCTAGTTCCTATTAAAAGTTTTTAATTTACGATTTTTAGAAGTGATGTCTGTACGTGTTTCCAACTGACTATTATTTACAGTTTTCACATAATCGTTTAATAAAATATTTGAAAAAATTGATAATAATTTAAACGAAATACTTTGGTAAGCTCGACCACAAACGCATGTATCTGAAAATGCTAAATAATGTATGTCTGATTGAATGCTAATATATGTTAATTTACATAAAATATGTTTATGATTTCCAGATTGCAAAAATTGAGATTCTAAATTGCCATCATTTATTATGGCTTCCATTATTGCATACATATGAATAAATGAGGCTATCGCTTCTTCAGTGGGGACAGAAAGGCCCCCTCTTTGTAAGCGATCAAAATATACATCGCCTACAGTTTTACCTTTATCCTCCACAACTAATAAACGACATATATTGCAATTTAATTTTTTAGCAACAGAATGGGACCCATAACCAGAAATATAAATTTTAATGGAATCATCTACAACACAATCGGACAAGTATTCGGTATCGAAGATTCCTGTGAAACAAGTCGCATCAGTGGGAAGATCATGAAGATCGTTATTATTGTCATCACAAATTCGAAATTTATTTTTGATTTCAGTAAGAGAAAACGAATTTGCCGATTTTGTAAATATATGTTTTGATCTAATTTTTTTTTCTGCATGAATTATTTCGTTATATGACACATGATAATTACAACCAGATAAAAGTCTATAATTTCCAAATCGTTTTTCTAATTTTTCGGTTGTAAAATGGAGGGTACTACATTCCTTATAAGCCTTGGACATCTCAAGAAAACATTCTCCAGTACACCATTGGGCGATAGAATACCGTGGTACCTTTCAATATCAGTTTCTGCAAAATGCAAACTACAGACGGCAGAATATTTTGATGGTGTCCAATTCTTACGAGGAATAGCAACCCTCCATTTCTCCCGCAATTCCTCATCTTTGGGGAATAAAAATATAGAATTGTAATTATTATCTTTTAAGGTACTATCATAATTTCCCTTGCAATTGGAAACACAGCAACGCCGTGGCATTATTAATGAATATGTGAAATTTATAAAGAAAATGTATATAAAACAAAATGTCCAAAAATGCTATAGATTATATTAAATAAGTGTGCTACACAACAAAATCAGGATCTGTAGAGTTAATATAAATAAATGAAACACCTGGATTATTGCTCCGTTGCTCACATTTAATGGACTTCGGTACATTAATATTTGAAACATTTGAAAGATAGGCGGGAGACCGGAAGGCCGGTAGATGGAGCCTATGTAGCCCAGAGGCCGGTGGGTAGTGGAAGGCTGTTACGGTAGGTTGGGCTAGGTATATCGAAGCCGGACTTCCGCGGTGTTGCCATTTTACCTTTAGCACGGCTAGTAAGTACTAGAGTCGGCTGTGGTGAGGCCCTAGTCACTGCCCGAACATTTTTACTTTCCGACCTATTGTAGATGCTTGTTCAGCTTAATAGTTTATCCAAACTGTTGCGTATATAATGAAAATTGTTTACATGTACTTTCAAGTGTATTTACCATCAAGTATCACGTTCTTAATTTAGTTAGGTTCTCTTTTGCGAAATTAAGAAAATATGTTGAATCTTAAGGAATTGAAATTTAGATCCGTCCCAACAGGAATGGAATAACATACATTTTTTAAAAATATACGACTGTAATTAAATCGTCAGAATGGAGACTGAAAATTTTCATTATAGAGGTTCAAATTTATTTTTTCAAACCTTATTACGGACTTATTTTCATAATTCATTTTCATAAACTTTCATTGCATTTTATTGTTTACAGGCGTTATCTTACCTCTCTCGGTAGTTGCAGTTAAAGTAACAAATATTTTAACGCCGTATATCGTAAGAGTTACCAAAATTCAAGACTGCGAGGAGAAATTTAAAGTTATTCATAAAAAATTATTGTTAGTAGAAAGAAAACTATGCAACACAGACGCAAAACATATAGAACCAAAAATAGGAGATGTAAGGCGAAAGTCTGAGAAACCGTACAAATTTAAATGTTAAAGATAGTTTGTTACTATTATTTTGTTTTCTTGCAAGTTTCGTACTTTACTACTTCTATTATTACTTGTATTATTTTACTAATAATTGTTTTAAAATGATTTACTTCGATTACAGGTTTTGAAATTGAAATAAAAATAAAATTGTGCTCTGTTTTCTCTTCCTCTTTTTTTTTTAGATGATTATAGCATGCGATAGTTTACATAAAGACATTGATCTTCCTTCCTGGTTGTGTAGAGGAATTATTTCCAATGTTGTAAATAATTCTAAGAATACGTACAATGTTTTTTTACTTGATTATGGTACTTCCGTTGTATTAGAAAGGGAAAATTTTTTTGTGTGTTCGGCCGATACAATTTCAGAAGAGTATTTAAGTTCAACGGTGGGATTATACAATGTTTTACCTGCCGCTATAAACAACGATACATCGACAAAAGGAGAAACGTCAGTTCTGTACGGTTAAACTAAAATTCTTAATCGTAGTTTGTTTACATATTGAAAACTTGACGTGTTAATTTTGTACAAATTTAAAGAGTTTTAGAAGAATGGAGTTTATCTGCGATTGAATATACAAAAGAATTAATGACTGCGTCCGATGCAGTTTATTTCGATTGCTTAGCATCCAACGAACATGGTATACAATACGGTGAATTTTATTTTATTATCGAGGACACTGTAATAAGTTTAAGTATGGCTCTGGTTCTTAATAATTATGCCATTTATTTGGAAGGAGGTATAAGTTTTTTCTATTAATTATCATTTAATTATGTTATTGGTTTATATCTATAATACATAATGTTTTATATCCGCGCAGAATTGCTGACATTTATAGAAAGCTCCGAAAACTATAAAAAATCATATAAAAGAGTAATTAATGGTGAAACTATATTTTGTATGAACATTTCGAATGATTACAAAATTAATAATGAACCTGGCAAACAAAAACAAAGGTTTGTTTAAAAGTACAAGTTTATTCTTTTTGATGTTAATTCTTTTCCTCGTTCTTTAGTTTTTTTACACATTTCGATTACCTGTTGCTATTTTAGTTTTCTTTCTCAATTTTCTGTAATAATTCTTTTAATAGATAACTTGTGTTTTCCTTTATTATAAACATTATCTTGTTTACAGATTTACTTTTATGTATTTTATATATTTATTCTTATTTTAACAATACGGGTAATTCATTTTAGTTTCCGTGATCGATTAATAAAAGTTATTTTTGAATAGATGTTTAAAAGAGTCGCTTAAAATGGAAAAAATATTAATCTACGGACACATGAAGCGCGAATCCTTGAATACAGTTTCAGATCTTAGATTCCCAGCCGAAATACACAAGGTACAATGATAATACCGTTTATGTTTTATATTAGTTTCGCAAAAGTTAACGTACGAAATATTTTTCAGGCTTGGAATACATCGATGCAGTCAACTATACCAACAAAACTACAATCGTATATTTGGCCTGCCATAAAAAAAGGTTTGGACGTAATAGCAATCGGAACAGAAAAATCTGGTAAAACCTTTGGATACATATTTGCTGTTTGCGGACTCCTGGCTACAAATTCAAACGTAACAATACCACACTTCGAACGAAAGCTTTAAATTAATATTAAAAGTTACAGTCATCTTGAATTTTCTATATTTATTTTCTTATGAATTTTAAAGCTTTAATGCCGATCGTTAATCTTTAAATCTAATAATTTTATTCCATCAGAGATTTTAATGATGTTTGAAGGGCTGAATTTAGAGGTCGTTTATTCCAATGGGCATATTTTTTCATGAAAAATTAGTATTTGTATTACAGAAGTTTCTTCCACTGAGATTTTGTAAAACGCTTAAATTTAAAGACTTCGTAGTAGAAATCTTAATTAGTTATAAAAAAAAAATGCCTGTCGGAAGAAAATTATATAAACCTCCGGATTCATCACTTATATCTACCTTCATTTATAAAATTGATTTTATAAATTTTATACTTTTGAAACAGCTTCCTAAAAACATCAATCCGTCTGCATTAATATTATGCTCCTCCTCCGCTGAAGTATTGGAAGTTCAAGCTTTGTGCACGACATTTCTACAAAGCTATAGAACCATACCAGCTGTATCTGTAATTAATGGTAAAACAAGAAAGTCACTGATGGTAAGTTAGATACTAAAAGCAATATTATTAACATAAATAAGCAAAAATACATGTAAGTAATGAATCGTTAGGTCGAAGCGTATAATGGATGTCGGATCCTAATATCTACACCAAACTCTTTGTTACGTTACATGGGCGAAGTCAGAAAATTATTAAATTTTGAAAGTCTTCGATATTTAATAATAGACGACGGTGACATTGTTTTGGATAAGTACTTTGACTCTGTAAATTTCCATGATTTTTAATAATTTCTTTTCACCGATAATATGTAATTTTTGCTCTCAAAACGAAACTTCTTTCCCCTTTTAGGTAATTAAATTGTTTAAGAGACATAAAGTTATTTATAATAGAGAGTTACAAAATAACAATATATCGTTACAAATTATAATAACTGGTAGGCATTGGACGCCACGATTGAAAAAAATTGCTCGCACTTTAATGTACAATCCGTATATATGTATAGCATCGTTCATTGAAGCTGCCATTTATAAGTCTGTACTACTAAAGATGTACATAATACATTCAAAAAATAAACACAAAAAAATTTTAGGTAAAACTGAATAGGTATAAAGAATTTAAAGAAACTAAATAATCACGTATTTGTTTATAAGAATAAAGGAAAAATATCATTTTACCACAGATTTATTAGGCAACGAATATTCCAAATTAAGAACTGTGATAGTTTGTGTAAATAGTAACGAGGCCGAGGAATTGTATGAATTTTTAAGACGTTGTAAAGACTGTATTTTAGCCCACGAAGATATAGACATGATTCGCTTGCAGGGTACGAAAATATAAATATTCATCACGTTATTATTAAGTCGTATTTGATATGGTTTTTTCTCGTTCTAGGTGTAAAGCATTGTTGGGATGTTTCTGTAAGCGGCTCCTATCCAATTTTAATATGCACAGACGAAGTATTGTCAGACCTACATATTACGAATGCACTATGGTTGATACATTATTCGATCTCTCTGCGCTTCAAGACCCAATTCAACTACCGATTTTCAACGCTCTTCGAAAATTTGCAAACAGTACGTCGGCTTATAATTAAAACTTGTAAACTCCACCAAGGAATAATCATTTACAATTTTTTTTTTAAGGAAAAGTTTAACTGCCAAGTAGCTATTATGGTAGACGAGAACAGTGACGTACAATTTTTAAGTATAATTAAAGTAATGCAACGCATGAACGTCTTAATTCCTCCGGATATGTCAACAAACATCAAGGTATTTATGATAAATTATCATATTTTTGTTCCTTAATTTACTGTCAAGGTTTAACATTTTTCAGCGTATAACGGCTGGTTTGGACAAAAATAAAGAGAAGTTTCCTATTTGCACTAATATCAAATTGTGGGGATTCTGTCGCAAGAAATATTCTTGCGCGCTCAGACACGGAATAATATCAGAAATCGACACACCGGCTATAAATATTCGAATGTAAGTACCATTTTTACACGAGAAGAGGGCGCAGCGTGTTTACATCCCCACTCTCGTTGCAGTCCGTTGACTCACTGGCATTGGTCGAAAACGGTGACGAAGATCGATGACAGCCAATCAGCGGACTGCAGCAAGAGTGGGGATGTAAACACACTGTACCTTCTTCTCGTGAAGATAAATTCAAAATTTTCTCGAAATATTTTAATCAAAACGCTTTCTTCCATTTTAGAAATGATAAGATAAAATTGAGGGTACTCAATATACACGATGTCACGCACATTTCTGCTAGAATCTTATCGTATATTAAATTTGATACATTGGAAGAAATAGAATTGTCTAATGTAGATTACATGGAAATTACCATGAAAATCCAAGAGTTCTATTCGTCCGTTGAAAACAGGTTAATACATTAATATTTAACAAAAGTTAATGTAATGTAAATATTAGGTGTACAAATGAATAATCCAAATTATCTTAAGCAGTTATAAAATCAAGTTCAAAGTCAATAGATTTTCCCGCTCTTTTGCGGTCATATAGTGTTGACATATAGCTAGTTAAAACAAAAAGATAGATTAGCGAAAGGCCCAACATAACCTTCAAAAGTATTCAATTCAGTAGTGTCGAAAATGGCAACAGATAGGGTGCATATCCGACACTGCATTCTTTACGAATTCCAACAAGGGAAACATGCTGCAAGAGCACGCGAATCGATTTGTTCCTTTCTCGGTGAAGGTGTTGTATCGTATGATGTATGCGAATTTTAGTTTAAGCGGTTTAAAAGCAGTGATTTGAGTCTAATCGACAAACAACGCTCTGGAGGCCCTAGGAAGTGCAATGACGATGATTTGTAACAACTGCTCGCTGAGAATGCGGCAGAAACGCAAAAAGAACTTGCAGAATAGTTAGGAGTAACCCAGCAAACGATTTCCAAACGCTTACGTGAGATGGGAAAGATCCAGAAAGAAGGAAAATGGGTTCCGCATGAACTCACTGCAACCAACAAACATTAACGAGTGGCAGCGTGTCTTTCTCTTCTCAATAAGCAGCGTCGAAAGTCTTTCTTGTGGAAAATCATTACGGGTGATGAGAAGTGGATACTCTATGACAATCCGAAATGCAGAAAGTCATGGGTAAATCCTGGCGAAGCATCAATATCGGTTGCAAAACCCAATCGCTTCAGAAAGAAGGTTCTTCTCTGGGATACCAAGGGTGTGGTTTATTATGAGTTGTTGGAACCGGGTGAAACAGTTACTACAGACTGCTACCAACGTCAGTTAATCTGCTTGAGTCAAGCATTGGAGCGATAACATCCGTATACTGGTAAAGGAGAACGTTCAGTGAAATTGTTGCATGACATTGCCAGGCCACATATTGCTTCCCATACAAAAGACACCATAATGAGTCTTGGCTGGGACGTCTTGCAACACCCGACGTATTCACCAGACATTGCTCCATCTGATTATCACCTGTTCCAGTCAATGCAACACGCCTTATTCGATATGCACTTCCAATCAGTGGATGAGACCCGAATTCATCAGCTGCCTGAAAGATGGCTTAAAGTTATAGAAAGTAACGGCGAATACTTTGATCGAACAATTCGATTTACTTTCTTCTAAAATAAACATTGAATGTGGCTGAAAAAATTGGATTATTCATTTGTACACCTAATATATTTTTAAAGTTCTTGGTATAATTTTTTTATTTCCACGCGTAGGAGAAGATGCGAGACGATAAACGTCGGAGGTGTATATGGTTTGGAAGAACCAATAGACAGTTTTAAAAGGGTAGAAATTCTGAACGTTGAAACAGACGATAAAACAGATACGCCAAAGTTCGTGGATGTAAGATGCATAGACAATGGAGTAATTTTGACGAAGCTGAATGTTCGTGATCAAGTAGAATTATCGAAGAAAAAATTAAAAGAGATACAGTATAATTTCTTTAACATTTTATGTTTATTTCAGGCATATAGATTGTTGCACATGCCGGAAGAATTTATGAGATATCCGGCGCAAGCAGTGGAAGTATTTCTAGCTGGTGTAGTTCCACATGACGATGAATATCTTTGGAATCGTTGTGCATTTGAGGCTGTCTATCAGTGGTTCAAAAGAAACGTAGATGAACGATCCTATGTCATTGCAACGGTAAATTGTTCATTTTGTATATTGTATTTTGTATATTCAAGTCTTGCAAATAGAATATAAGATTAAATGTGTAGGTGAGCCTTCATCTGAAAAACATATTATGGGTGAACACGTTGGAAGTTGGAACAAAATTGATCGGATATAAAGATGTCGTTGGTTCCTCTTTAAAAACAGACTTGTTGGAAAAGGATCATGCTATCGAAAATGACAAACATTTAAAACAGTTGTATCAACTTTGCAAAGAGGATGGTTTTTTGAAAATTAATGGGTGCGATTTAAATGTTTTACTGGACGAAGTCGAGTAAAAGATCAGAGGATCAGAAACGATGGAAGCTAATTTTAAAACTTTATTATTCTTAAAATCATTACGCGCGGTGATTTTAAGTGATTTAATTCGTTTATTAGTTTTTTTTACTCTAATCGTTAGTTTTCTTTTTTTTTTTGCAACTGTTGCATAGATTGACAATGAAATGGAAAGAAAGTTAATTTAATACAAAGACGTTTAAGATAATTGATACACATGATACTCGCAGATGAGTTGTATCGAATCGAAACGATATGAGATTGTTAGGATCTTGAGAAATTAAAGGCACCACGGTGGGCTCTCAGCTGAACGAATTTTATTCTAAATTCGAATACCTCGTTATACAGGGTGTTCGGCCACCCATGGGAAAAATTTTAATGGGAGATTCTAGAGGCCAAAATAAAACGAAAATCAAGGATACTTATTTGTTGATTGAGGCTTCATTAAAAAGTTACTAAAAAATTAAATTTAAAAATTTCAAATCATACTGAAAAAATTATTTTCGGTTCCAGGGGTCGATGAAAATATGTAGAAATTCTAACAATATTGAAAAAGTTATTCCTTGACACCGTAAAGTGAGAAAACCCCCCCTAAAACTACAATAGTAAATATATTTCAATGAAATTTTTTTTTGAAGCAGAGCCCATGGGTACCTACACAAAAGTATTAGACAACTTTTCTGTAGAGCGTCAACCAAATTTATTAAAAATAAATAGGGGAAGTCCCTAAATTTTTCGACGAGAAAAAAAAAAAATTTCAAATCGTTCTGGAAAAATTATTTTTGGTTACGGGGCTCAATTACAATCATTTTTGGTGAATACACATATACACATTTGGTTACAGCAGTCAATTACAATAATTTTTGGTGAATAGACCTACCACACTTTCTAGAAAAAAATTCTAGAATCGCCCATTAAAATTTTTCCCACGTTTTATGCAAGTCGTCTGGTAATTCGATTATTAACGGATAAAGTAACTTTTATTTAATTTTTTATTGATTTTTATTAACGCGAATGACTTCTGTATCGTCCAGAAATGATAGCGGTTTATCGCGGTTGCTTCAACTGTTGAAAATGCTGAAAAATCATATTTTTATTTATATAAGGAGCATTTGTCTATTCTTTTCCTTCCATTTGGTTCAGCACAATCTGGCTATAGATTTGCTTAAGGTTTGTCGGAAGTAAATAAAAACGTGCGAAAAATAATGATAGCTAGTAAGAATAAGAATACGGAGACTGAACAAAACAGAGCATCTGGATATGCTTTACAGATTTCAGTAACTGGATCGATGTAAGGTACGAAACGTTTCAATTTAGCTTAATCTTATATTTTCTAACTTAGTATAAACAACTTTGTACAATTGTATGGTTCGAACATGGGTTACCAAATATTCAGTCAGTTTAATAAAAATATTTTTCACCTGGAAATTCGTGAAAATGCGTACAAGTTAAAAGCAGTAAATTTTATTCGTAAAAAATTCATTTAAAAAATGTAGCAACGAGCACGAAAGTTATACGTCTAATGACACTTTAATAAGAACGAAGAAATACGTTCGTAGATTTCAGAATGCAGTTATCAAAAATACAGTTTATATTATATTATTTACACCTGTTTCGTAAAATTTTCGAAATGAATTACACACTGAGAACAGAAATTTCTTTTAATTCTAATGGAAATTAGAAAATTAAAAAAGTATTAAACTATTATCGAGAGAGAATTTATTACGCACTTTGTTGTAAAACTGTTCGTAACCGTTTTACATTGCCTGTTTTACAACTGTTCACGTTGCTGCCAAATCTTAACGAATTCAGTGTTTCATTGTAACACTCGTCTAAAGGTGAAATATTTAGTAACATTAAAGTTTTCGAATTACCGCCTAAAGACGGCATTAGCAAATGGGTGAGCTTTGAGTTTCTGTAAGGTATATGTTCCTGCTTTCTCAGAAGCGCTAGAATAACATTGCTTAAATTCGCCAGTGATTTGTTAATATTTTTTGTCTCGGCCACTCGTGTAGATTCCTCGCCCTTCAATCTTTCGGAACCCGCCAGGTCCACTAAATTTAGGTTTCCTATCGAAACTTCCTTCTTTGTCTTGTGCGTTCCAATAAGTTTTATTCTCGCCACTGAATGTGATCTTGACGATCTAGAAAATTATAATATTACTTCGTTTTTCTCCATAAGTCTCTTCCATAACTAGCGAAGGTAAAGGATAGAAATTAACCTTTCGTTCGACAGAGTAGCAGCAACCGCTCTGTTATGTTGCGCAATTAAAAGATAATTTTGCAACTCTTCGGGACTGTGTATCTCCTGTACTTTTAGGTTGCTGACGTACAAATCGTGTCCTTTACTGTCTGTCATTCGAATTTCATGCGTTTTCGTTTGAGAATCGAGTAGATCCACAATATGCTCGTTATAAATCTCGAGGAAACTGGCTTCTATTCGATACTCCCAACCGAGTAATTCGTACTGGGTCATTTCTTTATATATGTGCCGTACCTGGTCATGCGAGTGAAAAAGAAAACATTCGTTTAGACTAGTAAAGCACCTCTTACAAAGGTTCTACTAAATAACGTTGTACGTACTGTTCTAGGTATCATGCCTTCCGTATCGATGCCAGGTAAACCTTCCATCGTGTACGTTTTACCAGAGCCAGTTTGACCGTACGCGAACACACAAACGTTATATCCTTCCAAGGCGGACTGAACCAAAAGAGCCAACTCCTCGAAGACGTCTTGTTGACTGGTATTTGGTGGAAAAACTTTATCGAAGGAGAACTCTTGTCGCGTTCCTCTCTTCTTTCCGCTACAATTAATCATATCGGACTCGTCCAACTTACCCACTTCGATAGTGCACTCGTCTACAAAGTTCATAAAGCACATCCTGCGAACAGCACGACCGATTGAAAATTTTCCGAACCGTCTGACTTCTCCATTGTCTAGATATACATACCCTTTTCCTTTTTTCAGTTCAGATTGAGTTCTAGGACGTATTCTGCAGAATACACGAATGTTTCCCTTTAGCTCTTGCAACGCATTATGCAGAACCCTACGATCCATATCCATCGTATGAACCAGAGATTGTAATTCGTTTCTCATCGCACTCAATTCTTCGTTACTCTTTCTTTCGATCTCCAGATCCGTTTGTAATTTTGTTACTTCGGACGTGTGTCTCAGTAACAGCGACTCTTGTGAAACACATTTCTCTTTAAATTCCTTCAACGATTCGGAAACAATTTTAAACGATTCCTCCGACTCTTTAAGACGTTTGCTCAAATCCTCTCGTTGCTCTCGCACGATTATCATCTCCGCTTTCAGTACTTTGAGTTCATCGTTTAACGCTTTGTTTAAATTCTCGTTCTCGAATGCGGCCGATTTGTACAAATTTACATTTGCCTCTGAAGTGGTTACCTGAATCTGAAGACTGTTCAATTTCAATTCGGACTCTTTATACTCTTGTCGCAGATTGGACAACTCGTTGGTCGCGTGGGCTAGACGTCCCTTCAAGTCCCACTTGCAAAGCTTAACCGCGCCAGTATTTTGGGTCTTTTTAACCGTCGAAATTTCAGCAGTTCTACAGACATTATTGCTCGTCGACGTAGCAGCATTACGTTGTACAGTCGTCGATTTAACAGCAGGCTTGATAAACGGCTTCTTAACTTCCGTATGAACAGTGGCGTTTCTAGCCGGTCTCTTTACAGCTCTGGTGGTAATCGATGCCGATGTTTTCGATCTCCTGAGGTTTGGCCTCACCAGAGGTTTATTTTCTATCGAACTTTTTGTATTCAGATCCAACACGCTTTTGGCCTTTTTTAAAACTACAGGCAGGTTGCTGGTATTCGTTGGACGCAGATTACTCTTATCTTTCAGCTCTTCACGTTTATTCATTTTTGCGTAAAAGTTTGTCGCACTATTAAGTAAGTTTATTAAAACGACGGTTGAATATCGTTCACTGGCTGTGTTGCCATGCCGCCGAACGGATGTAGTTTCTACGCGCCTGCGCGTCGTAAACGGCATCAGTAAAGTAGACAAGTTGTGTGAAACTGGGCGCCGTGTGGCTCCTTTTACCTTTCACGAAATTATTTAAAACTTTTTTTATATAAGACTATCAATAGTGTTTATGAATCATTTAAATAATATAGCGGTACGGTCAAGGTTTGAGTCGAATGTCTGAACGGAACTGCGATTTTTTTGAAATTTACAGTAGTGTTAAATTGTAGAATGTCTGGGCTGGAAACGCTTCGAAGAAACGAGATACGTTACTGTTTCCGTCGTCCCCTGACTACGCATGCGCGAGAAGTTCGACTCATCTGGCAACATAGGATGCACAGGAAGCTGCGGGCGTTATTTGAATTTAAATTCGTCGAATGTAGCCAATGGGAGCAACTTTTACAAAACGCGATCAATTGTTTAACGCGCTGTGAAAAGGCAACCAATAGCAGCCACCGTTAGACCGGTTATGTATGAAGTTTGTTACACGACTCCCAGTGATGCAAACGTCCAACAAAATATATAGGAAATTTGGGTCCTAATATAGTTAAGTCTGAATAATGCGGATTTGGTTTGTACGATATTTTATTAACAAATTCATAATAACAAGTTTGAACTGCACGTGGCAACGCGAATAAAAAGTCTGTCTGAGCGCCACACGTATGGTGTTTTTCACGTCGGGCGACGGAAGCGGAAGAAGGAACTAGAAATCTACGCGTGGTCTTAGAGTCTGCTTCCTACGGTGGCGCGGCGAACTAATCCCCGGACTCGAGCGCCGTCCACCGGATGATGATGGAAGCTGCACCCTCTGTGCAGGCAGTCTAGCTTGGTCGCTAACCTGTGGTAATAGCTGACGCGGCTGAGACGCCATATATTACTATTGTATGAAATTCAACGCGGGCAAAATCAAACCAGGAATACAGACGTGATTTCTCCGCTATTTTTGAGAATTAAAATTTCGAGACCTTTTTATTTAGCAAAACTATATTACGGTCATTAAGGGAAACTCTAAACTCCACTCGAGACTTGGAATCTTTGGAGCTCTTCCTCGTTTCAATAGCGATTGCTAACAGCGTATTTCCAATATGAACAAGCCCATGAATTTTCTTCAGAATTAATATCACACTTGCAGGAGCTGAATGAAATTGTTTTCTTATGTCTCTAGAGAAACACAATATTTATAATATCAAGTTATTATAAATAAATACAGTGATTCGAAAATAAAATTTAGACTGGATGAAAATTGGATAGGTCTTTTTTACTTGTTACGCTGTAATTTATAATTGACAATCGATTAACACATTAAATATAATAATTAACGCCCGAACATAAAATTACCGATGGTTACAACGGTCAATTCCCGAACCAACTCGAATATAATATTTGGTGATGTTTAACACATTACCGACCGATAGCCTATTAATCGACTTTTTTACCGGCCAACACTTACCGACCGATAACGTATTAATCAACTTTTTTACCGACCAACGCTTACCGACCGATAGCCGATTAATCAACCGCTACCGGTCGGTAAAGTGTTAAGAGCGGTTTCCACAATCTAGTTACTTGCTATCTGGTAACTAACTATACGCAACGCGAGGGCGAGGGGTCAAAGTGGGGGAAACGAATGCCACGGGGACGTTACATCATAATAAAACAATATTGCAATTGCATGAAGTGATCTTCGTTTTCATTTTCCATTCAGAATTAAGTACATATGATGTTACGCTATCGCGTGAATTTAGGCTTACATATAGCGCCGCGACGGGAATTAATGGGAACTCGATTAATGACCATCGAGTGCACGATCATGTAACTCTATTAAAATTCGGAGCGAGATTCAAACGAACGAGCGTCTTATAATGTACATCGCTATTATATAAGGTTCAACGTGGACGATCAAGCAGGGAAAGTCAAAGATCGAGAGATAAAAGAAGGCATTCCTTAGAAATACTTGGTTTTATTTTCTAAAGAACATCACAATTATCGAAAAGTCTGTCAATTTACCGAGTTGACTCCGAGTGAATAAAATCGTTGAAGTTACATCGAAAATTTTCCAAGTTTATTTTGCGCCACGGTCGCACGCGATGATGTATCGTCACCGCGTCGACCGTCGCGCGGGCGTGGGGGCGGTCCCGGGTGTGCAGGAACCTGCTTGGGGCGAGTTGAAGCGCTAGGCCCGGGAGTCCGTGGTGCACGCGTGGCAAGAGCGGTTGGCTCTGCCTACCGCGGGGCACCGGACAGTCGGGGCTGTTCGGCCACTCCTATGTGAGTGGCTGGACAGAGGCCATGGAAGCCTCACTTACAGGATGCCACAGGTGTTCTCGGGGCATGACAGCTTCGGGAGATACCTGTGCCGGATAGGGAAGGAGCCGACGGCGCGTTGCTGCCATTGTGACGCTGAGCAGGACACGGCGGAACATACCCTCGAGGTATGCGCTGCATGGGAGGGTGAACGCCGTGTCCTGATCGGCGTCATCGGGCGGGATGTCTCGCTGCCGGGCATGGTGCGCGCCATGCTCGGCAGCGAGGAGAAGTGGAGGGCCGTGGCCTCCTTCTGCGAAATCGTAATGTTGCAGAAGGAGACCGCGGGAAGGGAGCGCGAGCGTCAGCGGCGTGCTGAGGCTCGCGCTCGTTTGGTGGCGAGAGAGCGTCGCCTGGGCGTCAGGCGACGCGGGCGGCCCCCTCGGCGTGGCGCATGACCCAGGCTGGGAGGGGGGTCCTGATAGGAGCCCCCTCCCGCCAGGCGGCGTAGGGTCGGACCGGATGGGGTGGCAGTGCCTCCTGTCCGGCTCCGGCGCACGGAGCGGCACCCTCGGTGGCCTGGTGCGGCCATGAGCTGCCGGCCTCCGAGGGGTAGAAAAGGGGTCGCGGCGGTTGCGAGTTGGGGCTCGCAGCCGCCACTAGACGCGGCCCCGGGACGGATGGCGGCAGGACGATGTGGCCTCGTCCTGCCGCTATGAGACAGGGCGATTACCGGGGGGACCGTTTGTCCCCCCGCGGGTGGGCGCAAAGCGCGGGCACGGGGAGGATACCGGAAGTATACTTCGAACGATTCCCGGTATCCTCCCAAATCGTGCGGAAGGGTCACCGTGGGGTTTTTAGTGGGTAGGTCCCGCGCCCGTTATAATGGGCGCGGGGAATCCCACACACCCCTCCCGCCTCTCCCCAAAGAGGCGGGAGGGAGTCTTTCGAAGATTTTCCCCACGAAAAAGAAAAAAAAAAAGAAAAGTTTATTTTGCGCGCGTCGCCGAGCAGAGCGGTTTAGTGCTCCAGGAGCACCAACCCATCTCCATATCCCTCTAGACCGCAGATCAGGACGCAACAGTGAACATAGTTGCGCAATTTAACGCAGCTATGTTCACACAAGAACAATGTCTGAGTTCGAATCGGGGCTGTCATACGTGATCACACAAAAGTTGAGGTTAAGATGTAATCTGGTAAATTTGGCCTGCATTGAATTTGATTAAATGGACTGATTCCCGGTCTATGTGCAGGATATGTACCTAGTTAGAAGAAAATATTTGAGAAATTCTTTCGATCGAATTTCTAGTACGAAAATTTAATACACGATTTGTACAGTTTAAACTATCACGTACAGGCGAGAAAATTATAATATTTTTTAAAGTATTAGGTACGTTGTCAAGAATATATTACTAGAATTGAATTAACCCTGTAATTCTGTCATTCAACTTAATAAGATCAATTGTGAATTTGCTCATTGTTAAATAGTCAAACTAAATGTATTCGATTTATTACATTAACCTATAAATCCTAACCTATAAATTTGAAACGATTGAATTACCCTTGTAATTCTGTCTTTCAACTTAATAAGACCAATTGTGAATTTGCTCATTGTTAAATAGTCAAATAAAATGTATTCGATTTATTACATTAACCTATAAATTTGAAACGACTGTAAGGAAAACACTTTTCTTGTACACCTTGTACTCTTTGACTTATAAACCTAAAAAGTTAAATATATAACTTTTCTAACAGTTTATATATCTTGGAATTATGGATACACGTTAACTCTTTGTTAGTTTAAATGTATCTTGTCGAACAATACTTTAATAGTTTACCTTGTACACCTAATAAAATTTGATTCGGTGTAACGAAATTACAACACACATTTTCTTCTCCTATCCTGTTTAAGTTCAAAATATTACAAACCAGTTCTTTGTTGAATACATTTATAAATAGTTCAATTTTGAATTAATCGTTTTGCAGATTTTTAAATGGCTGAATCTATCGATAGTTCTAAATTTTCTGAAAATGATACCGCTCAGAATTCTACGACCGCCGAGACGAGCAGCAAACAAAAAAAGCCATGTTGTATTATCGTTCTGGGAATGGCTGGATCTGGAAAAACATTCTTTGTAAATCGGCTCGCCTTGGTGTTATATAAAATTAAGAAACCGTACATTATAAATTTAGATCCTGCGTGCAAGGAAGTCCCTTACCCAGCGAACATAGGTATTTCTTGCGAATATGTTCAGTCGTTTGTTGTTTACGTACCAAGGAGTTTTTACTAAACTATGTTTCAGACGTAAGAGATACGGTGAATTACAAGGAAGTGATGAAACAGTACAGTTTAGGACCGAATGGCGGTATCGTTACCGCCTTAAATTTGTTCTCCACGAAATTTGATCAAGTGATAGAACTCATCAAGAAAGCAAGCAAAGAGCACGATTATATAATTCTAGATACACCCGGGCAAATAGAAGTTTTTACATGGTCGGCAAGTGGAACCATTATAACGGAAGCTTTAGCATCCGAATTCCCGACGATTATAGTGTATGTATTAGATACTGTGAGAAGCATTAGTCCTGTAACGTTCATGTCCAACATGCTTTACGCGTGTTCTATTCTTTACAAAACTAAGTTACCATTTATCGTCGCTATGAATAAGGTAATTACGAGAAATGGAACTACCATTCTTTCACGGGAAGAAGTCGCAGCGTGTTTACATCGACTCGCAGGATTGGTCGAAAATGGTGACGAAGATCGGTGACAGCCAATCAGCGGACTGCAGCAAGAGTGGGGATGTAAACACTCTGTGCCTTATTCTCGCGGAAGGACGATACTCGATGCATTGAATTCTGTGTTACTTTCGATTGTACGGATCCTCTGAAATTCATATAAATAATACGAAACGTAAATATTCTATTTCTTCAAGCGTAGCATAGGATTCGATGTGCTTGACATTATTACGTAATTTATTAATTATAACGTAACCACAATAGATTGATATCGTGGAACATAGTTACGCGGTAGATTGGATGCAAGATTTTGAAGCGTTTCAAGAAGCTTTGGATTCGGAAACAAGCTATATCAGCAACCTAACGCGCAGCATGGCTCTGACGCTGGACGAATTTTATAGACATTTACGTAGTTGTGGTGTTTCTGCTGTTACGGGGGCTGGTATTACAAAGTTTTTGGAACTTGTTGACGACGCCGTAGAGGAATACGAAAGGTAAACTAGTAAAACATTTATGCACCCGTGTAAAAGCAACGAACGTTCCGTAAGCTAAATAAAAAAATTTTCTCAAGGGATTATAAAAAAGGTTGGGAGAGAACGAAAGTTAAACGAGATGCTCAAAGACGGCAAACGGAAATGGAACAACTTGAGAAAGCGGGGCAGAATATTGCAGGCGAGACCGTGCCATTTGTAACAACAATTGGTAGTGGAAGAGAAATCGCGGACATATATTTAAAGCACGCTGGCAACGAATCGAGCGAGGACGAAGAGGGCACGGAAAATTTATTCAAAGTCGAAGACGAGGAGGAAAATAAAGAGGCGGAGTCTTTTATGAACTTTCTAAATAGACATAAAATGGAACAGAAAAAGCGTACGTCCAATCAGCCTGCTACCAGCAGTAGCAGTACGTAGTATGTACATAAATATTTATATTCGCAAATAAATTTTCTAACTGATAAATGTAATAAATGATTTATATTTTGGAGCTCGGATTTTACAGTTCTTATTTACAAAACAAAATTTACCACGCATTTGAGCAGCCGTAATAATACTAATAATACAAGAAACTTAAATTAGAATTTTAACAAAGTCAGTTATCCTTTCTTTTTTTTTTAAATGAAAGTCAATTCTGAAATTGCTACGTTAATATCAATTTTTAAAGAAAATTCGTAGCACTACTCGATAAATAAATGTATTTTATTTTCGCCTCGTATTTGAATTCGCGGATAGAAATTTGTATCATAATTTGTGAAATTACATTTAGTTGTAAGTTATAAAATTTTCCGAAATATTTATTTTATTTTATTAAATATACTTTATTGTTCCTTCAAGATTTCTACGATTTCAAATAATTATAAACATAAATCGTCGGGAAATTAAAATTTAACATTTGCATATACACGCTACACTTTCAGACGTATTATTGCAGGTAATCGCAATCAGATAACTTTAATTTTTTCTTACTTAGTTTTTAGATTTCGTAACGAGAGCACATATTGTATTCTTTGTTTATTAAGTTTTATAATTGCTAAATATTCTCTGTAACCGTGTTTATAATATTTCACGCGTTATATTACTGTACCTTTTCCGTAAGAGGTTGTAGCGTTACTCAAATAATCGTTATCTCTGGTTCCATGGTTGTGTGTTCTTTGATGTTCTTGCGCTATCTGTTTTAGGGCTTCCTTTAGCGCCAACTGAACAGGAAAAATGATAAAATTACAGGTACGTATTACCAATAAGTAGTATCGCGTTTTTGCAACCTTGTTTTTATATTAGTAGATATAAAAACAAAAGTTATAGATGATTTAGTAAATGATTTTAAAGTCCTTCGTCCAAAGTCCAGCAGAGGGCTCGTCGGTATATCGCAAACGTTTTCTATTGGCTGTGTCCATTTAGCGGTAGAATATGAATTTATTCACGACGTTAATTACATTTCAATCTGATTTACCATTTTTTTAAAGTATTTGCAACATTATTGTTTTAGTAAGCGTTAGATCACATATAGTTTTTCATTCGGAATTTGATATTTCCATTAAATTTTAGAATATCAAAAATAATCTTAATTAAGTTTAAGCTGTTGATTTGTTATTCTATTTTCCAACATTATGAGAGCTGTAGACTTAAATCCATTGTTAAGACAACAATGTATCATTCTGAATTCGTCGAAATGTCGAAATTAGTCATACTGAAAATCGTCCATCGTTCGTTAACTATTATTTTTTTAAAAAGTTACTAGATTCACGTATAGAACACGGTTAAACTTAACGAGTTATGATTTATATTTATTATTAGATAGCATGAGATAAAAACAGATGTACGCTTTTATAAAAAAATAAACAAAACTATTGTTACTTTGAGTATATACAGGGTGTTCAGCCACCCTTGGGAAACATTCTAATGGGGGATTCCAGAGGCTAAAATAAGACGAAAATCAAGAATATCAATTTCTTGATTGAGGCTTTATTAAACAGTTATTAAAAAATTAAATTAAAAAATTTCAAATCATTCTAAAACAATTATTTTTGGTTACGGGGCTCAATTACAATAATTTTTGGTGAATACACATATCCCTGAAATTCTACTCATTTCCGAGAAAAAAATTCGAGTAGTTACTGAAATTTTTAGACGAAATTGAAAAATTTCAAATCATACTTAAAAAATTATATTTAGTTGCAGGGGTCAATTACAAGCATTTTTAGTGAATAGACATACCCCGAAATTCTACGCACTTTCGAGAAAAAAATTCTTTACCCAACATATAATGTGAGGTTAGAGATGCTTCCCTGAAATTTCATGGGAATTTTTAAAATGTCGTAACTCCTGAACGGATTGGACGATTTTAATTTTTCAAAATGCAAACAACGCGCATTTTAGTGGAGAATATGTAGAAACTCTACCAATATTGAAAAAGTTGTTCCTTAACCTCGTAAAGTGAGAAAAACCCCCTAAAACTGGTCCAATTTTCAAACGGCCATAAATCCTACAATAGTAAAGGTATCTCATTGAAATTGTTTTCGGAAGCAGAGCCCATAGGTACCTACAAAGAAGTATTAGAATACTTTTCTGTAAAGCGTCAAACAAATTTACTAGAAATGAAAAACTAATTTTCAAGAAAAGTCGACGGGGTAAAATTTTCGACGAAAAAAAAAGTTTCAAATCGTTCTGGTAAAATTATTTTCGGTTGCGGAGGTCAAGTACAATCATTTTTGGTCATTAGACATACCCTTGAAATCCTACCCACTTTCAAGAAAAACATTCGAGAAGGTGTGAAATTTTTCGACAAAATTAAAAAATTTCAAATCGTTCTGGAAAAATTATTGTTGGTTGCGGGGGTCAATTACAATCATTTTTGGTCATTACACATACCCCCGAAATCCTACGTACTTTCGAGAAAAAAATTCCTTACCGAACATATAATGTGAGGTTAGAAATTTCATGCGAATCTTTTAAATGACATAATTCCTGAATGGATTGGACGATTTTAATTTTTAAAAATGCAAACAACGCGCATTTTAGTAGAGAATATGTAGAAACTCTACCAATATTGAAAAAGTTGTTCCTTAACCTCGTAAAGTGAGAAAAACCCCCTAAAACTGGTCCAATTTTCAAACGGTCATAAATCCTACAATAGTAAAGGTATCTCATTGAAATTATTTTCGGAAGCAGAGCCCATAGGTACCTACAAAAAAGTATTAGAATTCATTTCTGTAAAGCGTCAAACAAATTTACTAAAAATGAAAAACTAATTTTCAAGAAAAGTCGACAGGGGGTAAAATTTTCGACGAAAAGAAAGTTTCAAATCGTTCTGGTAAAATTATTTTCGGTTGCGGAGGTCATTTAAAATCATTTTTGGTCATTAGACATACCCTCGAAATCCTACCCACTTATAAGAAAAAAATTCGAGGTGTGAAATTTTTCGACAAAATTAAAAAATTTCAAATCGTTCTGGAAAAATTATTTTCGGTTGCGGGGGTCAATTACAATAATTTTTGGTGAATACACATATCCCTGAAATTCTACTCATTTCCGAGAAAAAAATTCGAGTAGTTACTGAAATTTTTAGACGAAATTGAAAAATTTCAAATCATACTTAAAAAATTATATTTAGTTGCAGGGGTCAATTACAAGCATTTTTAGTGAATAGACATACCCCGAAATTCTACGCACTTTCGAGAAAAAAATTCTTTACCCAACATATAATGTGAGGTTAGAGATGCTTCCCTGAAATTTCATGGGAATTTTTAAAATGTCGTAACTCCTGAACGGATTGGACGATTTTAATTTTTCAAAATGCAAACAACGCGCATTTTAGTGGAGAATATGTAGAAACTCTACCAATATTGAAAAAGTTGTTCCTTAACCTCGTAAAGTGAGAAAAACCCCCTAAAACTGGTCCAATTTTCAAACGGCCATAAATCCTACAATAGTAAAGGTATCTCATTGAAATTGTTTTCGGAAGCAGAGCCCATAGGTACCTACAAAAAAGTATTAGAATACTTTTCTGTAAAGCGTCAAACAAATTTACTAAAAATGAAAAACTAATTTTCAAGAAAAGTCGACGGGGTAAAATTTTCGACGAAAAAAAAAGTTTCAAATCGTTCTGGTAAAATTATTTTCGGTTGCGGAGGTCATTTAAAATCATTTTTGGTCATTAGACATACCCTCGAAATCCTACCCACTTATAAGAAAAAAATTCGAGGTGTGAAATTTTTCGACAAAATTAAAAAATTTAAAATCGTTCTGGAAAAATTATTGTTGGTTGCGGGGGTCAATTACAATCATTTTTGGTCATTACACATACCCCCGAAATCCTACGTACTTTCGAGAAAAAAATTCCTTACCGAACATATAATGTGAGGTTAGAAATTTCATGCGAATCTTTTAAATGACATAATTCCTGAATGGATTGGACGATTTTAATTTTTAAAAATGCAAACAACGCGCATTTTAGTGGAGAATATGTAGAAACTCTACCAATATTGAAAAAGTTGTTCCTTAACCTCGTAAAGTGAGAAAAACCCCCTAAAACTGGTCCAATTTTCAAACGGCCATAAATCCTACAATAGTAAAGGTATCTCTTTGAAATTGTTTTCGGAAGCAGAGCCCATAGGTACCTACAAAAAAGTATTAGAATACTTTTCTGTAAAACGTCAAACAAATTTACTAAAAATGAAAAACTAATTTTCAAGAAAAGTCGACGGGGTAAAATTTTCGACGAAAAAAAAAGTTTCAAATTGTTCTGGTAAAATTATTTTCGGTTGCGGAGGTCAATTACAATCATTTTTGGTCATTAGACATACCCTCGAAATCCTACCCACTTATAAGAAAAAAATTCGAGGTGTGAAATTTTTCGACAAAATTAAAAAATTTCAAATCGTTCTGGAAAAATTATTTTCGGTTGCGGGGGTCAATTACAATCATTTTTGGTGAATACACATATCTCTGAAATTCTACTCATTTCCGAGAAAAAAATTCGAGTAGCTTCTGAAATTTTTAGACGAAATTGAAAAATTTCAAATCATACTTAAAAAATTATATTTAGTTGCAGGGGTCAATTACAAGCATTTTTAGTGAATAGACATACCCCGAAATTCTACGCACTTTCGAGAAAAAAATGCTTTACCCAACATATAATGTGAGGTTAGAGATGCTTCCCTGAAATTTCATGGGAATTTTTAAAATGTCGTAACTCCTAAACGGATTGGACGATTTTAATTTTTCAAAATGCAAACAACGCGCATTTTAGTGGAGAATATGTAGAAACTCTACCAATATTGAAAAAATTGTTCCTTAACCTCGTAAAGTGAGAAAAACCACCTAAAACTGGTCCAATTTTCAAACGGCCATAAATCCTACAATAGTAAAGGTATCTCTTTGAAATTGTTTTCGGAAGCAGAGCCCATAGGTACCTACAAAAAAGTATTAGAATTCTTTTCTGTAAAGCGTCAAACAAATTTACTAAAAATGAAAAACTAATTTTCAAGAAAAGTCGACGGGGTAAAATTTTCGACGAAAAAAAAAGTTTCAAATTGTTCTGGTAAAATTATTTTCGGTTGCGGAGGTCAATTACAATCATTTTTGGTCATTAGACATACCCTCGAAATCCTACCCACTTATAAGAAAAAAATTCGAGGTGTGAAATTTTTCGACAAAATTAAAAAATTTCAAATCGTTCTGGAAAAATTATTTTCGGTTGCGGGGGTCAATTACAATCATTTTTGGTGAATACACATACCTCCGAAATCCTACGTACTTTCGAGAAAAAAATTCCTTACCGAACATATAATGTGAGGTTAGAAATTTCATGCGAATCTTTTAAATGACATAATTCCTGAATGGATTGGACGATTTTAATTTTTAAAAATGCAAACAACGCGCATTTTAGTGGAGAATATGTAGAAACTCTACCAATATTGAAAAAGTTGTTCCTTAACCTCGTAAAGTGAGAAAAACCCCCTAAAACTGGTCCAATTTTCAAACGGCCATAAATCCTACAATAGTAAAGGTATCTCTTTGAAATTGTTTTCGGAAGCAGAGCCCATAGGTACCTACAAAAAAGTATTAGAATACTTTTCTGTAAAACGTCAAACAAATTTACTAAAAATGAAAAACTAATTTTCAAGAAAAGTCGACGGGGTAAAATTTTCGACGAAAAAAAAAGTTTCAAATTGTTCTGGTAAAATTATTTTCGGTTGCGGAGGTCAATTACAATCATTTTTGGTCATTAGACATACCCTCGAAATCCTACCCACTTATAAGAAAAAAATTCGAGGTGTGAAATTTTTCGACAAAATTAAAAAATTTCAAATCGTTCTGGAAAAATTATTTTCGGTTGCGGGGGTCAATTACAATCATTTTTGGTGAATACACATATCTCTGAAATTCTACTCATTTCCGAGAAAAAAATTCGAGTAGCTTCTGAAATTTTTAGACGAAATTGAAAAATTTCAAATCATACTTAAAAAATTATATTTAGTTGCAGGGGTCAATTACAAGCATTTTTAGTGAATAGACATACCCCGAAATTCTACGCACTTTCGAGAAAAAAATGCTTTACCCAACATATAATGTGAGGTTAGAGATGCTTCCCTGAAATTTCATGGGAATTTTTAAAATGTCGTAACTCCTAAACGGATTGGACGATTTTAATTTTTCAAAATGCAAACAACGCGCATTTTAGTGGAGAATATGTAGAAACTCTACCAATATTGAAAAAATTGTTCCTTAACCTCGTAAAGTGAGAAAAACCACCTAAAACTGGTCCAATTTTCAAACGGCCATAAATCCTACAATAGTAAAGGTATCTCTTTGAAATTGTTTTCGGAAGCAGAGCCCATAGGTACCTACAAAAAAGTATTAGAATTCTTTTCTGTAAAGCGTCAAACAAATTTACTAAAAATGAAAAACTAATTTTCAAGAAAAGTCGACGGGGTAAAATTTTCGACGAAAAAAAAAGTTTCAAATTGTTCTGGTAAAATTATTTTCGGTTGCGGAGGTCAATTACAATCATTTTTGGTCATTAGACATACCCTCGAAATCCTACCCACTTATAAGAAAAAAATTCGAGGTGTGAAATTTTTCGACAAAATTAAAAAATTTCAAATCGTTCTGGAAAAATTATTTTCGGTTGCGGGGGTCAATTACAATCATTTTTGGTCATTACACATACCTCCGAAATCCTACGTACTTTCGAGAAAAAAATTCCTTACCGAACATATAATGTGAGGTTAGAAATTTCATGCGAATCTTTTAAATGACATAATTCCTGAATGGATTGGACGATTTTAATTTTTAAAAATGCAAACAACGCGCATTTTAGTGGAGAATATGTAGAAACTCTACCAATATTGAAAAAGTTGTTCCTTAACCTCGTAAAGTGAGAAAAACCCCCTAAAACTGGTCCAATTTTCAAACGGCCATAAATTCTACAATAGTAAAGGTATCTCATTGAAATTGTTTTTGGAAGCAGAGCCCATAGGTACCTACAAAAAAGTATTAGAATACTTTTCTGTAAAGCGTCAAACAAATTTACTAGAAATGAAAAACTAATTTTCAAGAAAAGTCGACAGGGGGTAAAATTTTCGACGAAAAAAAAAGTTTCAAATCGTTCTGGTAAAATTATTTTCGGTTGCGGAGGTCAATTACAATCATTTTTGGTCATTAGACATACCCTCGAATTCCTACCCACTTTCAAGAAAAAAATTCGAGATGTGAAATTTTTCGACAAAATTAAAAAATTTCAAATCGTTCTGAAAAAATTATTTTCGGTTGCGGGGGTCAATTACAATAATTTTTGGTGAATAGACCTATCCCCGAAATCGTACCCACTTTCTAGAAAAAAAATTCAGTACTAGCGGAACTGTAAACGTTAATAACTTTTTAACGAAGCCCCCATCAACAAATTGGTATTCTTGATTTTCGTCGTATTTCGACCTCTAGAATCTCCCATTAGAATTTTTTCCCAGGGGTGGCCGAGCACCCTGTATAGGAATTGATATTAAAATAAAAAAATATTTAAAGTGTAATCGTTTTTTTATAGATCTGTAAGGGCAACCGCAGCAAAAGATATTAAAAAAAGAAATAACGTTTTTATTACAAATTCAAATGTACAGAATGATTCATTGATGCAAGAAGTATCAACTGTAATTCATTTATTTATGCAGGAAGAAAATTTCATTAAAAAAGGTGTCAATGATGTTTTCCAGCATGACCAACACAATGAAACGAATAGATTAAATTGATAATAAAATTCGTCGTTTTTTATAGGTACTTGCGTTCACGCATCAATTTAGAAAAGATTGTTTTAATAAACTCGAGAGTTTGCTTATTCTCCGCAGCGCGGCGCCACCCATCGTTTAACACAACGAACAGAGCTACTGTTACAGCTACCGAACTAAGTACATACTTTCTCTCACGTAAAATTTACTATTAATTATAAACATCATTATTACCGTTTAAATATTTTGAATCAACCCTATCTAAACTAATGAAATAAAAATGTACCGTGTTTTGGTTGCGTAAAAAAGTCAATCGATCATTGGTTCATTTTTTATTATAGAAGACAACTTTTCTTTCAAATTATGCATTGAACAAGGCACGTATGTATAATAGTATGTATAATACATTTAAAAATCATCGAAAAATGTATCTGCGTGGTAAATAAAAACTAACGAATCTGTCATTTGTCACGAACTGTACGACATCGACGGTGCAGATAACTACCGGCGTTGCCTGACATCTGTCGCGATATCGTAGAACTATCATCACGTTTTCTCGCGATTGTTTGTTTATGCAATATAATTCGAAAGGACAAGTTGTAAAAGTAGCTTATTTACCCGGCACATGTGTAAACGCGAAACGCGATCATTGTCCTTGGTCAGACTGTCCGGTTCCGTGACGGTCGTCAGATTGATGCGTCGACAATGTTTCAACTTCCCAGCGGTTTTTCGATACACCCTCGATAACAGATCCGGTCGGCCAGTACGAAAGTTTTCGTGCATGAATTCATGGACATCCGGGTTACGGGAATTGCAGATCGGGTCCTGATTGTGCGACGTCACCTTACGAAACCCGTACAGGTTCAGCTGTCTGATGAAGCTCGTTATATTTTTCGTTTTGAAGATGGAATTGCCAGCGCCAAGGTATTGTTCTTGGAATTTCTTGTAGTCGAGCAGAATGGTGTTGCCGCCCAAACTCCATCGAATAGCGCCAGTGTCGCACTCGTTCACGATCCGCCAGAGCTTTTTCGGGAAACGTAACGAGAGGAATATGCAATCGTCGAACATGCTTGATCTCGATGTGACGTTTTAATCGTACTGATGAACACACAAGTCGAAAAATAGACACGGCGACGATTTTTCCGATCGCTGATCTTTTCCAAACAAAAAACTATCGTATCACGGCAACAATATTTCGCGTTCTCGAATCGTCGTTGGATTTGAAAATCTTGACCGGGGTGTCTGTTATATGCATACGCATGTATATAAGATAGAATATTGATAAAAACTTTTAAACGGTCTTGAAATAATTTTCATTTTTAACAACGTTGGATGCTCGTACTTGAATTTCATGTTTACCTTTCCGCGTACCAACATAAAAAATGATAATGTAACATTTGAAATACTTATTTTACGGTTTGATATTTTACTATCGGGTTACATTGTACGATTCAATTTTGTTCGATTTTTCTGTTAAAGCTTCTTTTGAATCGCAATATAATTGTTTTTAAATTCTAATTTCGAATTAATTACAAAATTTCTTATAATATTTAAATTATATTAACGGGGAGTTATATTAATCACTTTTGATGATACACAATGTACGTTTCATTGTTGTCATAAAGTTTAAAATAATCCACTTTTTCGACACTGCTTTCCAAATTCTTTTTCAAAATATTTAAATAAACATACTTATTCAGATTTCTTTCAGTACACTTCTAATTATTCGTTTCGTTAAATTGCATTATCATCGATCTATTTACATTGTGGCGACACCTCCTGTACTTGCCGCTAGAGGGCTACGTCTTGTCTCTCTCGCAAGCGCTTGATTAATCCTTCTGTAAAATTGAAAAATTTTAATGGGAGATTCTAGAGGCCAAAATAAGACGAAAATCAAGAACGCCAATTTGTTGATGGAGGCTTTGTTAAAAAATTATTAATGTTTAAATTTCCGCTCGTATTGAATTTTTTTCTCATAAATGCGCAGGATTTCGGGGGTATGTCTATTCACCAAAAATAATTGTAATTGACCCTCGCAACCGAAAATAATTTTTCTAGAACGATTTGAAATTTTTTTTTTTCTTCGAAAAATTTAGGCATCCAATTAAATTTTCGGTAAGGAATTTTTTTCTCGAAAGTACGTAGGATTTCGGGGGTATGCGCAATGACCAAAAATGATTCTAATTGACCCCCGCAACCGAAAATAATTTTTCCAGAACGATTTGAAATTTTTTAATTTTGTCGAAAAATTTCACACCTCGAATTTTTTTCTTGAAAGTGGGTAGGAATTCGAGGGTATGTCTAATGACCAAAAATGATTGTAATTGACCTCCGCAACCGAAAATAATTTTACCAGAACGATTTGAAACTTTTTTTTTCGTCGAAAATTTTACCCCCTGACGACTTTTCTTGAAAATTAGTTTTTCATTTTTAGTAAATTTGTTTGACGCTTTACAGAAAAGTATTCTAATACTTTTTTGTAGGTACCTATGGGCTCTGCTTCCGAAAACAATTTCAATGAGATGCCTTTACTATTGTAGGATTTATGGCCGTTTGAAAATTGGACCAGTTTTAGGGGGGTTTTCCTCACTTTACGAGGTTAAGGAACAACTTTTTCAATATTGGTAGAGTTTCTACATATTCTCCACTAAAATGCGCGTTGTTTGCATTTTTAAAAATTAAAATCCTCCAATCCATTCAGGAATTATGTCATTTTAAAGATTCGTATGAAATTTCTAACCTCACATTATATGTTCGGTAAGGAATTTTTTTCTCGAAAGTACGTTGGATTTTGGGGGTATGTGTAATGACCAAAAATGATTCCAATTGACCCCCGCAACCGAAAATAATTTTTCCAGAACGATTTGAAATTTTTTAATTTTGTCGAAAAATTTCACACCTCGAATTTTTTTCTTGAAAGTGGGTAGGAATTCGAGGGTATGTCTAATGACTAAAAATGATTGTATTTGACCTCCGCAACCGAAAATAATTTTACCAGAACGATTTGAAACTTTTTTTTTCGTCGAAAATTTTACCCCCTGACGACTTTTCTTGAAAATTAGTTTTTCATTTTTAGTAAATTTGTTTGACGCTTTACAGAAAAGTATTCTAATACTTTTTTGTAGGTACCTATGGGTTCTGCTTCCGAAAACAATTTCAATGAGATACCTTTACTATTGTAGGATTTATGGCCGTTTGAAAATTGGACCAGTTTTAGGGGGTTTTTCTCACTTTACGAGGTTAAGGAACAACTTTTTCAATATTGGTAGAGTTTCTACAGATTCTCCACTAAAATTCGCGTTGTTTGCATTTTGAAAAATTAAAATCCTCCAATCCGTTCAGGAATTATGTCATTTTAAAGATTCGCATGAAATTTCTAACCTCACATTATATGTTCGGTGAGGAATTTTTTTCTCGAAAGTACGTAGGATTTCGGGGGTATGCGCAATGACCAAAAATGATTCTAATTGACCCCCGCAACCGGAAATAATTTTTCCAGAACGACTGGAAATTTTTTAAGTTTGTCGAATAAATTTCACACCTCGAATTTTTTTCTTGAAAGTGGGTAGGAATTCGAGGGTATGTCTAATGACCAAAAATGATTGTAATTGACCTCCGCAACCGAAAATAATTTTACCAGAACGATTTGAAACTTTTTTTTCGTCGAAAATTTTACCCCCTGTCGAGTTTTCTTGAAAATTAGTTTTTCATTTTTAGTAAATTTGTTTGACGCTTTACAGAAAAGAATTCTAATACTTTTTTGTAGGTACCTATTAGGCTCTGCTTCCAAAAACAATTTCAATGAGATACCTTTACTATTGTAGAATTTATGGCCGTTTGAAAATTGGACCAGTTTTAGGTGGTTTTTCTCACTTTACGAGGTTAAGGAACAACTTTTTCAATATTGGTAGAGTTTCTACAGATTCTCCACTAAAATGCGCGTTGTTTGCATTTTGAAAAATTAAAATCCTCCAATCCGTTCAGGAGTTACGACATTTTAAAAATTCGCATGAAATTTTAGGGAAGCATTTCTAACCTCACATTATATGTCGGGTAAAGAATTTTTTTCTCGAAAGTGCGTAGAATTTCGGGGTATGTCTATTCACTAAAAATGCTTGTAATTGACCCCTGTAACTAAATATAATTTTTTTAGTATGATTTGAAATTTTTTAATTTCGTCTAATAATTTCAGTACCTAATCGAATTTTTTTCTCGTAAGTGAGTAGAATTTCAGGGATATGTGTATTCACCAAAGTCGAATAAAATAATGGTTCACTTGTTAATAAATTGCGACACTAGTACAAAATGAGTAATAAATGACGGCAATGCTCTTGTACATAACATAGCTTTTCTCTTTTCATATAAAGTAATATTTTCTAACACTGGCCAAGTATAAAGTCATCGCTGGTCTTTAAACGTTTGGTGTGGAATTGTTAATTATGTCATTCGATTTTATTTTTTCGGAAAACATTAGAATAAAAGAGAAAAAAATGTTTGGAGTAAATCTTATTTAGTTCGTTAGCTATTACAATAACAACAAATAGTGTCACTTTCCATTGAAAAAAAAATGTTTGGTGCTCCCTGTATATTCGTCACATTTTTTCGTTTTTCGCTGACTCGCTGCACTAGAAAAACAAATAAATTCCTGATGGATACAAATGTGACATTGTCGTCAAAATGTTAAAAAATATTTCCTTGTCGAATAAATTGTAATAAGAAATGAGACGTTGCGTGACACGCCGATGTGTCACGCAGCAGTCAACGTGTTAAATTTACTCTGCGAAGAAATGTTTTGCTTTTTAACGATCGTTCACATTTTCAGGGAATTCTATTCAACTTTTTTACAGAAATTTACTAATACACTAGTTTTTTTTTTTTATTTTTGAAGAATACAAAAAGATATTAGAAAAATCATTCTTATCGATAATTGTAAGGATTTATACATTCGTACATTGAACGTAGAAAATGGCGGGACGACGCAAAACTACCAAGTACGATGGAAGAAAGTGACGAGGTTAGAAAAGAAATTATCCATAGAGACGCAGTATTTTTATGTATAATTTGCTTCTTGCAAATAATTACTGTATTTAATCGTAATTAATAATAAATTATTGAGAGTATTGTACATTCTCTTAAAATTATTAAGTATTAATATTACATTTAAGTATTAATACTATTTCCTGGACAACGAGAGTTCGATTAGCTCTAACTCTCACGATTCCCCTGATATCCTTCTGATAGTGTTTCCTTTCAGTGTCTTGATTATAAAAATCATTGTCGCAACGACGATTATGTTTATTCGGGCTGATCGGAAACCGACTACACAATTTTATAAAATTTGATCGCGTCGAAGACTCTTTGAAATGGACGAGAACAATTAATATTAAAGATTTCACGGATTCTTGAAACTTAACGAAGAATGCTATTTATTATCATTTTACAAGCAAATAATTTGTTATTTCTTATCATATATACCTCCGTAAAGTAATTTTCTTTTTTGTGTCCTTGCGGTTTCAAGGTTATGGCTTTACGATTTAATTGTTATATTATTTTTAGAGGCAAAGCGTTGCAGATCGCGAATCGTTATTAAGAACCCAAAAGGAAGTTGATAGATTAGAATGGGTTATGTTAGAAATAAAGCGCCATTTGTTTCTGCGCCACCTAGAGTTCTTCTGACGTACTACTATTGTACTGTGTGTTTTTTGTCTGTAACGAAGCCTCGTGCTCATTAAATGTGTCTTACTGAGAGGAGGTCGAGTTTTGCTCATTTGAACCACCAAAGGTTAAAGAACACCAAAATTGGACGGTTGTGAGACGAAAAAGGGTACTTTGGCCGAACGGAACGAAATTTCAATTGTTGACGAACCGTTCGGCTTACCAATGTGTCGTACACGCAATTAAACATGATGAGATTATTGTTCTCGTTAATCCCGAAGAGAAATAACACTGTTTCAAGATCATCTTTTGTTTATACATTATGTCAACAGATGGAACTTGCCTGGAACTGTGATGAATGTATCCGTAAAAGATACTATATAGGTAAATGATCATTGCTCGTCTCCACTATTGAGGGGAGTTTCTATAATTAGAATCTATCTATCTACTCTATAAGTATAGTCCGGGCCACGATATAGCGAGGTTAGCTCCTGGAACAGGTGAATTGACAGGAATACGAGCAGCTGAGGGTCTTAAACCATAGTCGGGGCTGTACGAAGAAATGTTTTTATCAAGTGTCACCATTTTTAGAGGTATCGTAGCAGGTAAAGGTCTTACTCAAGCCTTCGATATCTTAATTTACCTGCTTATAATATATGCTGGTAGAAAATGAAAAAAGATGGTGCAATTATGGACATAGAAAGGCATCCTCAAGCAAGATGTCATGTACAACCCTAAGTGCTGTAGCAGCAGTTAGTGCCGGCTCTAAAGAGTTTAGTTTATAACCTCGCTATATCGTGACCCGGACTACACCAGGCTTGGGGTCCCAATTTTCGGGCATACATTCAACTTTCACTGTATAAACAAATTCCGAATACCGATATTTTACCGACAATGAGATCGATGCTCTTCACGATTCAGTCCTTTCATTCGTACGGAGCAAAATAACGTTTATTAGTCGCTAGACTTACGACCAACGCGTTGTTAATTGGGTAAAATTGGTAGTGTTTGCAAGTATTCGTGCGGTATTGTCGGTGCAGGCAATAAATAACCATCGGGATCCAGTGCATCCAGGGTTCGAATGGTGACGGGTCCTTGAGGCGGTCTTGGTAACGTTTCTTGTTGGATGGATTTACCTTGCGCTTTTTCAAGCCTCTCTAATATCTCTGCGAATTTTATTCTATCCTTTGGGTCCGTTTTCCAGCATTCTCGCATCAGCTGGCATGCAAACGGTGGACATTCTTCCGGCGGAATTAGCATTATTCCTTGGAATATCAGTTTTACTACCTAAAAACAACGTTAAATAAGAGAATGATGCACTTTGCTTTTCAATAATATATGGTGATGCAAGGTTAAAGTTAGGTTAGGTGTGCGTCGACGAGAGCAGAGTCGTTGTGGTTAATAAATCGGGAGAAACAGAAAGAACACTACAAGTGTATACGGACGATCATTATGATTATAAGACATTTTCTTTGTACTCGTATTAATTTCTTTTGCCAATGTTATTTTTATTCGAAAACCATTCAGACATCGTTCTTCCACGAGAAGAAGACAAAACGTGTTTACATCCCCACTCCTGTTGCAGCCCGCTGACTCACAGGATTGGTCGAAAACTGTGACGAAGTCAGCCAATCAGCGGATTGCAGCAAGAGTGGGGATGTAAACACGCTGTGCCTTCTTCTCGTGGAAGGACGATAAATAGTTTCGAAGATAGCGCCACGAAGAAATTAGTGGAACGAAAGTAAATATTTGGCGATCGTTTTTTTTTTTGTGGATTTCCCCATACTTCTTTGTTGTTGTGCCCGTAGTATGGTTGTTTGCCGAAGGAATAAATTTCCCAGAGGACAACTCCGAAGCTCCAGACGTCGCTTTCCAGCGTAAAACGTCCGTACATCACGCTTTCCGGTGACATCCATCGGATCGGTAGGAGACGAGATCCTCCTATCTGAATAGATACAATTTGTTCGTTAGTCGGATTGTTTGATTTCGTAATTTGATAATTTATAAATCGATTTACCGTACTTTGTAATAATCGCAAGTGTACACGTCCCGCGACATGCCGAAATCAGCAATTTTTACAACTAGGCCGGAACCAACCAGACAATTTCTGCAGGCTAAATCCCGATGGACGAATCTTTGGCCGGACAAGTAAGCCATGCCGGCTGCGATTTGTATCGTTATCCAATGTAAAGACTCCTGTAACGCGTAAACGTACAGTATTTTTTCGTTAAATAATTTCAAACAGAATTGAAACAACTTATACTTTATAGTTTAATTATTATATATTATAAGCCAGAGATAGCCGGAGGTAACGTATAAAAATCAACAGATTTCCGTTTCAAGTGCAACAGAAATACGCAAATTAAACAAAGAGACAGAAGATAAAGCTAAAATGTGGTTCAAAGGGGATTTACCTGCGTTAAAGGTTGCAGTCCAGATTTCGACGATCTAACTTGACGGTTATTCGATCGCAAAACCTCGGCCAGATCCCCGTAAGGCATATATTCGAAAACCATCCAAGGACTGTTGTTGGCGTCTCGAAGCACTACCCCTTTCAACGACAAAATATTTTTATGCCCAAACGTGGACATAATATCGACTTCTCGCATGAAGTTCTCTTCGGCTTCGTGGGAGACGGAATCTTTCAGGACCTTTATCGCGACGATTTCCTTCGAATCTCCGGTAGATAATTCTCCTGGAAAAAGAAATTGTTACTTTTAGCGACTTTGAATAAGGAGAATGTTAATAACATTAATACACAGTGTTTTGGTGGTTTGATCGTTCAGTAAATACAGAAGAACTGTTCCCAGATGAAATAGCTTATTCAATATGGCTACCATGCAAACGAGTGCATTTTTGGTCAAGTTGGCTTTTTCCGATTTTAATTATATTTTAACAGTATACTTTTGTACAAACCATTGCTTTTAGTTTTTTGGAACAACCTCTGATATAAAATGATTGTAAAGAAATTACTGTAAAAGATGTTCTGTGATATGTATGGCTCAAATTGTTCTTTGGTTCCCTCGCGTCGAGTGCACGCTACTGCGCATGCGACTTCGAGCACTGTGTTCCGCGCACGCGCAGCCGTGCATAGCTACTACAATGGTAGTTTGGAGGGTCTGCGTCACGTCGAGGAAATGATTGCAAATGGATAATGTCGTTGCATGATAGGCGAGCGTCTTACCGGTTAATCGTCACCTGGGAACCGTTTCTTCCTTTTTCCAGGTGAACAAACCACCAAAAACAATACTTTAATCATGTTTCAAGAGACGATACCATCAATGACATTGCCCCGTTGGCAAAAATAACGAATGTCATTTCTATGCCGTACGTAAAATAGCAAAATAAAAGTTTTTATTGTATTATTAAGTTGGTCATATACCTTTATACACTTTTCCAAAGCATCCCTCGCCGATGTCTTGTACAAATACGAGAGATTCGCGCTGCAGAATCGGCACCTCTAGCGAAGCGCAACTGAAATACTGTGGATTAGGCGTGTACTTATTCGCTAACAGCAAACCTTTCTTCAGATTCATCGGTGTACCCTGAATAGAACATGTACAAGGTATTCCCGTGACAATTTTTAATTATAAACAAACAATTGATTACCGTTACTTAAATTTTACACGATTACTATTTACATATGTAATTACATTCATTTACACCAAATATAATGCTATATTGTTAAAAGTATCATCGATCTTTCAGAAATTACCTACGTTATGAAATTTATTACATTATTTTCAAAACATTGGTAAACAACTATTTTCACTGTTCCCATTTTTCACAAATAAATATTATAATGTATATATACGAACATCCAGAGAATTCCTTTGCGATTTGATGTTGTAACTCCGTTTCCTGACGCAGTATACTATGCTCAGCAAAATTACTAATACCGCGATGAAAGCTATAGCAATTCCTATTATTTCAGGTACCCTTTGTCTCGATCGCTCTACCTGTCGAATAATATGGAAATATTAGCCCCACCAAACGGTACGAAATCTATAAAAACTATATTTATTCATACTTTTAGAATAAATAGTTACCTGTTCCGCTTCTGGAAGGGCAGTCGAACTATTAGTAGAGTTACCATTTGGAGGTATTATGTTCGGTATAGGTCGTGGTGTTAGAGGAACTAGAATAATATTAAATAATTATTAGTTTCAGATCAGTTGAATGGGAAGCGTTCTTTATCTATATATATAAAAATAAGTTGTCCTATGTTCGTGATTTTATAACTCGAGAACCACTCAACCGATTTTCAAACGAGTACATGCGTTGGAAAAGTCTACTTTCACTGATGGTTTATAAAAAAAAAACGTCGAAAAATTTCTACGAATATGCGTTATACGCGCACTTTTATGATGGTGTGTTTTCCCTATATAAAATGTATTTGGCCCGCGCGATACCTCACCCGTAGCAGTACTGCGATGTTACCGCCAGGTGGCGAAGCTTCTCGAGCGCATTCTCGCGAGAGGATTGCATTATCGCGGATATACATGTCAGGACGATCGTTTGGTCATAAATTGCTTTTGCACAAGGTCGGGCGAAGCCGAGACGGGGCATGCTAGTTTATCTATATTTACTCAGGTACACGATCGTTTATACAATAATAATTCATCTATTGATGCTGTAGAAGAGTGTACTATGGGACACTGTAACGCTCATCTCCGGAATATTGGAGTGTACAATCGAGATTTCTTCCACGAAAAGAAAATGGAAAGTACCGTGGCATTAACTCTCGTACACGCCACCAGAGGGCTACGGCTCTTGTCTTTCTCGCAGGCGCTTGACTGACACCACGTTCCTATACAGGGTGTTCGGCCATCCCTGGGAAAAATTTTAATGGGAGACTCTAGAGGCCAAAATAAGACGAAAATCAAGAATACCAATTTGTTGATGGAGGCTTCATTAAAAAGTTATTAACAATTAAATTCAAAAGTTTAAAATTGTGTTTGGAAAAATTATTTTTGGTTGCGGGGGTCAATTATAATCATTTTTGGTCATTACACATACCCCCGAAATCCTACGCACTTTCAAGAAAAAAATTCCTTACCGAATATCTAATTAGGTGCCTTTTTCGACGAAAAAAAAAAAATTTGAAATCGTTTTGGAAAAATTATTTTTGGTTGCGGGGGTCAATTATAATCATTTTTGGTGAATAGACGTACCCTCGAAATCCGACCCACTTTCGAGAAAAAAATTCGAGAATGCGTGAAATTTTTCGACGGAAAAAAAAAATTTCAAATCGTTTTGAAAAAATTATTTTTGGTTGCGGGGGTCAATTATAATCATTTTTGGTCATTGCACATACCCCCGAAATCCTACGCACTTTCGAGAAAAAAATTCCTTACCGAAAATCTAATTAAGTGCCTTTTTTCGACGAAAAAAAAAAATTAGAAATCGTTTTGGAAAAATTATTTTTGGTTGCGGGGGTCAATTACAATAATTTTTGGTGAATAGACGTACCCTCGAAATCCGACCCACTTTCTAGAAAAAAATTCGAGAATGCGTGAAATTTTTCGACGGAAAAAAAAAATTTGATATCGTTTTGAAAAAATTATTTTTGGTTGCGGGGGTCAATTACAATCATTTTTGGTGAATAGACATAGCCCCGAAATCTTTCGCATTTTCGAGAAAAAAATTCAGTACGGGCGGAACTTTAAACGTTAATAAGTTTTTGACGAAGCCTCCATCAACAAATTGGTATTCTTGATTTTCGTCTTATTTTGGCTTCTAGAATCCCCCATTAAAATATTTCCCAGGAGTGGCCGAACACCCTGTATATTATATACGCTTCTCTCCTTTCCTATTCTACCCTTCTATGATCTTTCTCACTTCCTCCATCAGCAAAAGCGCGCCACAGTACTATTTAGAAGCGATAAAATTCACGTGAACGAGGAAATATCATTTATGCTCAAGTATTGCTAGTTAGAGGTTTTTAAAGAGTAGGTGCTTTGTATATTTTGATCGAAAAATGAGAGGAACGTTGTGGTGACTCGAACGAAAAGGCGAGGAGTACGCGATAATACGGATAAGGTTATTACGATTACTAAGTGAGATTGCGTGTTCAACAATGGTCTATTTACAAGACTTGGAAGCATATTTGCGAAAAGGTAAATGTTACAAATTTGGCAGAAGCTATGTGTTTGGATAACCATTGATTTCGGACACAATCTTTTGTAAATAACAGCGCATACTTGGTACATCCAGTCTAGTATCATAAATCTGGTAGATAGTAATCGATAATCTCGTGTAAACGCCAGCCAGCGCATCATCCTTAGTCATAGGCATCGACATTTTCAACTTCTACATTTAGTCATTAAGAAACTTTGTACTATCCCTTCTCTAATTCTTTCTACGAATCTTCTTAAAAAGAATGTTATACTACTTCGAAAGGTGGAGGAGACTTTTTGTTACAACTTAAAACAACTTAAAAACAGTTTTCCATGTACAAAGATGTCCTCAACATTTGTTCAAATTGTAGAAACATAGAAATATTCGATAATTCAATTTGTTATTTTACAATATTTCAAATTAGAGGCGTCATTTACAATTTAGCAAGTGTCAGGGTTTTTCCATTGTAAACAACATTGCAACACGTAAGTTCAAAGTGCCGGTCACCGGTGACCATCGTAACAATCATTAAAGCGTTAAACTCAATTCCACAATTCGGAATCTAACAGTAGTTTGTACCTAATACGGTTCCAAGAAGCTAAAGATAAACAACAGGAGAAATGCTGGGACGAAATACTAGCACCGCCCTCGTTACGCCTGCGATTAAACGAACCCTACAGAAAACGTCGTCTATTGGTGAGCGCGCCATTTTGTTTTCACGGTACTTGCGCGCTCAATACACGACTACTTGCGCATTGAGCCAACCATACACAGACGCCACCTATAGGTCAAACCAGCTGCCGGCTGTGTTTACATTATTGCTGTAATCCGACCCACGAGCCGCCTCGAGTACCATTCTCCTATTTCTTCTGATAAATACCCCGCAAATTACACCAAAAAACAGAAGCGTTCAGAAGCCTTCAATCTACTGCTTTAAAACGATTTTCTAAAAATTGATTTATCTTTCTGTGCTTTTTTTATACAATAAAGTCTCATTATATGTAAAAAAGATCTCCACTTTTCAAGTAAAATTTGTAACCTTCCCCTCCCCTCCCACAACTGTCGAGATGTCATCAATTTACGTTCGAACGTCTTTCTGGGCAAGTTACTTTGCTCAAGTGTACAACTTTATACTCAAGTATTTAATATTTGAAAAGTAATCGTACCGACAGATACAGCATAGTGTGTGTTACTACCACAACGATACATGTTGAAAATTTACTGTCTGTCACATGTAAACAACAATTTTTAGTAGCGAATTGGTCGAAGAAACGTCCTTTGCTTATAAACATATTTTAGGTTATAAGGAAACGTAAAAACAAGATCTGGGTCTGACCTATTAGACGATTTGGGCATTTCAAGTCGGCCGTCGGCGGTGACAGGTCGTGTGGACAGACGCACATCGATGTACTGTCGTAGAACGTACGACATGCTGCCTCTTTTCCACAAATCTGTGGCCGATCTCTGCATCCTGTTATCTCGGAATTTCCGTTGATAAGCAGCGTGCTCGCTATTTCTTCGAATTGATGAGTGGACGTGTTTACTGATGGTTCTGGAACAATATTTACGTATTATTGAAATCGTGCTAGAAAATAAAGATGGCTATGATTAGGGGACCTTACAGTCGTGGCAATTGCTTTTGAAAAAATAGCAGATGCAAGTTATAGCATATTCCTAGTATCAAAGAACTACTTTTTATTTTGCAGAATACGTTTTGGGTTAGGGTTCAAATTTCCCTGCCAACTTACTTTTTCTTTGTCTTTTATTACTTTGAAATGCAAGCATATATATTATTTATTGTGTATATGTTACCGTGAATGACCGAAATTGGAGAATGTCAACTTTCACCGGTGAATGTCAACAGATACCAAATACGTCGGTGAAAGATCGAATATTTCATTACATTGTTGTACATTTGGACCCTCTCCGGTGTGTGTCGACAATCACAGATATGCTCTGATGGAGGTCCAAAACAGAAGAGTCAAAAAACAAGCGACTGGCTCTCTAAATGGATACTGCAGTAAATCGTGATCTTTTTCTAACCCAGACCTAACCCAGACCTAACCCAGACCTAACCCAGACCTAATCCAGACCTAACCCAGACTTAATTCAGACTTATTCCAGACCTAACCCAGACCTAACCCAGACCTAACCCAGACCTAACCCAGACCTAACTCAGATCTAATCCAGACCTAACCCAGACCTAACCCAGACCTAACCCAGACCTAACTCAGATCTAATCCAGACCTAACCCAGACCTAACTCAAATCTAATCCAGACCTAACCCAGACCTAACCCAGACCTAACTCAGATCTAATCCAGACCTAACCCAGACCTAACCGAAATCTAATCCAGACCTAACCCAGACCTAACCCAAATCTAGGGTCTGGGTCAGGTCTGGGTTAGGTCTGGATTAGATTTCGGTTAGGTCTGGGTTAGGTCTGGATTAGATTTCGGTTAGGTCTGGGTTAGGTCTGGATTAGATTTCGGTTAGGTCTGGGTTAGGTCTGGATTAGATTTCGGTTAGGTCTGGGTTAGGTCTCGGTTAGGTCTGGGTTAGGTCTGGGTTAGATCTGGATTAGATCTCGGTTAGGTCTGGGTTAGATCTGGGTTAGGTCTGGGTTAGGTCTGGGTTAGGTCTGGGTTAGGTCTGGGTTAGATCCTTTCAGAAAGAGAGGCGAAAAAGTTACGTCACCCTTGTGACGTTTTATAGCGACTGAATTACGGAGAAGAAAATATAAATCTCCAACATGTTCAACACTCACCATTAGTGCATGGTGAATGTCAACATTTACCGGTGTAAGTCAGAAATGAGGGTGTTTAGCAAATATTTCGGTCATACACTAAGCGACTATGTGAATGTTGACATTCACCGGTGAAAGTCGACATTCTCCAGATTTCGGTGTTTCACAGTAACATATATATGACATACAGTAGTAAAATAGCATTATATGTCGCATATATGTCGTATTAGTCAATATCAAGTAAACATATACATTGTACGTATATCTGTTTTGTAGTATTTATTGTACAGTATGTTTTATATCTTTCTAGAGACACGCCTGTACAGTAATGATTCTTAAAATGAACATGGTGCGTTCATTTTTCGTAGAGCAATGGCGAATTTTGACATCAACAGATGTTTGGACACAGCGATATCGTTGAGCCTCGAAGGCGCCTTTATCTTTTGCCGACAGTCGTATTCGACAACCGTAGAAAAGGATGGCGAGTGAGAACAAGCGAGAGCAAATGAAAAAAAAAAAACAAACGGCAGTCGAAGAAAAGGATGGCGGGTGAGAACGAACGAGAAAGAACGAACGGCAGTTGAAGAAAAGGACTCTGTATGATTTTTCGTCCGCTCTGTCCATTTAAAATCAGCAATTTAATGAAACGTTTGTGTATCACTCTACGAGAGATCAATCACTATTTGGATACTCAGTGTTACCCAATAAGGTTGAGTATGTACGCTCAAGATTAAGAGCAAAGACTGAGAAGGTGAGGGTAAACACTTAGAATTGAGAGTAAATAAAGATCAATCTTGAGTAATTTTTTTTTTTTAAATTCGAAAGAAACTTGAATAAATGGACAATGCAATGGATTAAATATCAATCCGTTTATAGAAAACTGCGATAAAGCGAAAATCCAGTCGAGTGAATTTTTATAAGAAATTACGAATGGACTCACTTTGATCACTTCCTTATCCCGGTAATGTAGCTTTATTTTGAACGAGGATTAAAAGGTGTCGCTGTTGTCAGCATGCTTCGAAGACCGTAAGCTGCGAGAAAATGGAAATGTATGATTTTTCCAAAGTGTGAGGTTAGAAATGCCCCCGTAAGGTAAATAATGGTCGAATTTGGCGAGAGCGTGGTGGGCGGTTAATAAAGGGCGAACTGGTAAGAAAAAGGGCTACATATTTGGATTGGGCCGGGCTTGGAAGAGACAGTGAAGGCATTCATTTGGTGCTTGAAGCTTGTAACGGGTCAAAGCGTTATCTCTGCGGTCAGCGCTCTCCGACAACGAGTCTCGCTATGTGTACCTATTATCGCTTCGTATTCTTTGCCTTTCTATGCATCTCTACGAGGTTTGCTGTATTCATCAGACCTCTCGTTTTCTACAGAACGTTCTTGGGTTTCGGTTCTCTCGAAACGGCCCACTTAGGGGAACAAGCCGAGCAGATACGACTGTAAATACTGTAATCCCACAACAGGAATGTAATCGTTTCAAGGACACGGTAGCCATTGTTGCTTTTGGAGCTGTTATCCAAACACGTCCAAACGTGTTCGCGACTCTTTCGAACTTTTAATCCCTTGGATAAATTTTATAATTAAATTGTCCGTTTGAAAATGCATCTTTTATTTTAAATCGTCCCTGTCTGGTCCGTCACTCTCTGAAGTCAGATATTAAATTCAGGGGAATGTAAAGCAGTGCCTCGTCAGAAGTAATAATAAAAAGTAAAGTGATTTTTTCAAGTAACAGTCTGTTCGATAATACATGTATATAAAATTTTATTTCAGGCAGTTCAAGAAAATCGTGTAATTTTGAAAATTCTCGAAGTAACGAGAGTTTCAAGTTTAAAGATGCCCTCGACATTTATTAAAATGATAGAAACACAGAAATATTCGATAATTCAATGGTAAAGTTATTTTACAGTGTTCCAAATTAAAATAGCGTTAATTACAATTTTACTAGTATCAGGGTTCCATTGTAAACAATATTGCAACAAGTTTTAAATCCAAAGTGTCGGTCACCGGTGACCGCTATGGCAACAAATGTGTTAATTGGTCCACGCACGTTACAATTTCTGTTACACAGGGAGAAGTATCCTCCAATCAACGACGATTCGGCCTTAGTAGCGTTGTTATTCGAATTTCGTCAACGGTATTAAACCTTCTCGAAGCTAAACGCAATGGCCGCTGATTACGAGCATCTTAGAGACGATTATTCCAAGAAGGATCTAACGATCGCGCTGTCCAAGTTTGAAACGCTCTTTCTTATAAAGTATATTATTATTACCTACATCATTGATGACCTATGCACTTTGTCGTTATTCATGGTATGTGGAAGTTGACGATGGGTGAACAAATGACCTCTGATATCGTGCCCACTTTGATGCAAAGCTGCGAGGATATTACTCTCACTGCGCTTTATTATTAAGCTCAGGGTCGTGCTCAAGTATTTTCACGCCCGAAACAATAGTAATATACAACCGTTCGTAAACCTAACCTCTTTGGAAACTATTAACGGAATTTTCTAAAGTCCATTGGCTTTGCGACAGACATATTGTTACATTTTATGTTCCAAAAATAAGAGGTTAATTATTGTTGGTTTGAAACAATAGTAATATACAACCGTTCGTAACCTAACCTCTTTGGAATCTATTAACGGATTTTTCTAAATTTGTCCATTCGCTTTGCGACAGACATATTGGTACATTTTATGTTTCAAAAATAAGAGGTTAATTATTGTTGGTTTGAAACAATAGTAATATACAACCGTTCGTAACCTAACCTCTTTGGAAACTATTAACGGAATTTTCTAAAGTCCATCTGCTTTGCGACAGACATATTGTTACATTTTATGTTCCAAAAATAAGAGGTTAATTATTGTTGGTTTGAAACAATAGTAATATACAACCGTTCGTAACCTAACCTCTTTGGAATCTATTAACGGATTTTTCTAAATTTGTCCATTCGCTTTGCGACAGACATATTGGTACATTTTATGTTTCAAAAATAAGAGGTTAATTATTGTTGGTTTGAAACAATAGTAATATACAACCGTTCGTAAACCTAACCTCTTTGGAAACTATTAACGGAATTTTCTAAAGTCCATCTGCTTTGCGACAGACATATTGTTACATTTTATGTTCCAAAAATAAGAGGTTAATTATTGTTGGTTTGAAACAATAGTAATATATAACCGTTCGTAAACCTAACCTCTTTGGAAACTATTAAGGGATTTTTCTAAATTTGTCCATTCGATTTGCGACAGACATATTGGTACATTTTATGTTTCAAAAATAAGAGGTTAATTATTGTTGGTTTGAAACAATAGTAATATACAACCGTTCGTAACCTAACCTCTTTGGAAACTATTAACGGAATTTTCTAAAGTCCATCTGCTTTGCGACAGACATATTGTTACATTTTATGTTCCAAAAATAAGAGGTTAATTATTGTTGGTTTGAAACAATAGTAATATACAACCGTTCGTAACCTAACCTCTTTGGAATCTATTAACGGAATTTTCTAAAGTCCATTGGCTTTGCGACAGCCATATTGGTATATTTTATGTTCCAAAAATAAGAGGTTAATTATTGTTGGTTTGAAACAATAGTAATATACAACCGTTCGTAACCTAACCTCTTTGGAATCTATTAAGGGATTTTTCAAAATTTTTCCATCTGCTTTGCGACAGACATATTGGTACATTTTATGTTTCAAAAATAAGAGGTTAATTATTGTTGGTTTGAAACAATAGTAATATACAACCGTTCGTAACCTAACCTCTTTGGAAACTATTAACGGAATTTTCTAAAGTCCATCTGCTTTG